AAAATATTATTTTCCCATAAATAATTAAAAATGCATCGAACCTTAAAAATCGTATATCTCAAAAACGGCTAACTATAACGAAAACTCACAAGAGAGCTTTTTTATGTTGAAAAGTGCGAAGAATCAGTTTTTTTATTCAAAAAGCAAAAAATTGCACTAAGAAAAAATTATCGGTCATTTTAATACACTACAGGTACAGTAGAAAGCGCCCTCTAGCGGTTACAGTAAAACTATGCCCATGGTTAGTTTTGTCGTACCAAAAAACCCTTGTATACCAATTTTCACTGTTATACATCAAATATTGTTCGAAATATTTAAAAAAAATATTTTAGAAAGTAAATTTAAACACCCTGTATTTCGGAAGCCACGCATTTTTCGACCCATGTTTATAAAGACTTTATGCATTAATTTTAAAAGTTCTCTCGAATCTTAAAGTTATGCAACAATAAACTGAAACACCCTGTATAACGCAAATCTATTATATTTGTTTCCATGACAGATGTAGTGAACATACAAAGAGTACTATAAAAGTTTTGCAATATGACTTAAAAAACGGACGCAGGAGGCTGCATGTTACTGCATGTTGTCCATAAATGCATAGTAGCCGCCAGCAGCGCTGCTATGAGAAAAATCCTAAGCGGCATTTTGTTAGTTATCTAAATACGCAACCTTGCCCCCATTCAAGTGGCTTCGTATCTCTTACCGTTTGCGAGATCCCAGTGGTGAGGGTCGAATTTGAAACGTCCGGTATAATAGGTTTTCCGCCAGTGATCCTACTCCTTCTAAATCTCTATACTCTGACTAGAACTGCGCAGTGCATTTGTGCTATTGGGTAAGCGTCGAGTTCCTAGAATGCTTGCTGCATATATGCATATGGTAATGACTTACGGGCGATGGATATTAAACGAATCAGCATTCAAAAAATTTATACAATTTGAATACGTTCAATATTTATTCATTGTCAGGTGTGAAGAATTTGCATCTGACAATACGTGTCTGCAAAAACTAGATACTACCACAGGTAATACAAAAACAGCTAAAAACTTGAAAAGCATTTTCAATATTCATAGGATTCTCAAATATAGGTATACTTTATCTGAAGTCACTTGAAACACTGTGAAATACCGGGTGCGTTTTATATATCTATATTTAACACGCTCTGTTGCTGCAAAAATCGCCAAATTTCGCAGCAAATATCCCCCGTATAAGATCAAAGGCAGTTTCACCGGTCCACGTGGAGTAAAGCACGCCTATGCGTGGACATAGCCAATGAGAAAGCGTGTATTTCAGAGCTCCGAACAAGTGCAGGTGGCTACTGAAAATTGAAACAGTTTAGCCAGTGCCGTGTAGCGGTGAATAAACGTGTTTTCTTTAGTCTGTCCGTGTTATTTCATAGATTTTATTAGTTTGTGTGTTTTTGACTTTTGAATACTCAGTTTACTTGTTGATTTAATTGTTGTGTTGATTGTTCTTGTGTGTCCTAAATATGGCTCTTTGGAGATCTTGGGTAAATGCTCCAAGCCACGAGGAGATGGTTGATGAACCTGTACAGGCAGAATTCTTTCATAAAGATTTAGAGGAACAGACCCAAAGAGTAATCCTAAATATGTATGATTGTCTGAAAAACGAAAATCCAGATTCCTCGCAAAATCAAATTTTAAACAGAATTTGTATCCTGACAAAAATCAGTCGGTCTACCATTTATCGGGTTATAAAAAGGGGAGATGTAGTCAACCATTCCTTCCACAGAAAGCGCATAGGGCAAAAATTAAAAAGAATAGACGTCGGTTTTCAGGAAGATATTCGTCGTATAATATACGGATTTTATAAAGAAAATTTGGTGCCCACGTTGGAAATGATACGGGATAAATTAAAAGATTATCCTGAAGATTTTTATAATTACAAATGCTTAGACTCACTGCACTGTATTGTAAAACTGTGTGGTTTTCAATACAAAAAATTAGATGAAAGAATGGTGATTATGGAGTCGTCTCGAATCGTTGAATTGCGCCAAGAATTTTTGCACAAAGTTAAAATCTATAGAGAGCAGAAAAGAAATCTGATTTACCTGGATGAAACGTGGTATGATACCCATGATGTTGTGCAGTACGGCTGGGTTGACGACAGCAACAAGTGCATTTTAAATGCACCATGCAACCGTGGAAAACGAATCATTATTCTCCATGCTGGCAGTGAACATGGATTTATACCTAATGCCTTGCTGTTATCTGCCAAAAATATCAAAGAATCATGTTCCGACTATCATAGGACATCACCTCCGACTTATTTGAAAAGTGGATAGAGCAGCAGTTAATACCAAACATTTCCCCAAATTCAGTGATTATTATGGACAATGCGCCATACCATTCCCGACAGAAAAACAAAATTCCGAATACAGGCACAAAAAAACAAGACATTATTGATTTTATGAAGGATAAGGGAATGGAAATACCACAAAAATCAACCAAAGCCATATTATTGGATCTTATTAAAAGACAAAAATTTGAAAAAGAGTATGTTGTTGACAATCTGCTTCAGCAAAATGGCCATGAAGTATTACGTCTACCGCCCTATTACTGCATTTTTAACCCGATTGAGTTGGTCTGGGCTGCTTTAAAAAAAAGTAAGAAAACATAATCAGACCCCTCAATTAAGTGAATCGCTATTGGCCACAATAAGAGATGCAGTATCTCATATTGCTGCCACAGACCTATGGAAGCAGTGTTCTAGGCATATTATTGAAAAAGAAAATGAATATTTTGTTTTGCCTCCTATAAATCCCGTTGTAATTCCTCTACAAGATGACTCTAGCGACAGCTCCGAAGGCGAGGATGATATATAAATACCTATAATGTAAGTCTTTATATACCTTTTTATATACCTACCTGCTATGTAAATATTTGCCTATGTCAAACGTTGGAATTCTGTAATTTTTCCATTTCTTAACTTTCAGTCAACATAAATTAAACACCCAACATAAGTATTTTTTATCCCAAATTAAAAAAAATAAGAAGATAGTAAAATCCATTTATTGTGATATAAAAACATTATTATTATCGTTCTAAATAAATGACCGCACGCCTATGATACGTCATGAAATTACAAAGGACGCGCCGACCAAAGGTTTTTATGCTATTTCAAGTGACTTCAGATAAAGTATACAGTGCGAGGTTCAGTGCTTTTCAAAAAGACCCTTCTACTCGTAACTTCCTACGCCACTGGCGAGGAAGTATTGTAATCGCGAAAATTTTCTAAAATGGGATATTACGCTTTTTCGGATACTGTCTCGTCTGTGTGTCTGTCTGACCGTCTGTCCGCTATGCAAAGGACCAAAAAGCTTTTTTTAGTTTTTGAAAATCGATCCAGTGACGGCGGAGCTAGGGTAAAAGAGGTAAAAAAATAAAAATCTATCAAACTTCGTTTTTTGACGTTTCAACAGATCCTGATCAATTTTGAAAAAAGTTTAAGGGGTGAAAAATTGGGGGTGGAAGGGTGTAGGGGGATGATGGAGGGTATGTCTAAATTTTTTGTTTTTGAATGGGCCAAGTTTACGAGGGATGTCTTTTAAGTTTTGCATATAGAAACATAGTAGGCCGCGCGGATCGAACGTCAGTACTGAATCTTAACATCACTCTTTAGTAAACTTAAATTCAAAAACATTTCAATTAAAAATTACAGCTATTTCAATATGAACAGTATCGAGTATGGATAATGTAGCCGGGGCGGCAGCACTCCAAACGTGCTTGCATAGAGTGCGGAGAAATGTATACTTCTCAAACCTGAACAAATACGCGATTGAAGAGAAGTGTTCATGCAAAATCAGGTCCTGGGTGATCTAGACTCCGACAAGCCTAAATGAACACGGTTGTTCTTGATGTTTCCATTTCGGAAAATTCGCAGAACGATTCAGAATGCTTGTGTATTTTCCAATTTCTGAAAACGTATATGCTTGAAGAAGTACATAAGCATGCACAGAAAATATAACCATACATTCTAATGCTTTACATGTATCTAGCAAACAAGTTCTACCGGTACCTGTTATTTGCATCTGTCTAGCCAACATTGTCACCGAAATTATCGCCGAGACATTATTTTCAAATTTACGACATAGTTCTTTGATATTTCTGTTAACAGTTCAGTGACGTCACCGATTTAAAAAATTTGTCCAAGTCAAACATTTCTCCATGAATAGCATAGTTCATATTCCCATTTAGAACAAAAAAATTCACATTTCACGATTCCTTCAAGTTTTTCCTACTAGAACAGCCTTTCTGTTTTGAAATTATTTACCTACCAAAAAGGGCTGATTATTTTCGAAAAGCTTCTCTGATAGGCTGAAAATTTAGGTTCAAAAAAAATCTCTCGATTTTCTTGGTTAATTTCCGTGGAACACTAGATAATTAGGAAATATATTTGAGATACGTAAAAATGAACGTTGTTACCTCAATAATAACACTTTCAAATACTACATCTTACTTGGAAAATGTCCTTGATTTTCAAGTGAGAAATACATAAAGCTTGAGAAGAAGCATACAAAATCCAAACAATATTAGGTTTACCAATGGAAAATTCTGCGGGAAGCAGTAAACGAGAGTATAACGATATTATTTTAGAATCGTGTAGGCTTAGATAAAAATATAAATGCATACAGAGTACATTTTTCTATCTCATAACTAGTTCTACCAGTATGTCGACTGCTAGTCTAGCCAATCTTATCGCGAAAATCTTCACATCACATTTGTTCAAAGCTTACAATATATCCGAGACTGGCAAGATACGATTTTGATCATCGAGTTGATATCCCACCTTTTCTATTATATTAACGACTGCTAATATTTCATTCTAAAGTCTGCGAGTGGTTGTCCTTCAATAATCGTACAATAAAACTTCGGTGTGAACAATGAAATCGAGAATGAAACGTACAAAAATAAACATAATAAGATGCTGAGACATTTCTCACGCTATGAAAGAAAGTAACACAGTTGCTAATAATTACTCACATATTGCGTTCGAATTTAAGCTAGTCGTTTTACCACACACACACACTTGTAGCACAAAAGCACAAACGCCCGACTTTTTTCTTTTAAATGCGTTTCGGAGAACTTTTGAACGTTCCGGTGCTCATGCTTGCACGTACGAAATTGTTATAATAAATCTAGTTATGTTAGTGAAAGGTCACGAAACAACTGAGAATCTTGTTCTGCTAAGGTAACTTGATCCCGAAACACCTGGTCGCGGCCACCGCGATCGCGAGCGGGAAATTGAAACTTGACAGCTTAGTACGGTTACTATGGAAACAGAAACGAGAATAATCCGGTGCCCGGAACAACTGCGGAGGCACGCGCGATGTTTCGCTCAAATCAGTTTGAAAAAACATGTGTGATAATGTGTGTAACTCCTAAAATTGCTTGTATTTATGATGCATCTTCATTTATTCACAAGATCTTTTAACATTTTACTTTGAAAAAGGCTACTGAGCAAGGCGAAACGTTCGTGATTTTTCAGTAAATGACTATTATTAACCGTAATGTAAAATTGAGAGACAATTTTTCTGTCCCCAGGTAAGTAGATAGCGAAGAGCACTTAGGTAAATAATGGATGTTATTTCCAATTAGGAAGCTTTATATAGTCGAAAATACTGCTAGTTTTACTTTCATATGATTGTATATAACTGGAACCTTTGACAAATCTGAAATAAGTATTCCGATAACTTGAAATTCAAGGAAGATATGACATTTTCTGTTTTACATTGGTTTTGATTTCTCGACATTTAAATTTTATAGAAATTTATTTTGCGATGTCAAGTAGAAAATACAAATCAGCGCCTAGCTGTGAGGCACTGCGAAAATGTTTTGTGAGAGATGTCATTCCGATTTTTCTGTCATGTGACTTGATTACACACAACGCGGGCACGTAATGCTTCTTAGCGTTTCTGAAAACTCAAAAAGCACAAGAAAATTGTAATTTATAACTTTGAACATAACCTCTCTTCAGAAAACACAAATAACCCGCCTAGTACAGCTAATATACTTGACAGGCAGCATATTCAGTAATAATTTCAGCAATCATCACTGATTTTATACACATGCAGACCAATATACGCAACCTCCACACAAGCATTCAGACGTGTTCTTGCTATTTAACTAATTTTCCTTCTTTCACATCTTGTCATAGATACATACTCTACAGAATATCTCGGCATTCTGCAACCAACAAAGCACGCTGGCACGTCATTGAGTCATTCCTCCATAGATTACGCTAGAGTGACGCTCACAGCGAACTATTTGTACACTAGCAGCTATACAGGGTATCTGCAAAATTTGGGTTTTCCTTTATACGACGTATAGAGCTTGAGAAAATAAGCAGATTTTCTTAGTAACATATTTACTAATGTCTGAAGAGAACCGAGATATTGGGCTCCGCAAATACAATCAAGTCTGAACCAAACCGAAGCCGGTTCTGTCCTATCCCTCGATCACGTCCACAGCGCCAGCGCCAGCGTACAATTATACAACGTACGACTACCATGTAAATACGGATTTTACGACAGATCCGTACTTGGAATTTCAATTCAACTGAACAGTGAGTGCTTTTTCATTTATTTTTTTTACTTGTTCGCTCATGTTTCACCGCACTTTAGCTTTGTATGGATAACCTTGCAGGTCGCTGATAACGAATATGCTATCCATTTGTCAAAAATCAAAATGGCGTATTCAATATGGTGTACATCTAACTACTTACATCACAATGAGATTTACTCCAGTACACTGATATTTCCGAAAGATGGAATTCTAAGCCTTCTATGTTTTGGCACAGGGAAATATGTTTTTCCTGAAGCTGAGATGCTTGTATTTGTATTTTTTACGACAAATAGTAAATACAGAGCAGAACATCGTTTGTAAATAGCGCGGAATTGCTGATAGGCTGATGTTAGGTATAATTCGTTATGCGTCTATCCTACATGAATACCTCTAAAATAATACTGGAAAACTACTTTTCATGACAACATAATGAAAGTGCGGTCAACCAATGCGAGTACATTAATTTCCTTGTAGACCAGTCCAAAGCACCAACATCTGATTCCTGTTACAACTCTCGCTTGAGAAGATGATACGGACTGGGTTCGAATGGATATTGTGTTTGTCTATATATAGAAAAATCCGAATGTCACTAACGAGGTAATGTGCACGAGAGATAAGCGCGTGAAGGATACAATACATATGTTAGAAAGAGCACGCCGATGGCAAAACAGTGAGCCTCAGCTGCGTCCGTAGCCTCGTCACTTGGGTTGCTAGGCAACGTGGTTCTTCTATCTCTTTCTAACATACGTGTTGCACGCCAGAGCGGTACATCCTATACGTACACTCACATTGCTGGCCTGGTTTATTCAATAAGTTACTATTAGAAAGGCGTGTGAAGTAGTAAAGCCTTGGTATAGTGGAATGGTCAAACATGGCCTCCCCACCAATACTATTAGCACTCGCTACAAACCTTTTTTTCTGAACCTAGGTATGTAACATACTATTCTTCAGAACAGCATCGAGAAAACAATGCAAGTATGTTCTTTTACTGAGATAGGAAAAAGTAAGATGCAATCAAATGCTTTGTTGCTGTGTATATTTACATAAGCTTTTATACGAGAAACTTCATATTTTTCTATATAATCTCGATTTGCAAACGAAAACACTTATAGAAGTGTTTAAAAATCAATCATATTGTAGTTTTCACGAGTATCCATTACGGTAGAATGACTGCTGATTATCTAGTAATATTTCAAAATTTCCCATATCGACAAAGGACACATCATTCTGACGGATCCGTCAACGCCAGATAGACACGTCCGTGTTTTGTTTTTTTGTATGCTACAGGTTCTTATTGTACTTGCTAATAACTCTTTTATTAGGAAATGTTCATTTGCATACAAAAAACATTATGTAGGTTTTTCTACAAGATGTTAACTTAGCACTTAGTTATACGTGTTGCCTAAACGTCATGAGGCTTTACTTATCAATGTTTGGCTCTGATTTTATGTAAAATCTGCTAAGAGATAGCATTACTGGAGGTCTAAGCTGTAAGTTGTATGTGTTGATGATGATTCCATTGGATTCTTGTCTCAAATACACTTAATCGAGATTCAAAGCTAGAAATTAATTGCGAAGCCACTTTTTCTTATACATTCTGGAAATTACATATACAAATTTGCTGAATTTCAAAATTGAGAGAGATCAGAAATTAACTTATTCACTGTACACTGTCGAAGTACAAGCCATATACATATGTTTTTCGTAATTTATAATTTCAGAAAGCACAACATATAAATAACCCGTCGTATTCAACATATTCAGTAATGATTTTCTCACACAGCAAATATCACTGATTTTATACACATGTAGACCAATACACATAATCATCTAGATGCGATCTTGCTATTCAACCAACTTTCTTCTCAGAGATAAAAACTACAGACACGGATCACTCAACCTCACAAAACTATGCAACCAATAATGGGTGTAGTTTAGTTGAATGATTCCTTCATAGATGGACGTTCACAACGATCCTAGTGAGCAAACGTGGAATGACTGTTTGCGCCCTAAAAACTACCTCGTCTGCAAGTTGACATCTTATAGGTTTTTTTGACGTTTTGTAGGTTTTTTACATGATACCCGTGCCGATTAATTATTGCCCTCGTTACAGCACTAATACAAACATGTCACTTGCTGATCACTTGTTCATCTCAGTAGACGTCAAAACGTGATAGATGCACGTGAAATAGAGTTAAGAAGCCTGAAGGATGTTAAAACGTTAATGGATGATTTTGCTACATAGCCTACTAAGATCACTTGTTTTTCTATCAATAACATCGGTCAATTAAGTATCTGCAAAGGAGTCTGAGACAAAGCACAAAAACTAGATCCCTTTTGGTGTATACAGAATAACAACGAAAGAAGTCACACTTTTATTACGGCCTGTATAATTGTACTGCCGCCATCATAATAGTAACTAGCTTGATCTTCTAGCATTTAAATCATCTGAATAACATTCACTCAATAAGGAACAATAACTATATAACCTACTTAGTATTTATTGGCCATAACGAAAGAAATCACACTTTTATTACGGCCTGTATAATTGTACTGCCGCCATCATAATAGTAACTAGCTTGATCTTCTAGCATTTAAATCATCTGAATAATATTCACTCAATAAGGAACAATAACTATATAACCTACTTAGTATTTATTGGCCATAACCTTTGGTGTGGAATGGAGTGTAGATTTTATTGAATATCAAGAGCTCAGTTACATCGTTGGTTGCACGGTCTGTAAACACTTGGGAATTTCATGAATGCAACAAGTGAGTATCGTTTCACATAGCTTGCGTCGCTGACGCCTACTAATGTACACGTATTGGCTTTTATTCTACGGTGAGGTTCAAATTTGTTGTTATTAGAAAAAGATAGAAGCCGGCTTGATTGCGAAGCTCATCACCACGTTACCTAGCAACGCTGACGCGGCAATCTGCGATGTTGCCAATCTGTTACACCATTTCTTTGAATTATATGAATCTGAATATAATTGAACATGCCCAGTTTATCCTTTACGCCCAAATAATGGTTTTATTTTGAGCGTATACATTTTGTTTATGACCGGATACGAAATGGAACCGGAATGTATAGTGAGAATCAACCTTTATGTGGCAAGTGGTATCTTGGACAATATCGCTATATGGAGTAAACGGGCAAGCAAAACCACCACCGTTTCTAATGTATTACCAAAAATACCAAGATATGGCTGATGTTTAAATGGAAGACAGATGCATGAATGAAGGGAAATTACTTAGCAAAATACATCATATGGTGGAGCATTTTATCGGAAAATGCGTTAATCAATGCTTATATATCTGTCTCCAAGCGAATCTTTTGTTTTGCGAGATATTACACTTACACTTCGACAACTGAAAGGCACTACATTGCTTTGCTACGAAAACCTGCATGTTTATCTCCCCAACCACGCGGCTTTTGTCAATCGAACTTTCACTTTTCTGACATTACGTGTAGTGAACATAAGAACTTAATTCTCAAATACATCAAAGTACCGTAAAATCGAAATCCACACAATAAGACCATTAAAAAATGTGAGATATGCTACGTAAGACGTGTATTAAAGCATTAATCTCAGTTCAATCCATACTTAACTATGCACGAATGTGTCCTCCAAAATCGGCGGTTAGGAAACCCGAATAGGAATACTTACACATGCCTTAAACGCGTATACAAAGTGAGCAAAAGTTTCTAATGAGGACGCACGCATTACGAAAAAAAACCCACATCTAATCAGTCGTCAACGTCGTCGGTATATCACCTCTTAATAATTTATTTATTATAACCAGCCTTTGTACTTAATATTTGATAAGAAAGATATTATCTCGTTACAGACTCTAACCGCTTTGACAATTCCAAATTGCGATGGATACCTTGAAAATGTAACTGCGAGACGTACAGTGATTTTTTTGTGTGTTATATGTGCAATTACTTAGATGAACCTGATGCAGTCATGATGTTTGTTTAAACATGTGCTCGTTGTGGAATTAGTTGTTGGCGTGTGTGTAATCATTATCAGTTATCAGCTGTGAAGATGGTGATTGATAAATTGCAAGGTAAGTGCAGAAACGTAAATCTCACTTTTGGTACTTGTATAATCGTATGTCTTCTGCTGACTTGTTACTGCTTACTAAGTTTGATTGTCAGAGAAATGGATAATGATTCTGTGACAAAAACATTTACAGAAAACAACCTTTACAATTGCATTGCATTGGCGTCCGACTTTTCATTATAACTAGTTGTAAGCGACTGTTTTTTTGTCATTGTTTTCAATATTTTGAACATGTTGAATGAACACACAGTACCACTGCAAAATAAAAGCTCAATAAGTGATAAATGTCATGTTTTAGATTATAATGCGTACCTTTTAAAAACAGATAGTGACTATTGACTGACACCATCATAATTAATGATCTTTGTGATTGTCCCAAATGCGTCATGGATGGCTCAAAAAAAGGTTTCAAAAACGGATTTGTTTTAGTCTATACGAGGGTCATTTTTTAAGTAAGTACCGTCTATCTGTATCGTGTATGTTTTGAAGACAGGTCACCAAGTCAATAAAGATTTTTTCGCTCCCGTAGTGAACCGAGGCGGGAACAGATGGAATTTCCCCTTCCTCTCGAAGTTTTGACAGTTTCGAGTTACACCGGGAGTAGTTAGATGGCGCATGTTGCCCAAAATGTTTGCTTTGAGCTCCTTGATAAACTTAGCTGCCTTGTTTGAATCTGAAATAAAAAGACCGATCGTTTTTTGTGCAATGTACACATATATCAATAAAATCAATCATTTGATATGACAAGTGCGGTTCATATATCTTCTCCCTCGTCATTTAAAATCAGGTGGACGTGTTTCTCCATTTATGGTTTAATAATTCTCAACTCAATTTTCGGCACTGCCAAGACAAATTTTCAATTGAGATGCCTATTTTTTAAATGACATTGACATAAGACCTGTCACCCGCTAGTCCCGTACCACGTGATTTTTTGACATTCGGACGACGTCACATCCGCCTTCCCTATTCCCGTTCTTCGCGAAAATTTGAGTATCGGTTCCCGGTAGTGCACTGTGCTACACCGTGGACTCGCGCAAAAATCCTTATTGTAAACGATGCGAGTAAAATGTTGTGAAACATGTCAGATTTGGCAACTCGACAGCTGTCGCTATGATAGTGCTGCCCTATTAGCACTTTTACTAAAGATAATAATTACATTATAACTAACAAATAAAAAAGTTGTGTCGTGCATTAATTTTATTTGTTCATGGATCTTTCTATACCTGAACATAAATATGGCGCCTTTCAAAATACTATCGACGACGACTCACCGACAAAATTTATCATATACGATCGCGGAATGGAATGTTTACCTATAAACGTTGAGAAATATTTCCATAAGTCACTGCAATATTTCAAAACGTTATTTCTAACAGTCATTTTCTCCGCGAGAAAATGTTATTCCGATATTGGGGGAATATAAAAGATATCTATTTGTACTGCCAGGCTTATCGTGCTCTATGAGGTCTCAATACTTTATTTGGTCATATATCATATTTAAAAACAAAATTGAAGGTAAGTATTGAATAATAATGTAAATGCATTGGATTATTCAATAAGTACGTTGGGCGAAACCCGTTCCTGCGTTTTCGCTGCTATCCTACTTCCGTCAGAGAGCAGCACCTACTAATCGACGACGATCGGAAAGCTTCGGATAGCTTCGTCACTTTTCGCTTGTCAATTAGATTTTCCATTTTCCGATTATTTCCAGTTCTTGTCGGTACTTGTCAAAGGTGCGATCTCCAATTGTTTACTTGTCGATATTTTTGCCATAGTTGCAATTTTTTTGCACGTGCAAAAAATCAGTGGATTTCGCTCAGTGGTGGCGTTCGGGTTTATTCTCGATCGATGCGCCCTCCCAAAATTCGCTTCAAACAAAAGGAAATATAATCGCGGATTCCGGGTAGCACAGATTGCTAGATTTTCGTATGACGAATTTTTCTCGTATCGGAGCAGTTTTCCCTGTTGTTGTCCCTGCATCGGCTTGAAGATGAAGATTTATAAATGTTTAACAATAAAGCAGTTTATTAGAAGTCCTAAGACTGTCAGTAAAGCCCAGTTCTTTATTTAAAAACGTGGATTGAACAAAAGTGAGGTTAAGTTTTACATTTTTCTTTTATTTTGTGGACTGTGACACTAGATCTAAAAATTCCGGTGTGAATCATAAAGTTGGCGATTATTATTGAGATAGACATTGAAGGACACTCATCACACCAGATTTCAATTTAATAACGTGTATACTCCTATTTCGTTCGTAAATGTCCCCAAAACCAAGTATTATGTATAAAAGTGAATACAACCAGTATCTGAGAGTCGTGTGTGCGGTAAATTTGGACAAAATCAGCGGCATTTGCACGAATAAGATGCACAATGTAGAGTCTGCATTTGTAACTTCAAGCATTGGGTATCGAGCAAAGAATGATCCAGGAGACTGACATATGTTCAGAGGCTGCTTCCACTATGCATATATGACGTTTACTTGATACCCTTTTTCACCTGGATAATTTTAGTTTTCTGTTCAGGTAAGTCAAAGATTATTTTTATATTCAAGATGTTAACGAAAGCACTGAAATGATGTCACATGTTATATTTTATACCCGAAAATTGAAAGAGGCAATTAGCTATAATTGTCAATTGGAGCTATAATTGTCAATTAGAGCTATAGTTGGCAGTGTAAGGATGTAATTAGCTGTAACTGTCAGTTGTGTGCTAATTGTGAATTGCATGTAAATGTCATTCATCCAATGATGCAGTGATTTTATGCTGGATAGTAGTAAACATGGGATAGCTTTGACAGTAATTATATGTTTGACTGTCAGATTAGATAGTTTGTCATTTAAATGCTATGAACTGTCAAAGCTATTCCATGGCTACTGCTATTCAGCATACAAGTGTTGCACTGGAATTGGAACTTTTATCTGACAAATGCAACTTGCCACATAAAACTGACAGTTCTGGCTAAACATGTCATTGAAAATTTTAAATATATATTTTTTGTGATGTTTTTTCACTTATTTGTAAATTGTGTGTATAGTTTCAATAATTGAAAATTCTGTCAATTCAGTTATTTCCTAATTTCATTGAGATATTAAAACTCTAAAAATCAGGTAGATTTTATACAGACAAATTCTAACAATTTTTAAAATTTCCTAAATATCAAAGGTATTTTATAATTACTCACAACCTTATCAGTGTTTCAGGATTTATTCATTATTTAAAATGCTTTCTAGAATATAGTTTAGTCATCTGCAACACCTTAAATGTGTAATTTTATAAGTTCTGATATCAGTTTGTTAAAGTGAAGTCATAATATACTTAATTGTGACATGTATGAGTTACTAGAAGCCTATCACTCTTGTGTAAAATCTTATCTGATCACAAAAAGCTATTTAAGTTAATATACTGTAATAAATATGATTAGCATACTTTTGAGGTAAGCCTTGGTAAATATTAAATATAGCTCAAGTTTGTGGATATTGAACATATAGTATTGAGCTTCAAAAATAATTTGTTCAAGGTCTCTATTTGCTTTTTTAATTTAGTTGGCAAGCATGAGAAAAAACGCATTTGTATTCCCCAGACTTTTAAATAGTCAAGGCTGGCAGAGTATTCCATTATTCATCAAATGGAATTTTTCAAACCTCTTCATAATGTTTGAGACATCAGGATAAAATAAGTATTACAGTGTGGGTGCATATTATATGGTATTTGCGGATTTTCAGTGTCATCTAAGAAAAATAGGTTATTTTGTTTTTATATTCATTATGTCACATGGCAGGATCAAATATTTTGATTTTGACATCTTTTAAGGGTAACAGACGAAAATATTTGACATGGGGAACTATGAAAAAGATACTTTAAACATGTTAGAAATACCATTAGCTAAATAAATTGAGTAACTCTTGGTTAAAAATAACAAGTGCTCAGTTCCATTGGTCTTGAAATAAGTGAAGCCTATAAATTGAGAGCATTAGCTTGATAACAAACTGACTTTCATGAGGTTATGTTGTTCTATCTCAATTTTTTTCAGCAAAAATGAGGACCTAAAGGAGACAATCTTCAAAGAATTACCACTCACTTCAAAGAATTGTGAGTGGGATCAGAGAAAATAGGGTTGCTGAGCAACCCTCAAGCCAGTGGTGCAGAACTCTAGTGGTGATACAGATATTGGTTGTCAAACTGTTCTTTTTGGACTGTGTGATAGCTGTGTTATAGTGTCTAGGATATATTAAAAATAAATAATAGTATTTGTTAAGTTACTATATTACCATATCAGCATTGTAAAAAATTTGATGTGAAAATGGATACCAAAAATATATTTTCAAAGTTGTTTAGCAATAAGCAAAGAACCGACTTCAAGACCGAGGAGCAGAATGAAGGACTTCTGAAAGGTATGTAGGCCAAGAAGTAACCTCTCGCTTTTTACCATTATTCAGCAAACATCCTGTATATATTTAATTACCTAATGCAAAAAAAAAACTTATAGGTAATGCATGTTGTATCCTATTGTCTTTTTTTTTAGGGTTATATAAGCACAAGTAGATTTTTCCGGATTTAAAATTCACCCTTGTGGACACAACTGGTTCTTGTTTGGTTCTTGTATGAATCTTGGAATTCACATAATTTTCAAGACCAGTCACACAGTAAATATGTGTAGACAAAAATACAAAAAAGCTTTATGTTTCCAATTTGTTCATTCATATTACCCTGCTAAAATGGCAGTTCCAAGTGTTTGGGTACAAAATATATTGTTTTCTCAGCAACTTAACAGTTCGATGTTTACTTATAGATAGATGTTGTTACATAATATCATATAAACAGTCTATTTTTAACCTCATATGATATAATACTATACATTTTTAGAATAGAAGCATGAAATTCATATAAAAAACACCATATTGAAAAGCAAAACATGTAATTATAAGCATTGATTCCACTGAATAACACGTCACGTTTCATATTTACTATTGAACTGGAAAAAACATGAAACTCATAAAAATGCATGATTTCACATTGTGGAAGATTTATCAGATATCTGCAATTTTTGCGTAAAATACGTGCATCGAAATCGAAACTTTTTTAAGCTGTGTAAAAGCACTACTTCTATTCCAAGCCCTTTATGGAATAAAAGATAGTTTAGGGTTTGTAGGCTCCTCAGAACTTATGTTTTTGCACTGAATCACATCACAAATATGCATAAATACGCGCAAATATAGGAAGCGTCAATAAGGATACAAAGAATCATAAAAATAACACGTCAAACTGTTCGTCAAAATGTTCGCAGAGCACTACAGAAAAAATTAACAAATAATGAGGCCAATGAACATATACTCGTATTAAAATTTACGACGCAAATACAAAAACTGGATAGATAAACTGTAGGAAATTATCTATAGTTCAGTTTGTTTGCAAAGCTATGTTTGTCATACACCACGTTGGAACTCAGATATTGTTCTTAGGTGACTTTTTTCAATATGTTGGTGTGAACAATGAATATAGTAAAAATCCGAAAATATGTGGAAAACTATAGCAGCATCAAGTATCAAAGCCTTCCAGGTAAAACTACCAAATGTTTGGAAGGTTTTTTCGTATATTTATTGTGAGTAAACTTTTGCATATTTTTATTGGTTGCATAGCGAAAAATTGATTGTAAGAACGATATTGTCAAAAATTTTACTCGTTATTTTTCCAATATGTTGACGCGACAGGCTACGATACGGAGTAGCAGACAAAAATGTCGAAATAACCACGTCTAAATATTGTAATGGCGGAAAATTTGAAAAATGAGAATGTTTTTTGGATGTTATATGACATGTACGTAGTCGTGCCATAAGTTCTGTCCCATGATAATCTCATGATAAAAATGAAACAAGATAAGATATATTTATATGAAAGATATTATTTATTCGACAACATTTTTAGAATTCATAATCAAACAGTTTTATTCAAAATGTCCCCCCTTGGCCTTCACACACTGCTTCAATCTCGCGGGCCACTCATCTATCACTGCACGCACAGCTTCCAAAGGAATAGCTGCCGCTGATCGGATCAAATCCGCTTTCAGGGACTCGATATTACGGTGGGCTTTGGAGCAGGCCAACTGCTCTAGCAGGTCCCACAACTTGTAGTCTAAAGGATTGAGGTCCGGACTCCCTGAGGGCCAATCTTCCGCAGCAATGAACTCTGGCACATTGCTTTCCAGCCAGCGCTGCGTACTCTTAGCCTTGTGAGCGGGGGCGGAATCCTGCTGGTAGACCCAGTGTTGGTTGGCAAACAATGTACCACTTAAAGGCTTGACGATAGGATCCAGTATGTCGCTCTGATAGTTTGCCGCTTTTGTTTTCACGCCCTGTTTACAGAAATGGAGCTGAGTGACCCCTTCGTAGGACACCCCCCACCAAACCATGACTGACGCAGGGTGGTGGCCTCTCTCAACTCTCGGAATGATCTCCGAAGCTTCCTGTGAACTCCTTGCATACACTTTGTCATTTTGTCGGTTGAATTTTTCTTCTATGGTGAAGATTTTCTCATCCGTGAACAAAATCTTTCGGAATCCCCCAGCTGCGTACCTCTCCAAGAGCTTCTTGAATCTTGTCGCCCTGATGTGTCGCAAGGTGGCCGTAAGTCGCTGGCCCGTACGTCTCCGGTAAGCCCCTAGCCCTAGGTCTTGTTTAATGATGCGCGACATCGTCCGGACAGGAATCTTCATTTCCCTGGATAGGATCTTCTGCTTCCGGAGTGGATTCCTTTGAATCCTGGCTTTTACGGCTTTGATGGCTGCTGGAGTCCTTACTTGACGAGGTCTTCCGCTTCTTGGCCTGTCATCAACAGAGGACGTCTCATTGTACCGCTGAATGGTCCTAGACACAAATTTACGCGATATTTGAAGGCCGCGTAAGAGTTCAAAAATCTGACTAGCACTGTGATTACACTTATGTAAAGCTATCACTGCAATACGGTTCTCTGCCTTGCCCCACTCCATCGTTATGCTTCGAGAGATCAATACAAACTGAGGTATATGTAATTACCCGAAAAGCGCTTAATCAACTGACACCACAATGTAAACAATCGGACAAGTATTAACAGGTCTACACTTGTTTGAAAACGAGGGACAGAACTTATGGCATGACTACGTACATCACGAAAAACCATGTCATTTCCGTCGATCTCACCGGAAATTTTTGGACCGTCTATAACTTTTTTTTATGAAATTTTCACACACCATGCCAAGGGACAAAAACATGTACCCTTAAAAGTAGAATTATAATTTTTATTGATGTTGGGCGTGCAAAAGCACTTGCTACCTCAAAAAAGAAAAGCTTCAAGTGCACAAAAAGTACACAGTAATACCATATAAAAAAAACAGACCCGTTGAAAAGATAAAAATACAAACAAGTCCAAAACACATGTAATTACACTGAAATGCGTAAAAAAAAATAAAATATATGCATTATTTGTCACTGAAGTCATTGATCACTACTATAAAAAGCTTTTTGCTTTAGGTATATTGTGGGGCCTTGAACAATGCAACTTTCAAAAGCCTGGTTCAACAAGAGCGTTAAAGAGCTTGGTGCCATAATAATTATGTCTATCTTTGTATCTGTCAATCCTACTGTAGGGTCTGCACATATTACTATGGTATCTAGTGTCATAGTTGTGGAACCTGAGGTACCTGTCAAAGTCCACGTTTTTCCTGTCATGTAACAGGCACTCTAGGATGAGGTGGTATTAGTACACTCAGAGAAATTTTTTATTATAAAGATATATTTTCGATGTACGCGATGTACTCAACGAGCGCGCACCTCTTCCCGTGCTGGATCGGCTAGGCTAGATCGTCAACCTACTTGTTGCGATTTTTTATTACCAAACGATTGAACTATTACCGAACTTTTAACTAATAGCAAAGATAAAAAAGTATGACAACTTCCTTTTTGAACATCAAATGATCAGAGTATTTCTGGACTGAAGATACTATGCTAAATCATATAAAAAGTTGGAAGAAATGTATTCATATGCCACATATACGAAGTAGCCAATCAAAATTTTTGTAAGAGCTCGTCGATACTTCTTCAAGCACTGTATTCTCTAATCTTCAATCTCCGCCCTTTGAGTGAAGTTGAGTATAGCCCTGAGTCTCAGCTCCTTAATATTCTGAGGATCCAAAGTGTTGTATCCCAGTCTAGTCTACCTGTATTAGCTTAGAGCCTCACAGCGACACAGAACGTGCGCCGAGGATTCTTCTTCTACCCTAAACTCTTACACATGGAATCCTCAGCCACCATCACATGCAGGTGATCCACTAACGACCTGAGGTTGGCTCTATCCAAGGATAATCTAAACCGTCCATCCTTAATACTGGGCCATGAGCTTCCGTGCCTGACGGAAGATATCTAGAGATTCTTCTCCATTGCAGAGAGTGTTTTCTAACAATACACTTCTCCACTGTCCTCCTGACTTCACGCGGGCACCCCCCCTAAGGCTGGCTCAGGACCAAAGAGGTTGCTGGCTGATTCTTCACAAGAGCGTCCGCCGTATCATTGCCCTTTATGCCAGCATGATCCGGTACCCACACTAATGCCACTTAGTGCCTTCATTGCTGGCTGGCTGACCTAGAAGATTGCCATTCTTCTCTTAGGCCCTCCACGTCCAAAATGCGAGATGCCCAAGCCAGAATCGCGTAGATCTCAGTCTGAAAATAGTGGTGTATCCACCAAGGGGCAGGACTAATTCTAGACTCAAAAACCCCGGCACCGGAGCCTTTCTTTAACGGCAGTTACGCCACGTTAGAACAAAGCATGGATACTAGGCCGCGCAAATTTTGCGCTCGTAAGATATGGTATACAGAAATTCCAGACGACGTTCTTTCAGAGCGAACGGTCAGCATATTCCAAGACTAAAGATACTCTGTTGCAGGTCCTCATAAACTAGACGAGTTCACGATGGTGCTAAACCGGGGCCACGACGACGAGATGAAACTCTGTTGCTTCAGGCGCAGCACCTCCAAAACCGTTCTCACTTACCTGTTCTTCGTTTTGACAGCTGGAGCGCTAAGGCTGCTCTTCCACTGGATCCCGCATTTGTACTTGCTGGCCACCTGCGAGCGGTGCAAGGTGGAACAGGCCGAGAAAGTACTTATTACAGTAAGTGAATCAGGACTCGACCCCAGATAAGCAAATTGGTATCTTTATATGTAATAAGAATCTCGCGAGTAAAATCCCCACGGTTGCGGCGGTTTAAATCTAATGATTTAAATCAATTGCTTTTTCCTATTCTAACCGTGATTTAAATTATAGATTGCTATAAAATCAAGTCGCCTAAGCAGATAACTGAAATAATATAACAATTTTTCGCGGAAAAACAGCCGTCGATTATTTCTAGTAGGCTGTGATTTTTTAGGGAGTTCCTCATTTCCGCTTTCCGCTAGGAAATTGCGTTTTTGTACCTCAGAGCCAGACTAGGTTAAGTCCAAATAAGTAGTTTTGAGATAAATGTATTTGAAATATTTTTCTTGCATTATATTGTATGCGACTTGACATAATTTAAAAATACGTAACTACCTTATTATTACAGATAGATGGACGCTGCATGTAGCAAATGAAAATTCACAATATTATCATAAGCTTAACATATACTAAGTGACATATAAATCCGAACACCCAGTTTAAATGGTTTTATTTTAATAAAATTTTGTATAAATACTTAATGAAGCATAATAAGTAAATGATAAAAATTTCAAAATGATTGCACTGCTTTAAAGCCCTTTGACCTTTAATAATGTGTGGATGCACCCTGATGTGCTACGCATTCTCCAACGCGCCTAGGCATGCTTCTGATCAGGTGGTCAATGTCCTCCTGTGGTATCTCATCCACCAACTCCTCTCGAAGTGCTTCTAGAGTCTGAGGAGGACGTTGCAAATTGAGCAATCTCCTACCCATCATATCCCACACGTGCTCAATTGGGGATAAGTCGGGAGTTCTTGGTGGCCATGGTAATAATGTGACATCATTATGTTAAAAGAAGTCTATTGTGCTTCTTGCAACATGTGGTCGGGCATTATCTTGTTGGAAAGTTGGATCTGCCAGGGTGTCAAGATAGGGTAAAAGATGGGGTTCTAGAACTTCGTGGATATAACGCTGCGCGTTCATGTTACCTCTGATGAAGATTAAAGGTGAGCTGGAACCATAAGCTATAGCACCCCAAACCATAACTCCAACAGTATGATGAACATGTCTTTCAACAAAAAACTGTGGATTCCTCCTTTCACCACGTCGCCTTCTAACCCTGGTACGACCATCGTGCATGCCTAAACAAAATTGAGACTCGTCACTAAAGACAATACTGTTCTATTCCTGACCGTTGTCTGCACCACTCAAGGCGATTACGTGGGTGTTCTCGAGTTAAAGGGAGGACCCAGTGTGGCCGGTATGAAAACAAGCCAAAACTTCTTATTCGTCGGTAAACACTTCGCATGCTAATAGGTCTTCCGTGTTCTGCAAACCATTCATTTGCAATGGACCTGGTAGTGGAGAAACGGTCCCTTAAGGCCAATAATCTTAGGCGGCGATTTTCACGGTCTGTTGTTCTACGGCGGCGTCCAGTGCCCCTTGCTCTTTGCGTACGGCCTTCTCGAAGCCATGCCTGACAACACCTAACCACAGGGTCTACACTTCTTTGCACTCTAACTGCAATTGCCCGAAAAGAAAGTCCAGCTTCCCGAAGTCCCACTATACGGCCACTATCAAACTCACTAAGTTGACGAAATCGTACAGGTCTCCGTACTCTAGGCATCGTAACCGATCGTAAAGGATGTCAAGAACCAGAATCCGCCAACGTTGATTCTTTACTGCGGCTGAAATATTCATTTTTAAAGCGTTAGTGAATTAAAAAAAATCAGTATAAAAACCGGAATGTCCAACTGATAAGGATAAACATTTTTTCACTTGTTATTTACAGTAAGATAAATACATCCACCAACTTTTATTAAAATAAAACCATTTAAACTGGGTGTTCGGATTTATATGTTACTTAGTATATTAAAATCATTTTCAATAAAAATGGGCTTAACCTAATCTGGCTCTGATGATAGTGTTGATTTCGGTGGAGATTTTTGATTTTGTGTGTCCATTGTCCAAGTTTTTCATCTGATTATTATTTTTTTCAGGAAGTCTACGATGGCAAACACAAAATATACCACGTAAAAGATTTAAAAAATCTGACTCTGGAGAGTGTAGCCAAAATACAAAAAGAAGAAATTAGCGTACAAGTAACTTCAGATGCACCATCAGCTCTGTCTGTACATTTTGAAAAGGGGGAGTTTCGAGAACTTGAGAGGTGATTAAACAAAATAAATATAAAAATGTCATAGGACAATTTAAAAAAAACTCATTTGGTTGGATAAGCTAAATAAATATTTGATTTCAGGATATTATTATTCAACTGTAAAAAAGTGACATACATATGGAGCGTTGATAAGCAGGAATTTGTGAAGTTGTCTGGATTGGATAAAGGAGTTTCCAGTGATGTACTTCACGATTCGATCAGAGGGTTGTCGTACACTGAACAGTTCATGAGGTAATTTTTCGAAAAGACGATTTCTTTTCTTTGGTCCTTGAAACTGTATACAAAATCATGCTGAATCTAAAAATTCTCTCTCTCTCTCTCTCTGCTCTTGTTGTGTGTTTAGAATAATAAACGAAACATTTCAACTTTAAAACAGGATATTACTTTCAGATTGCTGGTGTACGGCCCAAACAGGATCACCATCAAAGAGCAGTCAATTTTGACATTGTTGTTCCTGGAGGTGCTGAATCCGTTTTACATTTTTCAAATATTCAGTTTCATCTTATGGTTCGCCGACAACTATTATTACTATGCACTGACTCTTATGATTATGGCAGCTTTTGGTATCACTATGACCGTCACGCAGACTAGAAAGGTAATATTTCAAGATGCGAAAACATCACTATTACGGAAAATTTTTGAAAATCTTTTACATTGCAAAATTTCCATTTTTTTTTCTCAGTGGTTATAAGTGAAAAAAACTTGGTACATTGAGAATTTGTCGGTAGTTTTTAATTTGTGGGCGAAATCTCAGTTAATGGTTCCTGTTTTGACAATTTATTTCACTTAGATAATTTGGTGCACTAAATGAGAGTATAATCATCAAACTGTGAAATAAAAAAAAAATAAAAATGTTTATTACACACATAAGCAAGATTCTCACGAAATTTTATTAAATAATGAGAAAAAAATTAATAATGTGCTGAGTACTCTCCTTTATACGTCTAGGAATCGACAAAATGAGATGATCGATGTCTGGTTGTGGCACCTCATTCCAAGCAACGATATTCGATGGGATTTAAATCCGGTGAACGGGGTTGCCATGGCATAACATTAACGTCTGCTTCTAGAAGAAAGTCCGCATTACGACGAGCAATATGGCGTGCTGACCTGTCTTCTAGTTCCGTATTCAGCTTATTTTTGACAATTCTTGCACTCACTGTGCCTCCACTAAGAAAATTCCACGAATATACCACACAATTTGAAATGAAATTTCTCCTTATCAACTTACAGTAATGGACAAAAGTATATATACAAATATGAATATTTACCTAAATACCTTTATAAAACGAATTCATACTTCATTGCTCCATAAACAAATGCGTTATTAGTAGAAAAAGTAAATTCCTTGTTTTTACATTATCTGCAATGAACACAATACAAGTCTGAATATAAGCACTTTTTTATGAGGGACAAAAATATGTAGACAAATTCTTTTCAACATTAATTTAGTACAGCTTCGTGTCAGAAGGGGATTAGTATTGTGGAATACGTTGAGTGATTTTAAGACCATGCCGCGGGTTCTTTTGATGTGTAAACTAAGATCATTGGTTATACAAAGATGGTCAACGTCAAGTCGACATTGCCAAAAATTTGAAGCTGAAGCGTAAAGCAGTTTGGGCATTATTGAACAAATATAAACAAAAAGGTATCTTGGAAGACTCTAAGAGAAGTGGTCGGCCTAGAAAACTGAATGCTAGATCAGTTAGATTAATAAAAGTAATTTCGTCCAAAGATCCGTTTAAAACCCCAAGACAAATAAAAGCCGAAATCGAGACAAAAGGAATTGTCAGTGTCTCTACGAAATTGATAAGTACGTATAGAAGATTAAATGATTTGAAGTCATTTTCACGTCGCCCGAGTACGAAGCCGCTAATGTCGAGGAAAAACCATAAGGACCGATTACAATTTGCACGGTTGTATCTTGATTGGAGCATCTGCGACTGGAAGAGGGTATGTTTCAGTGACGGATGCAAGTTCAATATGTTTTAATCAGATGGTGTTCATTACGTTAGACGTCCTAGTGGAGGCGGGTCTTTTATGGTTTGGGGGTGCTTTTCGGGGTTTGGAATGGGACCTTTACATATAATAGATGGCATTATGGATAAGTTTGTATACACAGACATACTAAAGCATGTCATGTTACCCTATATGGAAGACAATATGCCCTTAAGATCAATCTTCCAGCAAGATAATGACCCGAAGCACACTTCAAATCTCGCAAAGATATTCTTTCTGGATGAAAAAAATACCAGTTGTCAAATGGCCTTCACAGTCTCCCGATATAAACTCCATTGAAAATCTGTGGGAATACTTAGATAAGCAAATACGAGATAAAAATTATTGAAACAAGGATGAACTTTTTGCCGCTTTTGAGCAAAAGTGGTGCCAGATTGATGAATCTTATATCAAGAACCTTCTATAATCTATGCCGAGACGATGACAGGCGGTGATTGATAATGATGGTTATGTTACAAAATATTAACACAAACATGGTTGGTTTTCTATAATTCAATGAACTTTGCTTCTTTTTCTATAATTGTTTTGCGTTGTCTATATATTTTTGTCCTTCATAGTTTTTTCAATTATTTTTTTTTTTGAAGGGAGTCTAATGAATTTATTTATGTATATACAGGGTCCGGCAATGAAGTATGGTGTTTTTGCAACGACTATTACATGCAGCACTGTCGAGCCAATGTTTTCACGATGATTGATATCTACTCGTTCCGCGATGCCATTTTAGTAGCCATGGAGCCGTGGTCTGTGGCACATCGCGTGTTTATTTACAACACTTTTATTGAAACTGGTCGTTCTGTTGTGCTCACACAGCGACGATTTCGAAACCATTTTAACGTTGGTCGGCATGGTCGCGTTCCAAGACGCGATACCATTTTGAAGTGGGTAAATAAATTTCAAACAACCGGATCGTTGAGACCTGGTACTGCAAGGGGAAGAGATCGAACAGTGCGAACTCCGGAAAACATTGAAAGAGTGCAACAAGCGGTGAATACTAGCCCTCACCGTTCAGCGGTACGTCACGCTCGCGCTCTTAGAATGTCAGATCGTTCAGTTCGCAGAATCTTGCGTTTGGACCTCCATTACCATCCGTATAAAATTATGATTGTGCAGAAGCTGCTCCAAAATGACTTTGTGAGACGACACAGGTTCGCAGAAAGGATGCTGGAATTGCTGCACGGCAACATCGTTTTGTTCATTAGTGACGAGGCCCATTTTCATTTATCGGGCATGGTAAACAAACGAAACTTCTGATACTGGGCACACGAGAACTGCATGAACAACCTCTGCACTCTGAGAGGGTAACTGTTTGGTGTGCCGTATCTCGAAATTGCATAATTGGCCCGAATTTTTTTCGTGAAAACGGACGAACAGTGTCAGTGAACTCAGATCGTTATTGCGCCATGTTGCGTGATTATTTTCTGCCCGAACTAAGAAGACGACGCATTGACATCAATACAGTTTGGTTCCAACAAGATGGGGCGACTTGCCATACATCAAGAGCTGCAATGGGCTTTTTAAGGGAAAATTTTTCTGGGCGCCTTATTTCGTTGAATGGAAATGTGGAATGGCCACCTCGGTCACCAGACCTTTCATGTTGTGACTACTTTTTATGGGGCTATTTAAAATCCAAAGTTTACATAGACAAACCGCAAACTCTTGAGGCTCTTTCGTAACTCATAACGCGCGAAATTGAAAGGATTCCTCGTGCCATGCTAGAAAGGAGTATGGATGATTTTGCAATCCGTCTCCAAGAATGCATCGACAAGAATGGACGCCACCTAACTGATGTAATTTTTCGCACCTGACTATGTTATGTTACTTAAATGGCATCATTCCACTAATGTATTAAAATAATAAATTTTGATGTATGTTTAAAAATGAAAGTTTGTAATTTTTTTCAAAAACACCATACTTCGTTGCCGGACCCTCTATAAGTAAGTATTATGCTATAACGAATTATGTATACAGGTTGGTGTATTGATAAAACAAGTTAAAAAGAAATACAGCACAATATTAATTTGTCTATATACTTTTGTCCATTACTGTAGATGTTTTTTGGTTTTACTTCGTAGGTGAAGATTCTGACTCATGAGTATCATTAATCGAAATAATCACAATATCGGGCATGTTTCAGAACCAAAGAAATTTGAAATCGACATGCCACAGTAGCGACGTGTGCACGGTGCGTAGACGTCTGTCTGACGGACCCCTGGATGAAACTGGCGAAAAAGACAGATACGAAACGATCTCCACGGAACTGCTAGTTCCTGGAGATATCTTGGAAATACCCTCCCACGGTTGCACGATGTTGTGCGATGCTCTACTGCTTACTGGCAACTGCATTTTAAATGAATCTATGTTGACGGGTAAGATCACTTATGTACAGAATCAGCAGTGGATCGTTGATGTAACTTATTCAACGTGTGCGAGCGAGGTAGAAGAAGAAACACGCATCTTCAGCCTCTGTGAGGGCAGAGGAAGTTGAGCTTGACCCTCCAACTGTTTTTCCAAGAGTTAATTGTTCATAAATGAAATGCAGAATTCTGTTCACCTTTTAATGAAAAATTCCCAGTAAATTCTAAACATGGATAAATACAGGGTGGCCAATATAACGGGTGATTTTTTAAGAGGTATAGAATTTGAAAACACAAAAAATTTGAAAAAACGATTAAATCTTTATTTGAGTCGATAGAACGGTCGATATAATTTAATGTTTAAAGATTATTTCATGTAAATGTTGGCCGCGGCTCCGCTTTATATGGCCCATGCGCAAGGTCCACTCTCTCCAACATATCGGCCGGTATCTCACGAATAAATGCTTCAATATTGGCTTCCAGTGCGTCAATCGGTGCTGGTTTATCCCTGTAGACATTAGCCTTAACATGGCCCCACAAGAAATAGTCCAACGGCGATAAATCACACGATCTAGGCGGCCAATTGACGGGCCCCAAACGTGAGATAAAGTGTTCACCGAACTCGCCTCTCAATAGGGCCATTGTTTCGTGTGTGGTGTGGCATTTGGCACCGTCGTGTTGAAACCACATGTCAGCCAAGTCCAGCTCTTCCATTTTGGGCAAAAAAAAGTTTGTTATCATCGCACGGTAGAGCTCGCCATTCACAGTTACGTTCCGGCCATTGTCGTCTTTGAAGAAGTACGGCCCGATGATGCCACCGGCCCATAATCCACACCAAACAGTGATTTTTTCGGGATGCATTGGTAGCTCTTGCAATTCTTCTGGCTGGTCTTCACTCCAGATGCGGCAATTTTGCTTGTTAACGTACCCATTCAACCAGAAATGAGCTTCGTCGCTGAACACAATTTTTCGATAAAAATGTGGATCTTCCTCCAACTTTGCCAGCGCCTATTCACCAAATTGGAAACGTTGTGGGAGGTCGTGTGGCTTCAATTCTTGCACCAGCTGTATCTTATAAGGTTTTACACCCAAATCCTGTCGCAAAATTTTCCCCGTAGTGGAGTAACAGAGGCCCAATTGCTGCGAACGGCGGCGAATCGACATTTCACGGTCATCACTAACACTGGCGGATACAGCCGCAATATTTTCTTCAGTCCTCACTCTACGTCAGCGTGTTCGTGGTTTAATGTCCAATAATGTAAACTGGGTTCTAAATTTAGTCACAAGCTTCCTAATAGCTGCTCAGTAGGCCGACCAAATTGCCCATAAATTGGAAGCTGTGCTCGATGCACTCTCTTAACCGAGCATGAATTTTGATAGTAAAATTCAATAATTTGCAAGCATTGTTCGTTCGGAAGTCGATTCATGGTTAAATTATAGACCAAACTGAACAAGTTTGACAATGACACAAGACACGATTCACGCGTCATCTGTCAAAAACAGTGTTGCCAAAAAGATACCAGCAAAAAAATCACCCATTATAACTGACTGATTTAAGTTGCGCGCAATTTTTGACACACGCATTTCAGTAGGTGATGGTGCCGTGGTAGTTGTTTAAAACACAAGTGGCTAATTCATCATGGAGCGCTACACGATCCCACAACGCATCCGTATTGTTAAAACGTTTTACTTGAATAATGAGTTGTAGCGATTCGGAAACTACGAGAAGATTTTGGTCGAAATACTGTGCCCACTGTCAACATCATTCGTCAGTTGGTGCGGAAATTTGTACAAACAGGTGAAGTTAATGACTTGCCAAGGTCGGGCCGTGTTCGAACTGTTCGTACTCCGGAAAATATCGAGAGAGTTCGTGAAAGTGTAGTGGAGCGCCCTGAGATGTCTACCAGACATCGTTCTCAAGAACTGGCTATTCGTCTCAAGTCATTATACACTATTTTAAAAAAATAATTTCATTCACAGTTTGGTGCGGTGTTTGATATGGAGGTGTTATTGAACCTTACTTCTTTGAAGACGCTGAAGGTAATTCTGTCACTGGCAAGCGCTACCGTGATATGGTGCAAAACTTTCTGGCTCCTCAAATCCAACAATTTAACCTGCAAAACATGAGGTTCCCGCAGGAGCAACTTGTCACACACCTAGGGAAACAATGAATCTTATCAACTTTCCAGCAAGGTCACCGGATTTAACGACTCCTGACTTTTTTATGAGGATTTGTTAAAAATAGGTTTTGTGTCAACAACCCTAATAATAATTATAATAATAAATGTTTTTATTAGCCACACAACAATAGGGCGAAGTTTAGCCAGTTGGCTACTCTTACACCCAACCCTATTGTGTGATTAAATATGTATATACAATTCAAAGTCACATACATGCAACCTAAAAATAAATACATCGATCTGGATTTCAACTAAGTGAGCTAATAATAAAGGGAAAAAATACAATCAATTGATAAATCCGCGCTATATTGGTTTACCAAAAAGGAACCAGTCAAGAACCAATAAACCTCACAGCATTGAAAGTGAAACATTTTTGAAACAATGCTGTGTAGTGCAAATGCATTGTCAGATTATTATTATGCCTCAGATGTCTAAGATTAATGATTCGTCTAGTTACCAATTTACTATGGAGGTAGATGGGCTTTTTAGTGCACAATATCTTATGCACAAATACCTTAAGACTATATTCAAATTGTTGATCCATTTTCAGCCATTTCAACTCCTTGATCTTGGAGGAGACATGACTATTTTTTCGAATACCATACAGCAGTTGTTTTGCATTCTTTGGATCCTAGACAGATTCATCGAGTCAAGACAAGGATAGTATAAGGTTAAAGCATAGTTGAGGCTGGACATTATCAAACTTTCAACTAGCTTCTTACGCGTTTTAAAGTTCAAAATGAATCTATTAGCATATAGCAGTCTTAATTTGATGTAGGTGGACTTCAATAGATGACACACATGTTTGTCAAATCTTGAACGAGAGTCGAAGATGACACCAAGATTTTTTGCTTGTTCCACAATAGGAATGACCTCGTTGTTGATGCTCAATGCAATTCTGTGCCTTACTCTATTATGGATAAAAAAGTATGCAAGTACTCTTATTCGGATTAATCTTCAACATGTGTCTTTTGCAAAAATCAGTGATGTTGGCAGGATCACAATTTATCTTATATGACACTTCATCGAGATGAGACAAGTCAAAATAAAAAGAAAGGTGCATATCATCCGCGTAAGTTTGTATAGCTCAATGCTCAATACATGAATGTAAATCAAAACTATATATCAAATACAGTAAAGGACCTAAGACAGAGGGACTGAGGGACACCTGAAGAAGATGACACACCTCTAACTGTCTTCTCCTTTTGTTTACGATTAGTTAAGTAATTTAAAAAAAAATTAAGCGGAATGTCAGAAAGTCCAATATACCTACTTTAACTTACTCAACAAAATTTTATGGTTAACAGTGTCGAACGCCTTAGAGAAGTCGACCATAACTAAAACTGTATTAATATGTTTATCCATATTATTTAAGATACTGTCTGTCAAATGGAGAAGTGAAGAAGTTGTACTGTGTCCAGCACGAAATCCAGACTGATGGACAGGAAGTAAATTGTTCATATCTAAATATTCAATTAGTTGGAGATAAACAGCTTTTTCTAATATCTTTGAAAAGAAACACAGTATGCTGACGGGTCATAAATGATCAAGGGTTATGGGATTTTTTACTTTGGCTAGAGGAAGAATTATTGCTTCTTTCCAGACAAGGAAAGGAAAGCTCCCAGTTTCCAAACATATATTAACAATATGAGTTAGATACTGAAGTATACTAAGTGACATATAAATCCAAACACCCAGTTTAAATGGTTTTATTTTAATAAAATTTTGTATAAGTACTTAATGAAGCATAATAAGTAAATGATAAAAATTTCAAAATGATTGCACTGCTTTAAAGCCTTTTGACCTTTAATAATGTGTGGATGCACCCTGATGTGCTACGCATTCTCCAAAGCGCCTAGGCATGCTTCTGATCAGGTGGTCAATGTCCTCCTGTGGTATCTCATTGAAGGCAACCACCAACTCCTCTCGAAGTGCTTCTAGAGCCTGAGGAGGACGTTGCAAATTGAGCAATCTCCAACCCATCATATCCCACACGTGCTCAATTGGGGATAAGTCGGGAGATCTTGGTGGCCATGGTAACAATGTGACATCATTATGTTGAAAGAAGTCTATTGTGACTCTTGCAACATGTGGTCGGGCATTATCTTGTTGGAAAGTTGGATCTGCCAGGGTGTCAAGATAGGGTAAAAGATGGGGTTCTAGAACTTCGTGGATATAACGCTGCGCGTTCATGTTACCTCTGATGAAGATTAAAGGTGACCTGGAACCATAAGCTATAGCACCCCAAACCATAACTCCAACAGTGTGATGAACATGTCTTTCAACAAAAAACTGTGGATTCCGCCTTTCACCACGTCGCCTTCTAACCCTGGCACGACCATCGTGCATGCCTAAACAAAATCGAGACTCGTCACTAAAGACAATACTGTTCCATTCCTGATCCCAGAGTGACCGTTGTCTGCACCACTCAAGGCGATTACGTCGGTGTTCTCGAGTTAAAGGGAGGACCCAGTGTGGCCGGTATGAAAACAAGCTAAAACTTCTCATTCGTCGGTAAACACTTCGCAAGCCAATAGGTCTTCCGTCTTCTGCAAACCATTCATTTGCAATGGACCTGGTAGTGGAGAAACGGTCCCTTAAGGCCAATAAGCTTAGGCGGCGATCTTCACGGTCTGTTCTACGGCGGCGTCCAGTGCCCCTTGCTCTTTGCGTACGGCCTTCTCGAAGCCATGCCTGACAACACCTAACCACAGTGTCTACACTCTAACTGCAATTGCCCGAAAAGAAAGTCCAGCTTCCCGAAGTCCCACTATACGGCCACTATCAAACTCACTAAGTTGACGAAATCGTACAGGTCTCCGTACTCTAGGCATCGTAACCGATCGTAAAGGATGTCAAGAACCAAAATCCGCCAAGGTTGATTCTTTACTGCGGCTGAAATATTCATTTTTAGAGCGTTAGTGTATTAAAAAAAAGCAGTATAAAAACCGGAATGTCCAACTGATAAGGCTGAAAATTTTGTCACTTGTTATTTACAGTAAGATAAATACATTCGCCAACTTTTATTAAAATAAAACCATTTAAACTGGGTGTTCGGATTTATATGTCACTTAGTATACATCAGATAAACAAAGACCAAACATGTCCACACCAATACCATCACAGCCTATTGCAGTCGACTTTATAGAGACAGAAATATCTAGGATCTCCTGAACACTTACAGGTCTGAACACAGATAGTGTTAAATTAGCATCGAATAAATTCTGTTGATAATATTCAGCTGTAGCATCAATTAAACGAGAATGGGTATGGGTATTTTGAAAATTTAATAAAAAGTGGTTGTTAACTTCGTTTGGTTCTAATAAAATTAATGGAATCTCAGTATGTTTCTGAGGACAAACGTACAATACTGTAGAGCAGCTGAAGAACAGTAATACGGAAGCGATTGAAAATATTCCTCCCGAAACCTACCGAAAAGTGATTGAAAATGTAATCAAGAGGGCTCAGATTTGCGCTGCTTCTAGAGGCGGACATTTGTCTGATATTATTTTTCATACATAATTTCTAAGTTTCAATACAACATTAAGATGAAAAACATGGACGTATTTCATTTCACAAATATTCAAGATATAAACCAGTCAGTTACGTATCGGCCACCCTGGATTTTGGGGTAATCTTACCGGTTTTCAGTATTTCTACTATGCCGAATTATTGGGCTGAATTGCAGAAAAAAAACCGCCCCATTTGGCGAAGAAAAAAGTGCTCTTCCACCATCCATCGTATTCTCCAGACTTGACCCCGTGCGACTTCTTTTTGTTTCCAAACTTGAAAAAGTCACTCGCCTGGCAGAAATTTGAGTCGAATAATGAGATTATCGCCGCCACATAGAGCTAATCCTGAAAGGAGACTGTGTTGAATAAATCGCCACTTTTCCAAAATTTTCGCTTTTCTTTTGTATGCTAAGTACTTATCGGACCAACCTCGAATGTTTCTCTCTCTATCTCTCTGTTACGCACTACAGGAGGTCTCTAGATTTCTAAACAGAAAACAGTACTGCCTTCCGAGGTAAGAAACATGAATACATGTTTGTTTTTAGGTGAGTCTGTCCCGGTTACGAAGACTGCATTTCCAAATATTCCGAATATCGTATACGACCCAAAAGAGCACGCGCGACATACGCTGTTCAGCGGAACCAAAGTTATACAGACGAGATATTTTGGCGATGAAAAGGTTTTGGCTGTGGTCGTCAGAACTGGATTTTCTACTGCCAAAGGTTCGTATCATTATTACGACCTATGATTATTTAAGCCGAAAATACTAAGAGGTTTGTTTCAAAAATTGGGTTCCCACATTTTTCTCAGGCACAAGGAATCACCATTGGATCTTTACGCTATTTTTACTCGGCAATGTTACAGCGCTGGGAACCCTATTTTTGAAACAATTCTCGCAGATCGCAATAATTTGAGGCTCGATGTTTGTTTTGTCGAGGCATAAATGAGATTTTCTCATTGTGTGCAATGGTATTATTTTGAAATTTCAGGTAGTCTAGTCAGGAGTATACTCTATCCTCCTCCGGTGGATTTTAGATTCGAGAAGGATTCCTATAAGTTTGTTGCTGTGTTAGGATTAGTAGCATTTACTGGATTCTTATATACACTCATAACTAAGGTAAGGCGCGAAATCATAAATGCGGTTACATAGTTCCACAGTTTGAAATATTTTTAATCTAAGGATGCCATTTAGTTAAAAAGGTCGCATATATTCTCAGATTGGATTCAAAATTACCAATCTCTGAGATGGAGAAACAATAAGGCATGCCTTCGTTTCCATATACAGATTTTCTTCACACAATAAGTCCTGTTCTTTATTTTTCAGTTGATGAGAGGTGTAGAGGTAGGAGAATTAGTGATCGAAGCTTTGGATTTGATAACGATCACCGTGCCACCTGCTCTGCCCGCGGCCATGACTATTGGTAGATTTTACGCGCAGAGCAGGCTGCAAAAGAACCAGATTTACTGCATATCGCCCAGAACCATCAACGTTTCAGGGTCCATCAATTGCGTCTGCTTTGACAAGGTAAATAGACGTTCACGCTTCGAAAGTTGATAATGATGCATCTTAGCAAAAGGTGTCAGCCAAGTTAGATCAGAAAACACTTTAAATACCTATATTCTCACACGTTGTCTAGACAATACAGGGTGTTAATCAAGTATGTACCAAAAATGTAACAGACGATTCTTTTGAGTGATTTTGAGGCAAAAAGTTTATATAAACTTAGGTCTGCAGATTCCTAGTTTTTGGGGTTTGTTAAAATTTAAAAAAAGAAATATTTTTTCGTAAATATACTAAGTGACATATAAATCCGAACACCCAGTTTAAATGGTTTTATTTTAATAAAAGTTGGTGAATGTATTTATCTTACTGTAAATAACAAGTGAAAAAATTTTCAGCCTTATCAGTTGGACATTCCGGTTTTTATACTGCTTTTTTTTTAATTCACTAACTCTCTAAAAATGAATATTTCAGCCGCAGTAAAAAATCAACGCTGGCGGATTTTGGTTCTTGACATCCTTTACGATCGGTTACGATGCCTAGAGTACGGAGACCTGTACGATTTCGTCAACTTAGTGAGTTTGATAGGGGCCGTATAGTGGGACTTCGGGAAGCTGGACTTTCTTTTCGGGCAATTGCAGTTAGAGTGCAAAGAAGTGTAGACACTGTGGTTAGGTGTTGTCAGGCATGGCTTCGAGAAGGCCGTACGCAAAGAGCAAGGGGCATTGGACGCCGCCGTAGAACAACAGACCGTGAAGATCGCCGCCTAAGATTATTGGCCTTAAGGGACCGTTTCTCCACTACCAGGTCCATTGCAAATGAATGGTTTGCAGAACACGGAAGACCTATTGACATGCGAAGTGTTTACCGACGAATGAGAAGTTTTGGCTTGTTTTCATACCGGCCACACTGGGCCCTCCCTTTAACTCGAGAACACCGACGTAATCGCCTTGAGTGGTGCAGACAACGGTCACTCTGGAATCAGGAATGGAACAGTATTGTCTTAGTGACGAGTCTCGATTTTGTTTAGGCATGCACACTGTTGGAGTTATGGTTTGGGTTGCTATAGCTTATGGTTCCGTTAATCTTCATCAGAGGTAACATGAACGCGCAGCGTTATATCCACGAAGTTCTAGAACCCCATCTTTTACCCTATCTTGACACCCTGGCAGATCCAACTTTCCAACAAGATAATGCCCGACCATATGTTGCAAGAGTCACAATAGACTTCTTTCAACATAATGATGTCACGTCGTTACCATGGCCACCAAGATCTCCCGACTTATCCCCAATTGAGCACGTGTGGGATATGATGGGTAGGAGATTGCTCAATTTGCAACGTCCTCCTCAGACTCTAGAAGCACTTCGAAAGGAGTTGGTGGTTGCCTGGAATGAGATACCACAGGAGGACATTAACCACCTGATCAGAAGCATGCCTAGGCGCGTTGGAGAATGTGTAGCACATCAGGGTGCATCCACACATTATTAAAGGTCAAAGGGCTTTAAAGCAGTGCAATCATTTTGAAATTTTTATCATTTACTTATTATGCTTCATTAAGTACTTATAACAAAATTTTATTAAAATAAAACCATTTAAACTGGGTGTTCGGATTTATATGTTACTTAGTATATATTACTAAACTAATTCAGCCCTAACTTGATTAAATTTAATAAGTCTATTGGTCTCTCGAGCGAGATCTGAACGAACATTTGTGACAAAAATTATACGCCACTAACTTTTTGCAATTTTTATTATGTTCTCTGGATTAAGCAAATAGAAATACAACTTTTTCTCTCGAATTTTTTTCGTGTCTTGCTTAGTTTTTGAGAAAATAAAGTCCACTTAATTGTATATCCCTGGATCACACAAGCGATATAGGGAAAAGTCTCTTTTGAAGATTATTTTTTCTATAATTTTTTATTACTAATTATGTAATTATACTTAATTAAAACGCTGTATAATGATAATCTTTATTTGCAACATACAGCTTAGGTAATCAGTACATTGCAGCAAAATACACAAACGAAATATGTTACAAAAAGGGCTGAAAATATTTATAAATGATCCAAGTTCAGCCTTGAAGCTGTTAGACATTTATAAAAAAAGATCTACCTTAGGCAGCCCCGAAAAAAATGCTAGTGGTAGTACAAAATGTAAACTTTCGTTGGTTTAAACTGGTTTGGATGCAGGATTTTCAAGTCATTAGGAATTTGATTATAATAATAATTTCAAGTATCTGCGTGAAACTATCGTCGCATTGCCAACAAGTGCGAAAACCTGCATCTTGCCTAGGCTTTCCGCCATAGCTTTTTTACTGTTAGTCGGATTTTTTACGTGTGGTCTTATTCTGTGTGTCTCATAAATACCTAAAAATCTTATTTGAAGAGTTTTTTAGTTCCTGCCAACACTTTCGATTGAATTCCAAAAAACACCATTTCTCATTTTTTGTTGTCAAATAAAAAGTTTCCCCACAAAAATTGTTGTACCCATTTTATGCGTCCATGATTCAAATACCCCCTTGAACAACTTGCGTCAATATAACCAGACTTTACAGTTATTTCGCAAACCAAGGGTATATTCGCCTAATATGATTGAATATTTATATGCTAAAGAAAAAAAGCAATATTTTAAGTTCAACAGTTAGTACATATCGATGAGCATACAGAACTCTCAGATAAGCATAAGCTTTCTGGATGCATTTATTAAAATTAATCTTAGATTTGAGTCAAATTCTGCTCCTAAATTTCTCACAGTAGTTGAACAAGGTATAGATTCACTTATTTTGTCATGAAAAGTGACCTTGATATTGCCTTACAATCTGCCAAACAACATAAGATGTGATATCATTAATCTCTAGACCACGATTTTCCGAAAATACAACTACAAATCTTTCAATATCTCGATTAATAATGGCCAAGGCATTACGTTTCTTGTTAGGATTGAGCATCGTCAACATACAAATGTACCTGACAATTGGAGGACTTAAAATGGTGCTTTGTGGTATACCCTAAGGGATGTCGTCTTTCTAGAAATTCCCTTTTTCTGTTTCTACGTATTTTCTTCTCTTAGTTAAATAGTGGCACATAAGCTTGATATCAGACTCTGAAAACAATATATAGAGTAAAATACCAGTTGAAACTTCATGATTTTGTTTATCAAACGCCTTGGAGTAGTCCAAGAACACGAGTGGTTTCCTCGTCTGCATTCCTTTGCCTTGCATTCTTTCTCTGAGAGTAATTCTACAATTCTGAACTTTTCTATACAGGGTGTCCGCAAAGTTGGGGTTTTCCTTTTCAGAAACAACTACCCTTGAAATAACAAAGGTAATGTGTAGTGAAACGAGGGAGACCAAGTAAAAAAAAAATAAAGGAAAAAGTACTCACTCTCCAGTTGACGAGAAGGACTAAGTACGTCTCTGCCCGAAATCATACCGCTCCAACAGAAAATGAAATCAGCTGATGCGCTACCGAGCAGACGCACCGAAAATGTTTGTTGAAAATGTGCCCGACGGACAGCGTGCGGATTTTCTACTGACCAAACATGCGTGTTGCGAAAGTTATTCACCCCATTACGCGTGAATGTAGATTCGTCTGTCACCAATATGCGCTTCAAAAAGTCCGGATTATTGTCATGTTGATGCAACAACCACTCACAAAACCGCACTCTTGCTGGAAAATCGTCAGGTTGAAGGGCTTGTACACGTTGGACGTGAAACGGATACAGCCCCTCTTCACGCAGCGTTTGCCACACTTTAGTTTTTGATACTTGCACTTCTCTAGCCACGTCTCTAGTGCTTGTTGAGGGATTCTCGTCTACGCGATTACCTCTACACGCGTGACCGTAACCGTCGGTTGAAGGTTGCATACTGACCTGACACACTGACCCCGACCCAGTTCTGTCGTCGGGTTGAGCCAGTGACATTGTACCACTCCGTGATGTCGCGGCTACAGGACGGTATTCAGATATTTTTGATGTTGCAGAGCCCTTTATCTCGGTTCCCTTAAGACATTGGTGTATAGGGTACTAAGAAAAATTGCTTATGTTTTCAAGATCTACACGTCGTGTAAAGGAAAACCCCAACTTTGCGGACACCCTGTATATAAGACAATCTAAGCCTTCGCTTCTTTCAGACTGGAACCTTAACTGAAGACGGTTTAGATTTATTATGCGTAGTGCCGATCGAAAATAAGCGTTTCAAGCAGTCTGTGAATAACGTGGAAAGTATGCCGTATGACACTCTGCTTTATGGACTTGTCTCCTGTCATTCTCTCACTGTAATCGACAAGCAAATAGTCGGAGATCCCCTTGATATGAAGGTAAGTTGAATTTTCTCATCCTGCTGGAATATTTTGTTAATAGTCCTTGATCTCAAGTATGACAAAAGGATAACGGATGATTCGTGGAGATCTCATTATTCAAGATCAAAATTAAAAGAACTGTGTCGGGTTATATTTATTATTTAGCAAAAGAAGCACCAATGAAACCCTACGAGGGTGAATTAAATATGAACCGGACTTTTCTGTTTAACGCGTCATAGGTGAATGGACTAGGGCGACGTCTTCGTATATGTTGGGTGGGGATGTCAGGAAGAAAGGAGTCGGTCGGTTAGGCGCGTCGAAATAAATGAACTGTTAGTAGCAGTGTCTGAGCAAGAGTTGCACAAGTCTGTTATTATCATAATTTTTGGCGCGGGAGGGCGTAAAACCTTCAGAAATTTTGTGTCGTTTACTCGCACAGTTCGGCGATGAGACAGTTTCAAGGCCACAAGTATACGACTGGCAAAAAAAATTCCATGGCCTGGAGACCAGTCTTTCTGCAGGAAAAGTTCTTGCAACGGTATTTTGGGATTTCAGAAGTGTACTGCTAGTTGATTTTCTTCACCACCACTACTGCCAATTGCCTAAAGAAGTGAAACTGGCTACATGCGTATTCGAAGCGAAATTCTGCCTCATGACAACGCTCGACCACACACAGCACAGCATTGACCCAAGAAAAATACGCGAAATTCATCGGGAAACACTTGAACACCCGCCTTGCAGTCCCCGTTTGTCGCCATGTGACTATCACATGTTTGGGTTATTTAAAGAAGACCTGGGAGGTCACCACTTTGACGACGAAGAAGGTGTGGAAGCGTTCGTGCACAATTGGCTACTGACACGACCAGCTTTATTCATTGATGGGGGAATTAAAAAACTCTCGATCCAAAGGAAAAATCCATCAAGAAGATTATGTAGAAAAATGAGATGTAAATAAACTTGCATTTATACTGGGTGCGCCATCGATTACTTTTTCTTTACCTATAAGTTCATGTGTTACCATGTGAGTCAGAAGTCATGTGGTATGCATACATGAACTGTCAAAGGTATGACATTTATAGTCATGGATTCGTTTACAACACAACAACGCATTTTGGTTATTCAAACTTATTACGAAAACGGTCTAAATATAAAAAAAAAATCGCAAACTTCGCACTAGTTTTGGCCGACATGGACGCCCTACAGAGCCTGGAATTCGTTGGATTGTTAATCGATTCGAGGTCGTAGACCATACCAACATGCTCGTCCAGCTCGTACTCGTGCAAAAATAACCGCAGTGAGTGAAAGTGTGTGAAGATCCAACCACCTCGACTAGGCACCGTTCGCAACAATTGGGAATTAGTGAGACCACTTTACGCCGGATTTTACACATTGATTTACAGCTCCATCCATACAAATTCAACTAACACAAGAATTGAAGCCGGCAGACCATCAACAGCGGCGTGTTTTCGTTGATTGAATGCTGGAAAGAGACGGGATTTTCGGCCAAAGTGCTCTTTTCTGATGAGGCTCATTTTCACCTCAATGGTTACGTAAATAAGCAAAATTGCAGATTCTGGGAGGCTGAAAATCCACACCAATATCAAGAGCAACCTCTCCATCCTGAAAAAGTGAATGTTTGGTGCAGATTATGGGCCGGTGGCATCGTTTGAAGATGTCGAAGAAAAGGCCATTACCGTCAACAGGGAACGTTATCGCGGCATGTTAACAGACTTTTTGTGGCCACAATTTTATCGTATTGGTGCCGACGATCTTTGGTTTCATCAAGACGGAGCAACGGCTCACTCATCTCGCCAAACAATCGCCTTATTGCCCTCGAAATTTCACGACTGCATATTTTCACGAAATTCAGATGTCAGTTGGCCCCCGAGATCGTACGATTTAACACCTCTTGACTATTTTCTTTGGGGATTTTTGAAAGGAAAAGTGTATGCGAATGGTCCCCGGACAATTCAAGACCTAAAGCGCAATATTCGGACTGAAATTGCGGCCATAGACCCGATTATTCTGGGGAGTCATTGAAAATTTTGATGTTCGGATGTTGCCCTGTAAACGAAGCCGCGGTGGTCACATGACTGATGTTATTTTTCATACATAAATGGCATAAACCAACCTTAATTTATCAATAAAAAAAAATCGATTTCACCTCGTAAAAAGCGTGTTGATTTTTTAAATAGAAACAAAAGTAATAGATGACGCACCATGTTGACAATTATAAAAGATTTATCATTATTATTATTATTATTATTATTTAGATGTTCGAGAGCACAAAATGGGTGATGGAAGAATACGAAGTGGCCGACAACAGCAAATTCAACATGATCTTCCCGACAGTGTTCAAGCCACCGAAATCCTCCGCTTCCAAACCCCAGGACCTGGATTTTGACGATCTGCAGATCGGGACGCTTCGTGAGTTCCCGTTCTCGAGCAGTTTGCAACGGATGGGCGTTATCGTCAGGAGGCTGAACGGTACCCACTTTGAGTACTATTGCAAAGGATCGCCGGAGATGATACTGAATTTTGTGAAGAAGGAATCGGTACCGGACGATTTTGGAGATGTACTCGAGAGCTACACGCAGGAAGGATATAGGGTCATCGCCATAGCGCATAAGGTAAGTTTTTCAATTCCAATTTCGGCGCTATCCATTATAGTCTCTTAGTCCATTACGATAAAAAAAAACAGCTGGTTATAATAATAATAATAATGTTTATTGAAGTAAATACATAACAAGCACAATACCCCAAAAGACTGAGGGTTGAAAATACCATTTTTCATCTTAGCCTACTAAACTACAGCTGTGAAAATTATCAATATATCATGGATAATGTTGAGTATACATAACTTAGAGAAATGATTATTTTAAGAACCCTGCATTAAACTTAAACATCTTAGAGCCATTAGTTTGTTGCCGGTGCTATCTAAAATTTTGGAAAAAATTATACAGCAACAAGTTGTCCATTACATAGAGGAACTAAAAATAATATCGTCATGTCAATCGGGCTTCAGGAAGCACCATAGTACCACCTCGGCACTGTTAGATCTTTGTGATAATGTTATTAGGGCAGTTGACAAAAAGTTAGCAACAGCAGTGGTATCAATTGACTATTCCAAAGCATTCGATCGAATAAATCATAAACTTTTGTGCGCCAAGCTGAGGTATATAGGCTTCGATGATGCTGCTGTCATTTTTTTCCGTAGCTATTTGTCCGGTCGCACGCAATGTGTCGCAATCAATAACGATCAATCCAATATTACGACTATTCCGTCAGGAGTTCCGCAAGGCTCAATTTTGGGACCTGTGCTCTTTTTGATTTACACGTATGACCTGCATAAAGCAGTTGACAATTCAGGGATACAAACATTTGCTGACGATACTCAAATAATATTCCATTTCGACGCCTCAGATACGCAAAATTCATCAGACATTTTACAGCTTAATTTAGATAAGGTACATCAGTTTTCTATGGAACATAATCTTACTATTAATCCAGATAAGACACAAGTGTTATTGTTTTGTTCTGATCAGAAGAGGAAAACTGTCGAAGATTCCTTCCATCTGACTATTGATGGCATAACATTACAGCTTACTCAAACAGCTAAGGTACTAGGAGTGGAAACTGACACAAAATTAAGATTCCGCAGCCAAATAGCTAATTTGATGAAAAAACTTACCTGTGTTCTAGGGCTCTTTATTCCAATCGCTACTTGCTTAAGTTTAAGCTGAGAAAAACACTGTGCGAATCTTTGGTGATGTCAATGCTCAGTTACTGTGATGTCGTTTATTATCCATGTTTGGATCAATTGACCAAAAATCGTCTTCAATTCATCCAAAATAACTGTGTTCGCTTTATTTATGGGTTGCGTAAATACGATCACGTAAGTGATAAATATAGGGAATTGAACTGGCTTAGGTTAGGAAGTTTGGTTAAACATAAATTCTTAGTTTTAGTTCATAAAATAATATTGTCATCAAAGCCTGAATATCTAAGAACTAAGTTAAGATTTAATTACGAAGTGCATGACAGGGCTGTTAGGAATCGTTATAGTATCAGAACCACCCCGCACACTTCTGAATTATTCCAACGAGGATTTACATATAATGCAGCACTATTTTATAATCAGTTGGACAACAGTATTAAATTGATGTCTTTGGAAAGTTTTCGTAAACATACTAAAAGCATGTTGCTTGCTATTGATTAAATACGCATTTCTGCTACAGATATAGATTGTGTCTATTTGTTTTTTATACTTAGGTATATATGTGTTCTTTTTTTCATTGTTCTTATATATATATATATATATATATATATTTTTCCATGTTTTGAACATCAGATGTAACCGACATAAACAGTTAAGTGTAAGAGTAACCTTGGCTAAACTTCGCTGTTTATGTCCCTCCGGGTTATCCAATAAAGTCGTTATTATTATTATTATTATTATTATTATTATTATTATTATTATTATTTAACTAATTAATCATGCTGCCATTGAAATAAAGCATTGTTTAAATTTAGATGTTGAATGTTGCAACAATTATGATGGCATAGTCATACTTGTCGAAGTGACGACTGCTTCTTTAATTTTCTGAAGAATTACCTGGCGGATTTATAGTTTAGGACTTTATTTAACAAGGTAGCATAAAAAAGCAATGAGCGAGATTGAAATTTTAAAACCTGCTGTTGCTATTTGAATTTAGGAACATGACCTCCAATTAGTTGACAGTTTTTTTGTCATTGTGCTTTCATTTAAAGGTTTTGAAGATGTCGTATGCGAAAGTACAAAAAGTACAGAGAGACGTAATAGAAAAGGACCTTGATCTGTTGGGCTTGATTGTCCTTGAAAATAGGTTGAAACCTGACACTACGCCTTGTATCCAATCCCTCAATGATGCAAATATAAGAGTCATCATGGTCACAGGTAAACATCATATTTGTAATTTAATATATTTCTCTTCTCTATTCTGTGTCGGATTCACCAAGGAAGGGAGTATTAATACAGATTACAGATACGCAACTGTTTTTTTTAAAATATCCTTATGATACGTTGCATAATGATTGTATACTTTATCTGAAGTCACTTGAAACACTGTGAAATACCGGGTGCGTTTTATATATCTATATTTAACACGCTCTGTTGCTGCAAAACTCGCCAAATTTCGCAGCAAATATCCCCCGTATAAGATCAAAGGCAGTTTCACCGGTCCACGTGGAGTAAAGCACGCCTATGCGTGGACATAGCCAATGAGAAACCGTGTATTTCAGAGCTCCGAACAAGTGCAGGTGGCTACTGAAAATTGAAACAGTTTAGCCAGTGCCGTGTAGCGGTGAATAAACGTGTTTTCTTTAGTCTGTCCGTGTTTTTTCATAGATTTTATTAGTTTGTGTGTTTTTGACTTTTGAATACTCAGTTTACTTGTTGATTTAATTGTTGTGTTGATTGTTCTTGTGTGTCCTAAATATGGCTCTTTGGAGACCTTGGGAAAATGCTCCAAGCCACGAGGAGATGGTTGATGAACCTGTGCAGGCAGAATTCTTTCATAAAGATTTAGAGGGACAGACCCAAAGAGTAATCCTAAATATGTATGATTGTCTGAAAAACGAAAATCTAGATTCCTCGCAAAATCAAATTTTAAACAAAATTTGTATCCTGACAAAAATCAGTCGGTCTACCATTTATCGGGTTATAAAAAGGGGAGATGTAGTCAACCATTCCTTCCACAGAAAGCGCATAGGGCAAAAATTAAAAAGAATAGACGTGGGTTTTCAGGAAGATATTCGTCGTATAATATACGGATTTTATAAAGAAAATTTGGTGCCCACGTTGGAAATGATACGGGATAAATTAAAAGATTATGCTGAAGATTTTTATAATTACAAATGCTTAGACTCACTGCACTGTATTGTAAAACTGTGTGGTTTTCAATACAAAAAATTAGATAAAAGAATGGTGATTATGGAGTCGTCTCGAATCGTTGAATTGCGCCAAGAATTTTTGCACAAAGTTAAAATCTATAGAGAGCAGAAAAGAAATCTGATTTACCTGGATGAAACGTGGTATGATACCCATGATGTTGTGCAGTACGGCTGGGTTGACGACAGCAACAAGTGCATTTTAAATGCACCATGCAACCGTGGAAAACGAATCATTATTCTCCATGCTGGCAGTGAAAATGGATTTATACCTAATGCCTTGCTGTTATCTGCCAAAAATATCAAAGAATCATGTGCCGACTATCATGAGGACATGACCTCCGACTTATTTGAAAAGTGGATAGAGTAGCAGTTAATACCAAACATTTCCCCAAATTCAGTGATTATTATGGACAATGCCTCATACCATTCCCGACAGAAAAACAAAATTCCGAATACAGGCACAAAAAAACAAGACATTATTGATTTTATGAAGGATAAGGGAATGGAAATACCACAAAAATCAACCAAAGCCATATTATTGGATCTTATTAAAAGACAAAAATTTGAAAAAGAGTATGTTGTTGACAATGTGCTTCAGCAAAATGGCCATGAAGTATTACGTCTACCTCCCTATTACTGCATTTTTAACCCGATTGAGTTGGTCTGTGCTGCTTTAAAAAAAAAGTAAGAAAACATAATCAGACTCCTCAATTAAGTGAATCGCTATTGGCCACAATAAGAGATGCAGTATCTCATATTGCTGCCACAGACCTATGGAAGCAGTGTTCTAGGCATATTATTGAAAAAGAAAATGAATATTGTGTTTTGCCTCCTGTAAATCCCGTTGTAATTCCTCTACAAGATGACTCTAGCGACAGCTCCGAAGGCGAGGATGATATATAAATACCTATAATGTAAGTCTTTATATACCTTTTTATATACCTACCTGCTATGTAAATATTTGCCTATGTCAAACGTTGGAATTCTGTAATTTTTCCATTTCTTAACTTTCAGTCAACATAAATTAAACTCCCAATATAAGTATTTTTTATCCCAAATCAAAAAAATAAGAAGATAGTAAAATCCATTTATTGTGATATAAAAACATTATTATTATCGTTCTAAATAAATTACCGCACGCCTATGATACGTCATGAAATTACAAAGGACGCGCCGACCAAAGGTTTTTATGCTATTTCAAGTGACTTCAGATAAAGTATACACGTCTTACAATCTCGAGATACTTCAAGCAATAATTGTGCAGTAGACTTATCCAGTCTAGACTGACATTTTACGTTCTATCCAGGTGACAACATCCTGACAGCCCTGAGCGTCGCAAAGGACTGCGACATAATCACGCCCGGTCAGAGCGTGATCACAGTCAACTGCGACTTGGACGGCACCGACCCTCCTCACATTTACTACACGCTGGCCAGCATGAAAAACAAAGCTGCCGTGACGTCATCAATTCCCAACGACGTCAGCATGATGACCAATTCCGTCAGCGCTGTCAGCTTGGAGACGGTCGAGAGTCAGTTGCAGACAACGACGGCGAACAGTTGTGCGCCCGTGTTGAAAGCAGATGCTAACAGACCGGCGATGCTGTATAATAATTATAGGTTTGCGATGACGGGGAAGGTGTGGGCTGTTATCAAGGAGTTCTACCCGGAGTTGCTGCCTAGGATATGCTCCAGAGGTAGGTCATACTTTTATGCTTTATGCGAGGCTTGTTCAATGATTATTACCCGTGTTTGGCGACAGAGGGTTAAATAAGTGGCAGGAACGTTGGGAAAAGTTTGTCTTTCTAATACAGCAGACGCAAACTAATTTAATCCAAGTGTGGTTCACATTATCGAAATGTTTACATTAGCGAACGTGATTTATATAATATTTGATTTATTAAAAGAAACGTTTAATACATACTATTTATAACAAAATAAACAAATATTCTAACAGCGATAAGTATTTTTTTAATTAGAAGAAAAATAATTAACAATTTTTGTCTGCGTAAATTTGCGCTTAGCATTGTCTTCCAATGCCTGCGCCCGTAATTTACGAAGAACTAAAATATCCGTGTATGAAACTTCTTTTCTTTCAGCCCAATCTAAAGCTTGGTTAAAAACTTGTATAGCTTGCGCGTCAGTCACTACACTTCTGACTTCAATGGGATTGTTCTCATCATCCTCACTGTCCATATCCTCCTCCTTATCAGCATCATTCGTCTGCTTATCTTCGTTCCATAAATTAATATCAGCAGGAGTACAAGCAATGTTGGGATTCACTGTTTTCAATAAATCAACAACATCCAATGACACACTAATAACATTATCATTATTGGATCGCAAACGTTCTCTAATTACGCTTAAGGGGACATCGTCTTCTTCATCATCTTCATTATTGGTACAAAAGAGATTGTTCCAACATTTTTGAATAGTTTGCTGGTTAAGTTCATTCCAGGCCATATGTAAATCTAAAACAGCTTGTCGTAATGTTACTTTTTTTAAAGCCTCAGATAAGTTTTCAGGATTCTTTGATAAGACAGACGAAAGTAGAAACTCCCTATAGTATAGTTTGGTGAGTCTTAATATATTCTGGTCCATCGGTTGAATTAACGGTGTTACGTTGGGCGGCATGTACATGACGAAAATTGACCCATCCCTGCTCCTCAGTTGTTGCTCGGGAGGATGACCTGGTGCATTATCCAATAGTAACAACGCTTTTATTGGAAGCTTCTGTTGTTTTAGGAACCCTTTAACCTACAAATTGAAAACACATCTTCAAATTATGAATAGAGCATTTGTCATACCTGAGGGACAAAGCACCTGTGGAACCATTTCAGGAATATACTGCTAGTCATCCAAGCGGTTTTTGAACAGTCATAATCAACAGGGATATTAACATTTTTAAATGAGCGCGGATTTTTTGCTTTCCCAATTACCAGTGGCTTTATTTTGTGTGAACCATTAGCATTAGTGCAGGCTAGAAACGTTATTCGTTGTTTCTCCGGCTTTCTTCCCGGGGCAGATTTTTCAAATGATGCAGCATAGGTTTTCTCTGGCAACATTTTCCAATAAAGGCCACTTTCATCTGCGTTGTAAATTTGTTCCATTCTTAAATTTAGCTCGGTAATTGTTTTCATCAATTTATCTTTGAATGGTTGCACTAATATTGTGGTTGTGCTGATAATTTTTCACCAGATATAGACAGCAGTCGAATTATTCCATATCTTGTTTAGCCAGCCATCACTAGCTACGAAATTTTCAGTTTCTTTCAGTTTTTCATTTAACAGTCTCGCTCTCTGTTTAAGTACTTCGCCACTAACTGGGACATGATTTTCCCGTTGTTTTAAAAACCACTTATACACGGAATTTTCCATATTAGGTGCCTTCGCATTTTTTAAAGTTTTTCTTTTTCCCGGACCTCCAAATGTATTGCACGTTCTTTGTAACATTTGAATTTTCATACGCTTAATTTTACAGATTGTTGCTTTCGAAACTCTATATTTTTTTGCTAACTGTGTCACTCCCGCACCTAGTGAAACTTCGTCTATGATTTTCACTTTCTCACTCAACTTTAAACACTTTCTTTTATAGGATGTGGATGCCATAGTCGTAAAATATATTAACGCGTGCAATGTATTCACCTAAGTTCAAAAATGAAATAAATACGTACGTATAAACGTATCGTAAACGATCATACGACTGACCGTATTTTATCGCAGAGGTGAATCCCATACACTCTACATCATAAATCGGGGACTCCCCGACGCCCGACATAAATCATCGAGGCTTCAGCATTTTACCGTCGCGCTGTTTCCGTACGCCGAGAGTTGTTTACGTTATCCAGCGTACACATTGTTTACGTATCGCGCGTTCCGTTTGATCCTATAGAACGAAGTTTGTGTTTACATTAGCGCAAGTTTTCATTATCCCGTGTTTACGTTATCGAGCGTCTGCTGTATGTTGAAAAATAACATTTTTTTTTAGAAAAAATGTCTTCATTTCTAACTTATTGAACCGCCCTCGTATTACCTTTCGTTGGCAACTCTGACAATTTCCTCCGTTTGCGGATGTGCAGAAAGTAGGGAAAAGACAACATATCTTTAAATATACGTTTTTGAAAGAAAAATGTTGTAAGGTTTGAAAAGATTCATCTAATGATGACCTTGAACGTAACCTTGACTACGACTTGCAGGCCCATTTGAAGGTTAAGCCGGTTTTCTTAAATGGAAACCCCCATTTTTGACACCGTAAATAAGAGTAATAAACTTTATATCCAAGTATGTCCTTGACCTTGACTATGGTCATCAAGGTCATTTGAAGATCAAATTATTTTTTGACGGGAAATATCTATATATTTTTAATTCCTGAAATGCAAATTGAGGACAATTTTAAGTTCAAGTGTATCCTTGCCAATGACCTTCAAGCGAAACAATGAAACAGTTTCTTCAACTTGTTTTTTTTTTGCAAAATAATGACTATATTTAAAGCATGCTGTGGCAACAGTATCAACGTTTTATCTTTGTTTTTGTTTATCTTTGTTAAAATGTTATCTCTTAGTTTTTGTGAAGAACGCAGTTTCTGGGAGCTGAGTAGTACAGATATAATCGGTGATTTTTTTGCTAGTATCTTTTTGGCAACACTTTTTTTGACAGATGACGCGTGAATCGTGTCTTGAGTCATTGTCAAACTTGTTCAGTTTGGTCTATAATTTAACCATGAATCGACTTACGAACGAACAACGCTTGCAAATTATTGAATTTTACTATCAAAATTCATGCTCGGTTAAGAGAGTGCATCGAGCACTGCTTCCAATTTATGGGCAATTTGGTCGGCCTACTGAGGGAGCTATTCGGAAGCTTGTGGCTACATTTCGAACCCAGTTTACATTATTGGACATTAAACCACCAACACGCAGACGTAGAGTGAGGACTGAAGAAAATATTGCGGCTGTATCCGCCAGTGTTAGTGATGACCGTGAAATGTCGATTCGCCGCCGTTCGCAGCAATTGGGCCTCTGTTACTCCACTACGTGGAAAATTTTGCGACAGGATTTGGGTGTAAAACCTTATAAGGTACAGCTGGTGCAAGAATTGAAGCCACACGACCTCCCACAACGTTTCCAATTTGGTGAATGGGCGCTGGAAAAGTTGGAGAAAGATCCACATTTTTATCGAAAAATTGTGTTCAGCGACGAAGCTCATTTCTGGTTGAATGGGTACGTTAACAAGCAAAATTGCCGCAACTGGAGTGAAGACCAGCCAGAAGCATTGCAAGAGCTACCAATGTATCCCGAAAAAATCACTGTTTGGTGTGGATTATGGGCCGGTGGCATCATCGGGCCGTACTTCTTCAAAGACGAGAATGGCCGGAACGTAACTGTGAATGGCGAGCGCTACCGTGCGATGATAACAAACTTTTTTTTGCCCAAAATGGAAGAGCTGGACTTGGCTGACATGTGGTTTCAACAAGACGGTGCCACATGCCACACCGCACACGAAACAATGGCCCTATTGAGAGGCGAGTTCGGTGAACAGTTTATTTGACGTTTGGGGCCGTCAATTGGCCGCCTAGATCGTGTGATTTAACGCCGTTGGACTATTTCTTGTGGGGCCATGTTAAGGCTAATGTCTACAGGGATAAACCAGCAACGATTGACGCACTGGAAGCCAATATTGAAGCATTTATTCGTGAGATACCGGCCGATATGTTGGAGAGAGTGTGCCAAAATTGGACCTTGCGCATGGGCCATCTAAAGCGGAGCCGCGGCCAACATTTACATGAAATAATCTTTAAACATTAAATTATATCGACCGTTCTATCGACTCAAATAAAGATTTAATCGTTTTTTCAAATTTTTTGTTTTTTTTTTTGAAAAGCAAATCTTATACCTCTTAAAAATCACCCTTTATTTAGTTATTGCCCTTTCATTTACTAGTGCTAAGCTTATTTGAAAAAATTTCGATTTTAGGTAGCGTCTTTGCAAGAATGGCGCCAGACCAAAAGCAGCAATTGATACAGGAATTACAAAGCCTGGGATACTATGTTGGTAAGTAAAAAATAATACGTGCATTCTTTAATTCTATATAACCGATATTATGCAAAAAAGTAGAGTAAAAAATGTTTTTAATTCATCAGTCTTTGTCATGCGACATCGTGAGGAGTTTGGTAGATAGTGCTCCCAAAGTCTTAGATATCCCATGGTTTTAGTATTCATCAGGTTTCGGAAACATGGAAACTGTTGTGTACGAGACACCTTAATGTGACTACAAATTAGATTTTAGAGAAATTGTTATCGCATTTAAGTGCTTACACCCTTTGTACACAACGGCTCCCTTGTCTTCGATACCAGACGATTTCCGTATCGTAGGACACAGGGTGTTCAGAAAGTTGGTACTTACTTTTTTCGGAAAAGCTATCCTTGGAATAATAAAACTATTGAGCGGTAAACCATCAGGTTTTTACCGTTAGTTGGCAAGACAATAAGTTCCAAAAACAGATTTGTGTTCGACGATTGCAACATCGTATTTTAATGCGGCCTCATCGCACATTCCTGTAAACGGACTATGGCTATAGCTTTTTGTAGAAAACAAACGGGCCTACACGGCTATGGATACAAATGTCCAGGAAAACGATCTCGATGCACGTTGGAAGCCGAGCAGCTTTTTGAAAACACTCACCTTAAACTAGCACAATTTTGCAGGATGCTAGCAACAGGCTTTTTTCACTTTTTCGATCCATCATACTTTTACCAACTTTTCATTGAAAAAATTCACTTTTCTCACGATTTTCGCCCCCGCGAAATGTGTTCATTCAAACCGGACTATCGGACCTGATAAGTGATATTCTCGTTTTTTCACATATTCTTATTTATTTTATTCTTTTTTTATATATATCGAAGCAGCCGCGCAGGTAGAAGCCAAAGGCAAAGAAATTTTGCTAATACGATTTTTGAACTGCCTAAGGTTGGTAGAACTGGGAAAAGCTTCCTCTTGTAGATTGTTCCACAATCTCGACACCCTCGGGACAAAGGAGCGGTCGTATCGCTCAGTTCTGGATCTGGCTTCAACATCACACGATCTAAGAATTTTCAAAAGACTGTCAAATATAGAGACTTTAAACATTGTTGTAAAGATCAGTTTTTGGTGGATTTGTATAAAATCCCATGGGATGATATATATTACATCAGAAACTTAGAGGATAAAGCTACGTTTTTTTCTAATCATATTTTGGATTTGTTTGATGTCCATGCTCCTGTTGTTTCAGCACGTATTACTAAACCTTATGCTCCATGGCTCACAGGTGGCATAAAATTTTTGATCTCTGAGAGAGATAAAGCCTTCAGAAAGTATCAGATTTTAAAAAGTCCAGCTAGTCTCGAATATTACCAGAAATTAAGAAATGATGTCATTTCCGCTATTAGGCGGGAGAAAGCAGCATATCTAAGCTTCAATGAACAACTAAATAGTAACAAGCCTCTCTGGAAAGCTGTACATTCATTAACACTCAAAACTAATGTAGATAGATCTTTACCGACGCTGTTGAAAAATGCCGATGAAGTAAACAATTATTTTTCTTCCGTTTTCACACCTTCGGGCAATTGCAAGGATCTAGTTGATAAATTTAATAGTACCAAAATTAATGAAAGTGCTAGATTTGATTTTAGTTTTGCTACCCCACAAAATGTGCTAGACATTATTCTGTCCCTAAAATCTAATGCAGCAGGTTCGGATGGTATAACAGTCTCAGTGCTTAAGCATTGCTTGCCTCGAGTACTACTACCATTGACGCATTTATCGAACTGTTGCCTGGAGGCTGGGTATTTCCCTGATGCTTGGAAACTATCTCTTGTCAAGCCCTTGCCTAAATGTAAAAATCCAAAATGTCTCTCAGACTTAAGACCTATAACTTTGATTCCTGTTATATCGAAGATATTGGAGAAATTGATTAAACATCAGGTTTATCATTATTTCTCTAATAATGATTTCTTTCCCATAGTCAATCTGGTTTTCGCAGTGGTTTTAGTACAACTACAGCTTTAGCAAGGGTTTTAGATGACATCCTTGCTTCGCTTGATAAGGGAGATGCTTCAGCACTTGTATCATTAGATTATTCTAAGGCGTTCGATAAAATAGATCATGAGCTTTTATGTGCTAAATTGAAGTTTTTTGGTTTTTCAGACATACCTCTAATGTTTTTTATAACATATCTTTCAAATCGTAAACTAGTAGTAGAGATAGACAACACTATATCTAGTCCGATTGATATAACATCAGGTGTCCCTCAGGGTTCAGTTTTAGGGCCCTTGTTGTACTTAATTTATACTATAGACTTGGGTAGCTCTGTGAACAACTCTTCTGTGATGTGCTATGCCGATGATATACAGATATATAAGAGCTTTAATAGTAACACTTTACATACTTCAATCAATGAGCTTAATGATGATTTGGAGGCAATAGTAGGATACTCAAATGGTAACAATCTTAAGCTCAATAAGGATAAGTGCTCAGTGATGCTTTTTTGTCCTGTTGTCAAACGCAACACTATATTGAATTCTCTTGATGTAAAAATCGACAAGGAGCGTCTAGCTGTCGTAAATACTACAAAAAATTTAGGGTTGATTATTGATTATACTTTACGGTTTAAGGAGCATGTTTCGTCTATCTTAAAAAAATGTTATGCAACTTTGCAGTGTGTTTATGTCAATCGCTCTATTTTGAATTTTAAAGTTAGAAAAAAGTTATGTGAGGCTATTATATTTCCAAGCTTATTTTACTGTAGCACTGTGTTCTATCATTGTCTTGATTCTATCACAAAAGCAAGACTCCAAAAACTCCAAAATACTTGTTGTCGATTTGTATTTAATCTCAAGAAGTATGATCATGTTTCCTTAAAGAGATTTCAGCTTGGTTGGATGTGTATAGAAAATGCTTGCAAGTACCATATAGCAGTGTTTACACATAAGATCATATCTTCTCGATCCCCCTTGTATCTTTATGAGAAATTTGTTTTCAGACGAAATAATTCAGACATTGATTTCAGACACAAAAAAAGACTACAGATCTCTATGTATAAAACAACTTTATTTCGTAGTTCATACACTTACAATGCTATCCTGATTTATAACGAATTAGATGACAATATAAAGGATTGGCCAGTAAACAGATTTCGTAAGCATGTGAAACAGATTTATTTGTCATTGTAGTAATTGTGGAAAAGTTAGTTTTTAATTCTTATATTTTATTTTATTTTTACGTAATATATGTGCGTATATATTATGTATGTCACGAAGCTATCAAGCTCATTGTTTTGAAGCGTCTTTGCTGCTTGTCAAAGCTTCCTTTGATTAAGTATTTCAATTTATTATTTGGGTAGGTTAAGTAGAGTAGCCAAGAGCTAGACTTCGCCTACATAGAGGTCACATTATGTTATAGTTTATAGTCAACGCCAAACAAAATGGCGTGCACGTCATCACGATAAAAATTCCCCGACCTAATGCCTAGGTTTCTATCACAAACAATTGCTCTATTGCAGTTTCATATTAATGTGATATATAAATTGTAAAATGGTCATTACTCTCTTATTATGGTTAATAGTCATATAAACATTGTTATTAAAATATCACATAAGTTGCTTTCTGATAAATTTAGACGCATTATGCGAAATAAAATGTTTTGCAAACGCTCCAATCACTTATCGACATGTAAACGCACTAAACCGATTTCGCAGCGTTGACACATTGTCACCTTGAAACTTATTTAAACTGGGAACTGACATTTGTATTAATTTTGACACTGAATCAATTTGTGGCATTTCAAATCTTTATATATCCTTTGGCCCCGCATACTGTAAATCAACAACTGTTTGTTTCAAAACAAAATTATTCATTTTACGAGTAGATAAAGGCAATTTTGGTATATAAAGATGCCCAAACAGTTAAATAGTCGGTGTAAGGAACTCGTGGCCTCGTTAATGCACTACTTTGAGCAAGAAAGGGACAACAACGGGCCTTTGTTGCCTTTAAATGCTGTTCAAGAGGTAGGTTACTAATAATTATATGTAATGTATATTAATAATAGTGAAATTTTATTTCATTTTTTGTAGCGTGTTGCTGCTGCTTTAAAAATTAGTTTAAGGACAGTTAGTCGTATTTCCGAGGGTGTGAAAAGTGATGCAAATTTAGAATCGCCCAAGAAAAAGCGGAGTTATATTAAACGTGTAACCAACACAGCGACATTGGATACAAGTGCCATTCGAGAAGTGATCTATAATATGTATCACAAAAGTAAGATCTTATTATAATAACTTATCAGAAATTTGCATTAATTTGTTAACTAAATTATAATGTCATATTACACATGGTTTCAGAAGAACAAGTTACGATACAAACTTTATGGTCTCGATTAAGAGATAGGGCATTATTTGATGGTAGTGCCACGTCTTTAAGGCGGTTGCTTAGAGATCTTGGATTTAAGTGGCTTAAGGACAATCCGCGACGAGGGCTCATGGAACTACCAAGTATAGCTTTGAAAAGGGTGGAATTTCTAAGGCAATACAATCAAGCCAAGGTTGAGGCCTTATACCAGTTTGTCTTCCTCGATGAAACTTGGATATTTCAAAATGGGACCATAGGTCGCTCTTGGCAAAATGGAAACCAAAAAAGCGTGAAAGCTATTAAAACAGATGGTAAAAGGTATGTACTTTTACACAATTTGCACTATAAAATTTAAAACTAATATATTTTAGATACATTATATTACATGCTGGAAATGAAAATGGGTTTATTGAGGGTAGTGAAGCGATATTTTCTTCGAAAACAAAATTGAGCGATTACCATGGAGAGATGAACCAGGACAATTTTTTGAAATGGTTTCAACATCAGTTATTAGAAAAATTGGAGAGTCCATCTATGATTATACTGGATAACGCCCCTTATCACAGCATGATATTGAACAAAGTGCCCAACAATGCATGGACAAAAAAAAATATCCAAGACTGGTTGACAAATCAAAACATACCATTTTTAAACACAATGTTTAAAACAGAGCTATTGAGTATTGTTGCTCGGTACATAATGCTTCTTAATTATATATATTTTGGTCGACAGTTTATATTTCTTTTGTTTATTCCTATTCTTAAAATAACTGCTTTTTTAGAAACAAACCACCTAAAATATACGTGATTGATGAATTGGCGGAACAACATGGGCACAAAGTTCTTCGTCTGCCTCCTTACCATTGTATATTTAACCCTATTGAGTTAATTTGGGGCATAGCAAAAGGTTACTATAACAGACATATTGGTAGAGATGGTAACAGTGAAAAAGACTGTTTGGATATGTGGAACGAGGCTCTACAAACGGTTACCCCAGACATGTGGAAAAATAGTGTTCGACATACTGAGCAAGAAATTTTTAAATGGTATGAAAGAGAACGAATTTTTGATCGACCAGACATCGAACCTTTAATAATCAACTTTGAGAGTGATGAAGATTCAGATTCAGACAGCGCTGAAGAAAGAAACTCCGACTAACTTTATTGTACAGAAAAAGCTTACACCAGTAGCTTACCTAATTTTAGAATGCATTTTTCTGTATGAATTCTGTAAAATAAATACCATGCATAAAATTTGGAGGACCCCATTTGGATTTTTATTCAGTACCTTTAAGCTATCAATTAAATATGGTAGTTTCATAGTGTCATCTGATCAATAATTTCATACTTAATGATTATGCAAGTACAGATCTATAATTTTATTATACTATTATTTTTGTTCTATTTGAGGTTAATATTGCTTATAAACCTAGATATGTAAATAATAAATTTTATTATTTTACAAAAAGTTTGGCAACAATGTAAATTTTTCAACACACCCACCTTGATGACGTGCACGCCACTTTGTTTGGCGTTGACTATATATAATGTGCCTAATAAAGACATTTTATTATTATTATTATTATTTAGGATACAAAGTTGTCGGCTACAGAGGCTTGTGCAGCTTTGTGTACTGAAACAAAATCCTTGTATAACTTGTCTATCTTTTCAGCAATGTGCGGTGACGGAGCGAACGACTGCGGAGCGTTAAGGGCGGCTCACACGGGCATCTCCCTTTCCGAAGCCGAATCCTCCGTCGCGTCGCCGTTCACCTCGAAAAACCCGAACATCACCTGCGTGCCGAACGTCATCAGAGAAGGCCGGGCGGCTCTAGTCACCAGCTTCGGCATCTTCAAGTACATGGCGGCCTACTCTATATGTCAGTTCTTTTCGGTCATCATGCTCTACGGTTACGAGTCTAATTTGACAGATATCGAGTTTTTGTACATCGACTTGGCGATCATCTCGGTCATTGCGTTTTTCTTCGGTCGGACCGAGTCTTATCCCGGCAAGCTGGTTAAAGAAACGCCCCTCACTAGCTTGATAAGTGCTAGTCCTATACTCAGTTTGTTCCTGCAAATCATGCTCGTGATATTGTTTCAAGTAGTGGCATTTGAGCATCTAAAGTCTGAGCCGTGGTACGTTCCGTTTAACTACACGATGTTCAAAGAAGATGAAGTTGCTTGCGTTGAAAACTATACGATCTTCACTATATCTAGTTTCCAGTATATTATTTTAGCTGTAGTTTTATCCAAAGGTTACCCGTATCGTAAGAGTATCTTCTCTAACTATGGTTTTATTATCAGTATCATTCTGATTACATCGTTTTCTATCTACCTGGTCTTAGACCCCGTCGAACCCTTAGCCAGAACGTTCCAGTTGGTACTGCCTGAAGATTTCACCTTCAGATTGTATCTTTTGGTGTACGCTATGGTCAATTTCCTTGCCAGTTTGTTCGTGGAAGAGCTCTTGATCGAGAAAATAGTCTTCAAACAGCTTCGGTTCAAGTTCCACAACGTCAAGAAGTCTAAAAAGAAATACCTGGCGGTGGAAGCCGAGCTCAACAAAGACACGAAATGGCCAGTATTAACGTCGGATTTCAGATCTGCCGCTAGTCCTCTAAGTCCTCAACCCACTTGCACCGCAGAAATCGTTATCGAAAAGGAGAAATTCGACAGAAACCACGTGTTGAACAAGCTTTACGAGAATACTAACGGAAATGGAACTGCCGTTTCGCAGTCCCCGCAAAAGGTGCAAAACGAACATTTTAGCAACGAGGATCTATTGTTCTCGAGTCTTCCCTCCGAGCAAGTGACCAGTCCGAGCGATACGTTCAAAAGTCTGAGCAACAATTTCGATCTGGCCAGTTCGAACGTGAACATACCGGAACTGCCTTACGATGCTGGTTCTCCCGTTAAGGTGGTTTCAGACGTGGAAAGGAACGACGACGTATCTCATTTCAATTCGTTCGGAACCAGTCCTGTTCGCCAACTCGACGTAGTCATACCTTTAGAGATGAACAATCTGGATACGAACAGGTGAGACGATGCAGGGTGCATTTCAGTATTTATTTTCGCTTACAGGAGGTACTTAATGAACTGGTACTTTTAGAAGTATTATTCCGCAAGAAATGTGATGCGGAAATGTAAAAAGGATGTTGGAAATACGTACAGATTTCATGCAGTTATAGCGTGTTTGACTGGTTGGTACTAGGAATGCCGCGCGATGTGCCTGCCAGGCAGACCCGCCTGACTTTGGCGTCCCATCCTAACCGTGTCGAACTTCGTACATCCATAACTGGTCGATACGACCGCTCCTTTGTCCCGAGAGTGTCGAGATTGTGGAACAACCTACAAGAGGAAGCTGTTCGCAGTTCCACTAACCTTAAGCAGTTCAAAAATCGTATTAACAAAATTTAACTTTGAGATCATCCTAGCAGCCGCGGTGTTCCGGCATTTAGGCTTCTGCCTGCGCGGCTGCTTCGATATAAAAAAAGTGTCCCAAGGACGAAAAAAGATGACTTGATCCGTTTAATTTCTCTATTATCCCAGATATAATGTCTATGGTCGATGCTGAACATAATCGTCTATGAACTGATGACGGCGGTACGTGGAAAGTGCAAAGTCAACCTACGTGACGTCATTTTTTAAATACAGAAGCCATATTAATTATGTGCTTCCTGGATAGCCCCACCCCTCGCTCTTCAATCTTGAATCGCCCCCCCCCTTAGAGACAATCATCTTGCTAAACTCTGACCCTAAAAATCCGCCATTTTCGGTTAACCGCATTTTCATAACTGTTTAAATTGGTTTCGGTTAACTAGTTAACCTTTAACTGAATTTTTATCAATAACCGGCCCACCCCTAATTAGTACCAACCAACCATTTTTCTAAAGATGTCAGTTAAGATCACTGTAAAACTTTAACCCAAATAAATGAAATATTTCGCAGATCCAAAGTTATCGGGTCCTTGTAGGGCATTTGCATTTTTTGGAGCTCCCGTGAGAAGCCGGAATGGGATCGAATTTTCATATTTAGCATGATCTTGTGTACAATTTTTGGTATTTACCGGTTCTCCCAAATTTTTGGGGTAGATACACTTCTGCGTTTCAAGAAGTTTTGGAGACGAGACAGGTACACTTTCATAAAAAGTTCCGATCGCCCCCCCTCATGAGAAAAATTCCTGCGGGCGCCCATGTTAATGAGTTTAGAAAAACCCGGTCTCGAATTTGTCACGGCCCTGTACAATTTTATTTAGTACGTATTTCCAATGCCTTTGGATTTAGAAAATACATTATCCTCATGCAAAAATGCATTTTCCATGTATTTACCACTCACAACAGTGATTCTCAGAAAACTGCCGTAGTCTTATCAAAGTATGTTTCCACAAAAAGACGAATATCAAAAGAATATCTGGGATGCTAAATCTCTGGTAAGTATTTTATTACCATCAAGCATTCTTTATTCTTAATTTTCACAGATTTTGCTTTTAACGAGGCCTGTAAATTAGTGATGAGACTGTTTTTTTTTTAATTTCCATTCAAATATATTGTCACTCTCAAAATAACTTCATTCTGAATCTCAGTTTAGAACACAATAGAAAAAACTGTTTCACCGAAAAAAAAATCGCAAAGTAGACCAAATCACTCGAGCGAGTTCAGGCTTGTACTGAAGGCGGATCACATGTTTTCCTGTCTCCCCTACAAGCCCGGCGCCGCCAGTGTTGCCAGATCGAACGATACGTTGGCAGTCTCATCACTTATTTTACAGATCTCGTAAGATGCCGATTAATCAGGTTTTACATACTTACGTACAAGAAATCGTCTTGCTATTGGGATGAATTCCTCCATGTCTACTTATTTTTTCTTTATAGAAACCTATGCATAAATATATATTTATAGTATTTTGTTACATATGTTATTTATACTTATTAATTATTTATGCTATATTTATTAATAGCATACAGTCGGTATTTTCAGAATACCTCAATAGTCAAATAAAAATGCAAAATTATACAGGCTTTGGAATTACTGACTGTAGGACACATGAAATTTTGAAGTGGCTGATGATTCAGAGAAAAATTGTTTTTCTAATGTAATACTTAAAACTTATCATGTGGTGTTCATGCTGATAGTCCTCCATGTTTGGCCGTTAAATGAAAGTTAATAATAACGCTTTTATTGCCCAACAGTGTATACCATTTACAGAACAAAAAGCAGTAATATAGCTTACCTTACTAGACACGTCACACTCGTCCATCGTCCCGAAAACGTCAAAAGTCCTCTGAAAACGCGAAAACTCACCCAGAAATGTTGTCGTAAGACACCGGTTAATTGTTATATAATCTTCTGCTGCAAATACTGATCAATAATAATAGCTTTTATTTAACCTGAAGGGTGTCAGATAAAAGCTGCTTTTCATATCAAATAAAATTACAATACAAAGTTCATGCATTTGGATAAAATATAAAGAATTTGAAAACGAACGTGTTAAGAATACATTCAAAACTAACTCCAAAATGCTAAAATTTACTAAAACAATTGCCGTACTTTTGGCAGTTAAAAGGAAGTGGAATAAAAAATAGGGAAAACGTTAATTCTAATATTACGACAAGTCACAGTTATTAGAGGCAGTTTTACACAAGTTTAAAACTAGACAATATAAAGAGTTTTTGACATATTTTTCAAAACATAGTTTTTCACTTTCAAGCTGTCAGGGAGCTTATAGAGATAAATTGCAACAAAAGAACTTAGTAAATAGGGTGATTCTGCTCTGCACTACGTGTGCATTGTTAATGGATCTGAAATGCCAACAATAATTCGTCATTTGTAATTATAATAACAATCTTTATTCCCAATCGCAAGAATAATAAATCTATAATAAACAGCAAGTTCTAGATTCTGTATAAAAGTTTTTACTTCATGCATTTAAAAGATAATGAAAAACAGAATGACAGTAAAATTGACAAAAAATAAATATCTAAAATGATGGCTCCTTTTGCAAAAATAAACATCACTGTTAAGCACGGCATATGTTTGTTTAAAACTACTTAAAATCACCGGAATGGTTTCATTATTTATATCGCATCCTTGATAAGTGACAAGTACATCACACAGCTTTTTAACAAGAGACAAGTCCGTTACGTTAGTTCTACTCCTAGAGCAGTAAAAAGTTGCATTAAAGCGAGTTGATCTCTTTGGTACCACAAAATTGATTTCAGATAATTCCGGGCAATCAAGTTAACCAGACTATGAAGCACTGTAATATCCTTTAGTTGACGACTGTAAACCAATGTATCAACGTTCATGACCTGAAGTAGCATATAAAAACAAGCGAACTCTCAGCTGGAAGTCAGATAAACTTTATTGTCATCAGAACTGTCATTTGTTCTTTAAAAAGGCTACGCGTCGTCAGTCAACAGTATTTCAAGCGAATGTGGTTTCATTTAGCGGCCACAAACATGAAGGATTATAAGATTTGTTGTCCTATCTTTTCGACCGAGTATCTACTAGAATTAGAATGTCTAAAGTGTGAAAAACAGTTAACATTTCGTAATTTTACTTCCGATCTTTCAATTTCAGTTTGACGGTGACCATAGCATAGCGTCTAAGTACTTTATGCAAAACCACCCATTACAAAACATCTACAGGGTTTCTGATATATAACCGACTGGTTTGTATCTTGAATATTTGTGAAATGAAAAAAAATACGTCAATTTTTTTCATCTTCATATTCAGGTGTTTTTTCAAATTTCCGAACGGTGTTCACACTGGGCACATTATTTTTCCAGTCTTGTAGCTTCAGAATCGTAGGAACAATCGACTCATTAAGTAAAACGTCTTAACAATAAGGACGCGTTGTGGGATCGTCTAGCGCTCCATGATGTTACATGAGCTTTAAACACCTACTGAAATGTGTGTATCAAAATGGCGCGCCATTTAAATCAGTCAGTTATATATTGGCCACCCTGTATCTCTCAATAATGACCAAAATCTTTACATCAAATACATATTTTCTTAAACCACAATCATCTGCTTGTTCAATTATTCTTTGTGTACTTAAATCAATTGATACTTAAGTGATTTTTAGTGCCCTAATTTTTGCTGTGGAATGAATGTAAAGATTGGAAGATTTAGTTTTATGTCAAGTACCACTTTTGTCTTTTTACGTTCCTAGGTTTTCGGTAGTAATTTTCGCGCGTTATAACCGAGATTCAAAATATATATTATCGATATAAAAAAATGGTTAAATGGTGCTTGACGTGTAACAATCTTCCATCTCCTGTCCATAGTCTTGATAGTGATAGTAGATTTAGGTATGAAAGTGATTCTAGGAAAATTAGGTATGATTTTTTTTACCATTAGTTGTTATTCTTAAATTAGTAATTTCAGCTGTCAAAATTAGGTTATTTTGTTTATACGCGTTTTGCGTTAAATTCCTTGAACAGATGTGGTATTGTTGAATCCATATTGCAAGTACGTTAGGACATGTTTCGGAAAACAATCAGTGCAATGCTCAGCAGAACACTCTAAATAAAAAGTGTCTACAATATGTTGTTTTATTTACCAAATCCTTTCTTGAAAACCAGATTACCCGCAAATAGCGTTTTTGTAACTTTTTGGCAAAATCTCAAAATAGGTATAGGTATAGGTCTTTTACTGACAACAGCAACAAAATAGGGCCAACGAATGAAACTTAAATATAATTTATTCAATAGTATATTGAGCTTTAAATTACAAAATCACATTTGTACAATACTGGCATACTACATACAATAAACACATAAGCGTAGAACAGCCAAAAAATAAATATTAATATAAATAAAATATTAGGATGCCAGTCCCCTAGCTTTGCGCTTAATTCTAGCATAGGGTCCGACGTCAGGATCCATCACAAAATCGTATAACACTGATGTCCAACTGTGGTGCTGAGGAAGATTATCATAGAACTCTGGGGCGATTTTCTTTACCTAAAAGACAATAAACGATTTATAGAGAAAATTCATTAATCTATGTATCTAACAATAGAATGTTCCCAAGTTTATTCGACAACTGCGAGAGCGTACATCAGCTATTGTTTGGATCTGTAAAGATGGCGGTTCGCATTTGATAGCCTAGTCACACTGTGACCGCTAGAGGCTGACGATTCTGGCGGTAAAGTAGATGACCGATCGCAGACAGGCAATCATGGACAGCTATACTTTTGTTTGTTGTTCCAGAGACCAGACCTAGTCCATGCTGAAACGGCGGTCCATGGTTGGCTGTCTGCAGTATACAATTCAGTTATTAGTGTCAAGTCATGCGTCATAAAAAAAAAACAGGAAAAGTTCGTCACTATTAAAAACAATGGAAGTACAATACAATTTAGAAACAAGGTAGATATTAAAAAAAATTACAATGAAGTTTCACATTCACAGAAATGTTCAAAATAATCTTTTGAATAAAATACATCAATTATTTTACGCTTTCCTTATATTCACGGCTATTTTTCTTTTTTTTTTAGTTTTTAGTAACACTGATATATTTCATGGCCCAATAACCAGGTCCATTTTGACACCTTTATTTGCCTATATAATGGTATTAAATGATTTCTGTTTCGGGCGGAATGTATGTCTTTGTAATTTTGTGTTCTTGATTTTCTTAACTTTCAAAAATATAGAGGGATGGCAGAGTTAGTATCCCTAGATGCCTGAAACATAAAGCACCCAACATACTGTAGTCCAAAGAGATGCTAAGCACCTGAGGAACGTTTAGCTCCCCATTTTTGTGGAGTGTCCTGTTTTTTTATCAGTTTTCGGAAATATTACTCAACCCAAACATCATACCTCTGGTAACCTTGACCCAGGTACAGCTGGGAAATCATGATGTTCATTATGATAACCAACATTGAATGTAATCCAGTTCAAAGGGCCATAGTAACTGTATGTCTCATATCCCTTTTTGAACATATAATGCTCACTGACAAAATGTCCAGCTACCGGATGTAGTCCCATTGCCATGATAGAACCATAAAAAAGATACCCCAGTATTTTCCAACCTGAAAATAGTGAAGAATTATGATTGATGAATTAAAAACACCTCAATATGTGCAGTAATAATTTATTTGTCTATAAAAAAGAAAGTTGTGAAACAATGTCCAGTAAGTATTATGATTTGTTTTTTTCCCATAATCTTATTGAAAAAAGATCCTTTTAATGAACATGTGTTATGCTAAATCCAAAATTGCGCGGCTATAATACTTACCAAAAAAGTGTACTACTAGGGCATCAAAAGTCAGCTGTATCACAAGATTGACAAACTCTAACAAATTAGGTGGTTTAGGATATACAACTAAAGGCCTCAGTGCATAGAAAAATGGCTGCAATAGTATCCAAATGAACTTCCCAAAAGTTGTACAAAACAGTTTGGCTTCCATATAAGTTGGTATGTCAGTATCTTTCAGTTCGTCCCCTTGATACTAAAAGAACATTCCAATTACATAAAAAAAGAAGTTCTCATTTTTAACATTTATAATTTTTTGATACTGGCTTACTCTATGATGTTCTAGATGATATTTTTTGAAGCTGATGGATATTGGTATTGCTATTGGTAGATTGGCAAAGAATCCAAACAGTTTATTGTGCATTGGTCTAGCATGTCCAAAGGCTAAGCTGTGGGATATCTCGTGAATAGCTACAAAATAGAACGAAAATTATTGACCTTATGTATACAGGGTATTCGGAAAATAAATGGATATATTCCAGAGGGTGATTCCTGTTAAAAAATATAAAAGAAAGTTTCTATAAACATGGATCAGAAAATGCAAAAAAAATTTCATCTTGCTGAATTTCTGGACCCACATGTAGAGAAACTTTTTTTCGTATTTTTTAACAAGAAATCACCCTCTAAAATATCTCCATCTATTTTTCGAACACCCTGTATGTTTATATTAATTGGGGGATTGTTCAAGTGGGATATTTAAATGGGTATAAAATTCTAATAAACTATAAGAAATTCTGATAGAAGAACCCGGGAACCTAGTTTTTGAAAAATCAGTATAGTTTCAAGAGCAAAAGGTAATCAGACAATTCATGTTGAGAACAATTTTCTTTGGAGTCTGTGTCAACATACCTAACATCAATGAGTGGTTGATAACTCCTCCAAAACAATAAGCAACTAGCAAAATCACTGGCCATGACTTGTTCCTTAATATGAACATCATTATAAATTGTGTCAGCACCATAGCAGTAACCACCCATTTAAAATTAGGATCATATCCAAATAGTTTCTTTATCTGTGGATATTTTTCTAGAACATAAAGACATTACAATTATGCATGCATATACAGAAAGTTGAACACTGATTTAGCAGTGAATGTAATAAAAGATGCCTTCTTGAAGAAATGAAGTAAATGCAGTTAATTTAATGGTTAATATCAACACATTATTTTGGCTACTTTAGAACCAACACAAAAATAATTCCCCATGCTTGTCTGGACATATGTTTGAAATTCCTGTTTATTGTATGAACTTTCAGCCCCATCAGTGACAAGTATAATCAACACTTTTTGACAATGTAATGACAAAAAAGTGTCAATTGTACTTGAAGAAGATCACTGTTTGGACTGAAACATACAATAAAGAGGAATTTTTATCATACATGACCACATGACAAGTTTTAAATGTTACATCAATGTAAAGATGTTCCTGTTAAAAATAATGGGCAGATTTAACACAGCACTTACTTTTTCAAACAGTATGAAGATTTCTATGTCACATAAAAATTATTAGTCATAAAATAAGAAAGTATTGAATGAATACTAACTATAATATACCTACCTAAAATGCTTTAGTGTAGATAATAAAAAAGGAAAATAAATACACATGTATGGCATATTAAACAAACAAAAGTTTTAAAGCAGCTGTTAGTCCAATTGGACACATATTTCTTTAGCTATATTTCAATGATAAGAAATGTGCAACATTGCAACTTTCAAGCACTAAATGGTTATGCCTATGTCCAAGAGATTGTGTATCATTGTTGTAATGTTTGAATAACCTATTATTATAATAAAAATAATATTTAAGTGAATGCAAAACATGCAACATGTTTCTCCTGATAAAAATCGCAATAAAAATTCTGGAAGCTTAACATTGAGTCATATGTGTACACTTTATATGATGATGTAAATTTAGTACCTACTTATAGATTAAGAGAACCAAGATAGCAGATTCTAAAGTTTATAATGTACTTTTTTGTTATAATTATTAAAAATTTTAGCAAAGAAAATGATAAGATTTTTAAACGACAAAAATAATCTAAGGCCTACTACAATTCTGATAGTTTTTAGACTCAAAATTCGATACACATAGCCAAAAGCGTGCTAGGAAAAACTCGAATGCTAATTTTGGCTCGTTGGCTGGCGAATAAATTTTGCAATCCACCAGTTGAATCCAATTTAACTTTTATTGAAACCAATTGATTTTATAAAAACCAAATGACTAACCTAAAATAACTTTTCTTCTACTAGCGTGCGGTTCTTCTGTATAGACCCATTCGAAGTCCGTTCGCGATACGTGCTGTCCCATTTTTCACACCTGTATTAATTATTTCAGAGCAACACCCACAATGTTTTTGGATTTTTGTACCGGGTCATATCACCCACCAAAATTTTCTTCAAAAATAAATGTTCACATTCACAAAACAGAAAGGTCACCTGATTCGCTGAACAGCAAGTTAGAAACTATTTAATAGAGATGGAAAAATAAAGTTCGATGGGGTATATCGATTAAAACAATATATTTGGCAACACTGTTTAGATTCACTGCGAGTAAGCGATTTCCTGGACTGGAACTGTGTCGATGTCACAAGTAAACTGTCACTTTTGATTGAAAATAAAAATATTTCGATTTTCATTCACTTTTGATTTTTGATTTGATTTCGTTGTAGAAAGTAGAAAAGTTATGACAGAACACGGAAACCCAGGCACAGAATTCGGTTGGACGTTATGAAGTCATAATTATTATCGTAGTAATATATCTGGTTTTAGATCCCGCTTTGTTGGGCAATGTGAACCTAAACTCGGTAAACCAGCTTGCCAAAAGCATTTCCTCAAAATTAGATTTATTCCCTGAATGGGTCCCCTCTCCAGATGGAAAATCTTCAATGAAAGATAAACATAGACCAGCTTGGATACTGAAAGCTGTAACACTGATTGATTTAACAACCTTAGCTGGTGATGATTCCTTAAGCAATGTATCTAGACTTTGCCTAAAGGTGAATATTTTGATTCCTGAATAATTAAATACATATCTTCAATGTTTGAGACCAATATGGTACCTTGTAGGCAGCAAGACCTATAGCTAAAGATGTTTTAGAAGAATTAGGATTTGACTATGAAGATAACAGTCCTATTCATACTGCAGCAGTTTGTGTCTACCCAAACAGGGTTCAAGAGGCTGTGGATGTACTCAAGAAAATTAAAATGTTGGGCAAAATCAATGTTGCTTCAGGTATTTTATTATACTTTAACCACTGATATATATTATATATATAATAATAATAAACGTTTATTGCCCAACAGTTTAACACCATTTACAGAGCAAACTACTATAAAAAAAAACAAAATCACCATGAGGTAGCTTGTGAAGAAAAAAAAACAATAATAATTCATGTATCAATAACAAAAAATAAATATAGCTACAGCTTAAAAATAAGAAACGTAAGATAAATCAAAAGTGAGCACGCATTTTGCACTTGAATTCACCTATGCTACATAAGGATATGTCACATACATCGGCTATTTTATTCGCATTCACACACATCATGTTGACAGGCGCTTTCGACAATAACTTTGTTTGAGCTCTTTGACATAAAAAAGGAACATTATACCTTGATGTTAGTCGTGGTACCAGAAACTGTATTTGTGAAAGTATTGTAGGGCAGTCTATTAGATTATGCAGTAATTTATATAAAACTATAACTGCTGATTGCTGACGCCGTTGTTCTAAGGATTGAATGCCAAATTTATGAAGAAGGATGTTGTATTCTGTACCTCTAGTAGGATATATGCCATCGATCTTAAAACATGAAAATTTTAAAAATTTCTTTTGAAGTTTATCAACAACATCAATATACTGCTTGTAAATCGGACTCCATATCAAAGATCCATATTCAAGCTTAGACCTAACCAAGCTAAAGTATAATGTCTGCAAAGTCAAAACGTCAAAAGATTTACAATTCCTGATAACGAAGCCATAGGTTCGGTAAGCGCTTGAAATGATTTGATTGATATGCTCATTATATATATATACACACTGATCTTTAACTTTTATTACTGGATATACAGTAATGGACAAAAGTATATAGACAAATTAAAATTGTGCTGTATATCTTTTTTAACTTGTTTTATTAATACACCAATACATAATTTGTTATAGCATAATACTCACTTATACATAAATAAATTCATTAGACTCCCTTCAATAAAAAATTAATTGATAAAAACTGGAACTATAAAGGACAAAAATATATATACAAAAGTAGTACACCTATAGGATTACTAGACCACCTAAAATAGCATGTATCCATGGTCCAGAACGTGTAGTGGTCCAGAAATCCTATAAGTTACATAACATAACAAACGATACTAACTATTCAAATTACATATATACAGGGTGACTTTGAAGTTGAGTCATTAATTTTCAGATAATGATTGTAGAAGGAAGATAAACCAAAATATGTGTGTAAAAATAAAAAAAAATTTTTACCTTGTTTTATAAAGTATCCTCCCGACAAGTATTTCAGTGCGGACCTGTATTTGATCGTGAGGTCTTGGAGCACCGGCATGCCGTCCATATGTGAAGTCTTAAGTCAAATGATTCACGAACCCGTTGTACTACATTAACAAAGGCACGAGGGGTTGGTTGCTCTCGATTGGGAAACCGATCCGCATAAACATGTGCCATTTTTTATTTCGTTTGAGCCACGCAACAGACACCACTATTCACTACCGACGGACACTGACTGTATACAACTGAATGAAATAATTGTAAAAACATCGTTCCAAATTCTTTCGCTTTTTTGTTTCCGATGCGATGAACCGATAAGGCGGATTATATCCGTTGTCGCCAAACACGAGCACATAATATTATTATTGAGACAGGGCGGTACTCAAGCTTCCAAAGGGCTATAACTTTGTTACTTTAATTTTACCAGAAAAATGGTAAAGGAAAAAACATTTCTTTTGATCAGATCTACTCACTGTTAAAATAAATGACTCAACTTCGAAGTCACCCTGTATAGTTGTTATTTCCATTATTTGTTATAATGTCACAGTACGGTACAGCATACTGCCTAAAATGACGAAAACAGTTCTGCTTCTGCCCAGAGTCTATAAATTATCACACGCTCTCCGAAGAAGACAACTCTCTGGTTTGATCTGAATCGATCGAGTCGACACCATCTCCGGCGACACCTAACAACAACAAGGACAAAGTTGCACTTGCAAGAAGAGGAAAAACGTGTCAGCCCTACCAAACCAACCAACAAGAAACATAACTGTAGACGTACATTATGATAACAAAGGGAAATTATTATATAGAACAATTAAATACAAAACAACATGTAACTATGGGAAAAAAATAAAGATAGATAAACTCCTTACAGCGTATCGCTTATTCTTACCCCTATCCCAAAGTACACGACGCAAACTTACCCGCGCATCACCTACCCCAACACCTACCACGAACGCTACAAACGCTATCTACACCCCCCGTAGTATGCCCGCGCCAGCACCACCTGAACGAGCCCCATGCGCATGCGCGCACGCGCGAGAGGGCAAGGGGGATGGCCACGGAGGAGCGTTGGGAATTTTTTTTTTGTTACTTTGGTCTAGAATTACTTTTGGTCTAGAGAGACTGGTCTAGAACGTACTTTGATCCAGAACGTGTAGTTGTCCAGAAATCCTAAAGTTTTACGGTACAATTTTACATGCTATTTTAGGTGGTCTAGTAATCCTATAGCTGTACTACTTACAAAGCAAAACAATTATAGACAAAAGAAGCAAAGTCCATTGAATTATAGAAAACCAACCATGTTTGTGTTAATATTTTGTAGCATAACCATCATTATCAATCACCGCCTGGCATTGTCTTGGCATAGATTGTAGAAGTTTCTTGATATAAGATTCATCAATCTGTCACCACTTTTGCTCTAAAGCGGCAAAAAGTTCATCCTTGTTTGAATACGTATAATTTTATCTCGTATTTGCTTATCTAAGTATTCCCATTGATTTTCAATGGGGTTTATATCGGGAGACTGTGAAGGCCATTTGAGAACTGGTATTTTTTCATCCAGAAAGAATTTCTTTGTGAGATTTGAAGTGTGCTTCGGGTCATTATCTTGCTGGAAGATTGATCTTAAGGGCATACTGTCTTCCATATAGGGTAACATGACATGCTTTAGTATGTCTGTGTATACAACTTATCCATAATGCCATCTATTATATGTAAAGGTCCCATCCCAAACCCCAAAAAGCACCCCCAAACCATAACAGACCCGCCTCCATGTTTGACAGTCGGCAAAGTGTACTTGGGGTTCAATCTTTGTCCACTAGGATGTCTAACGTAATGAACACCATCTGATCCAAACATATTGAACTTGGATTGGTCACTGAAACATACCCTCTTCCAGTCACAGATGCTCCAATCAAGATGCAACCGTGCAAATTGTAATCGGTCCTTACAGTTTTCCCTCGAGATTAGCGGCTTCTTACTCAACTTATTCCACAATACTTGATGAACACAAACTAATCCTCTTCTGACACGAAACTGTACTAAACTAATGTTGAAAAGAATTTGTCTACATATTTTTGTCCCTCATAAAAAAAGTGCTTGTATTGTGTTCATTGCAGATAATGTAAAAACAAGGAATTTAGCTTTTCTACTAATAACGCATTTGTTTATGGAGCAATGAAGTATGAATTCGTTTTCTAAATGTATTTAGGTAAATATTCATATTTGTCTATATTCTTTTGTCCATTACTGTATACCTCTTAGAGGTGAAACTAAACTTTGAGATATATACTCAAGACAAAAATATTTTGATAACTAAAAAGTAAAAACAACCAAATAGAATTAATCAATGTTATTTAAACTATGAAAGATAGGTTTTAGTGATCCTTTAAAGTAAATGAACAAATATAAACATAGAAACAGAACTAAACTAAAATCAATGTGAAAATAATAATTTCAATATTCTCAGCTGGTAAGTAAGTCTATCAGTAATATCTTAATTTTTGGACAATTTTGTAGTCTTGTAGTTTTTACAACAGACATGAATTTATTTAATAATTTTTATATTGCGTTTCTTTCGAAAAGATTATCCACTTGTAATTTCTAGGGAAAGGCAGCTGTCCCCACTTGATGTAGTGATACTTCTTCAATAAATAGCAGATATCGATGTATCAGTTTACCTTGTTGATTCCCAATCTGTGAAAATAAAGATATCTATTCAAATCAATCATCTGTTATCTGGTATATACTCTGATTATTTTGTTAATAACATCTTACCAGATGTTATTGTTACCTGATTCGAAAACTGAGGATATGGTATATCAAAAATGTGTTATGAATCAGGAATTTGCATTTTAACAAAATTTATCCTAATTTTCATACTTGTAATACAAATCTTGTAATATACTGTAAATGAAAGGTAGGAAATGAGAACTGGACACAACAAAGTAAAATACAATGATTATTCTACCATATATTAAATATGGATTTTTAGAAGCACTCCTTTTTTTCTGAAAAGTTGAAACCACCTTTGCACATACCTCTACACCTATCATTGTACGCTTACAGCGTTGACGCGCCCTTGACGAGTAGAAACGCGCCGTTGTGAAGCGTGAAAATAATCTCAATTAAAAGACTGCCCACAATGTTATGTTTTTTTTTATTAACTTATTGTAGATTTGTAATAGTTTGCTCGATGATTTTTGTGCAGTTGCCACTGGGTTCCCAGCAGGTCAGACCCCACTGAATGCCAGATTGGCGGAAATTCGGTACGCTGTGGAAAACGGAGCAACAGAGATAGACATCGTTATAAACAGGCCGTTGGCATTAGCAGGAAAGTGGAAAGCCCTGTATGACGAAATAGGTACAATGAAAGAAGCCTGTGGAACAGCTCACTTGAAAACTATTTTGGCTACAGGTGAACTGGACACACTACAAAATGTAAGTAAAAAAACCAAGGTAAATCAAATATGAAATTTTACATGGCACATAGTTATTGCAAGATGAGAGGTATTTCAAGATCTTTGATTATCTGACAGTAGGTTTGTTGTGGTCTGTGGTTTTTGATATAAAAACACATTTTTAAGCGGTGAGGATGATAGAACGTATTTTTAGGTATACAACGCATCTATGGTGGCAATGATGGCTGGCGCAGACTTTATCAAGACTTCAACTGGAAAGGAATCTGTAAACGCCACGATCCCAGTGGGTATAGTCATGGCAAGGGCGATCAAAGATTACCAGCATAAAACTGGATATAAAGTAGGTTTTTTTAATACATATACCGTAAAAATAGCAAATCAAGGTACTTCCCCATTAAGTTTTTTCGTCGTCAGTTTTTTGTAATTCTGTATAAACGTAGAGATCAAAATTTTTCATTTTCGTTGATTTTTCAGGTAGGATTGAAACCAGCTGGTGGAGTTCGAACGGCAAGTGATGCAATTCAATGGCTGATTTTGGTCAAAGACTTGTTGGGGCATCACTGGTTGAACCCAGCTTTGTTCAGGTTCGGAGCTTCTGGATTGCTTGGCGATATGGAGACGCAGTTGTACCAGTATGTTACTGGCAGGACGCCCAGTGGATATGAGTTTACAATGGGCTGAACGTTTTGTTTTGCACTAAATTGTGTCTGCTATTATAATAGGGGTGGGTAGTTTCGGTTTCGACTAAAATGTAAACGTTTTATATTTTTGTAATTGCGCCATGTATTTTATGTATATTTTAACAATAAAGGTAGATTCTAAAAATATATTTTTATTTCTTTTTTAATCACACATGCTGCTGTGTTATGCTGCCCTCCTAAGCAAACTTAAAAAAATACAGCTTGCGTATTAAAGGTTATGCGGTGATATTTTTAGTCATACTTGAACTAATTTGTATGTGCACAATTAAAAAAATTGTATTTATTTTTATTGGTTACTTAATCACATATTGAATCTTCGAGTACCTTCGTATATGTATACTAAGTGACATATAAATCCGAACACCCAGTTTAAATGGTTTTATTTTAATAAAAGTTGGTGAATGTATTTATCTTACTGTAAATAACAAGTGAAAAAATTTTCAGCCTTTTCAGTTGGACATTCCGGTTTTTATACTGCTTTTTTTTAATTCACTTACGCTCTAAAAATGAATATTTCATCCTCAGTAAAGAATCAACGTTGGCGGATTTTGGTTCTTGACATCCTTTACGATCGGTTACGATGCCTAGGGTACGGAGACCTGTACGATTTTGTCAACTTAGTGAGTTTAATAGGGGCCGTATAGTGGGACTTCAGGAAGCTGGACTTTCTTTTCGGGCAATTGCAGTTAGAGTGGAAAGAAGTGTAGACACTGTGGTTAGGTGTTGTCAGGCATGGCTTCGAGAAGGCCGTACGCAAAGAGCAAGGGGCACTGGACGCCGCCGTAGAACAACAGACCGTGAAGATCGCCGCCTAAGATTATTGGCCTTAAGGGACCGTTTCTCCACTACCAGGTCCATTGCAAATGAATGGTTTGCAGAACACGGAAGACCTATTGGCATGCGAAGTGTTTACCAACAAATGAGAAGTTTTGGCTTGTTTTCATACCGGCCACACTGGGTCCTCCCTTTAACTCGAGAACACCGACGTAATCGCCTTGAGTGGTGCAGACAACGGTCACTCTGGGATCAGGAATGGAACAGTATTGTCCGTAGTGACGTGTCTCGATTTGGTTTAGGCATGCACGATGGTCGTGCCAGAGTTAGAAGGCGACGTGGTGAAAGGAGGAATCCACAGTTTTTTGTTGAAAGATATGTTCATCACACTGTTGGAGTTATGGTTTGGGATGCTATAGCTTATGGTTCCAGGTCACCTTTAATCTTCATCAGAGGTAACATGAACGCGCAGCGTTATATCCACGAAGTTCTAGAACCCCATCTTTTACCCTATCTTGACACCCTGGCAGATCCAACTTTCCAACAAGATAATGCCCGACCACATGTTGCAAGAGTCACAATAGACTTCTTTCAACGTAATGATGTCACATTGTTAAAATGGCCACCAAGATCTCCCGACTTATCCCCAATTGAGCACGTGTGGGATATGATGGGTAGGAGATTGCTCAATTTGCAACGTCCTCCTCAGACTCTTGAAGCACTTCGAGAGGAGTTGGTGGTTGCCTGGAATGAGATACCACAGGACGACATTGACCACCTGATCAGAAGCATGCCTAGGCGCGTTGAAGAATGCGTAACACATCAGGGTGCATCCACACATTATTAAAGGTCAAAGGGCTTTAAAGCAGTGCAATCATTTTGAAATTTTTATCATTTACTTATTATGCTTCATTAAGTACTTATACAAAATTTTATTAAAATAAAACCATTTAAACTGGGTGTTCGGATTTATATGTCACTTAGTATATGTATCTCCTTAAAAATTTGTATTATTTTTTGCATTTAGTTTAGCTGATAGCTGCCAGTAAAGATTGAAATGTAAATGCACTGATAAATTATAGAATAGAAAAACTAATAGGAAAGCACACTTTTGACAGATTTGGAAAAATAAAGTAAAAATGACTCCACCATCCCATATTTAAGGCTTGAAACATTTTTTGCTCTTGTACTATAAGCATGGTTGGGCTTACACTTCTGACTTACCAATTTTTGTAATCATGAACAGGATCCGACACAAAGGTCGGACGGTTTTTAAAAAATCACAAAATCGGTAATCCTTACGCAAAAACAAATTTATTGACGGATTCGTGTTCACAATGAAATAGCATTGGTCATAACTTGTGGAAAATCACATCAGTCATGTGGTTGTTTGCGCGTTTTTGATGATGCATTGCTGGGGGGTGTAGACTTTCTCTGTCCAACATCGTTCTCTCAACTTGGGCGACTTCCACGCGAATTGCCTCCTTCAACTCGTCCAGAGTTCGGGGCTTGTGCTCGTATACACGAGCCTAGAAGTGTCCCTATATGAAAAAATCGCACATGCATGAATCTGGGGACCGAGGAGGTCAATGAATTTTTCACCAAACCTGGAAATAAGGCGACCACGGAAGAGAGGGCGAATAACGTTCATCGTTGCTCTGCCTGTGTGGAAGGTCGTCCCATCCTGTTGGAACCACACTCGACGGAATGGCACACGTCGTCGTCGTAATTCAGGTGACAAGAATTTGGTAACAGCATTGCCATTACCTTAAGGGCAGATGATGCAAGTTTGCGAAACAGCGCACGAACCCGTCACTTTTGGAGTTGTGCAGCAGTCTTTCATGTAACTGTCGCGGATTTTCATTCGCCCAATAACGGCAATTCTGCTGGTTAGCCATGCCATGACGTGCTTCAGCAGTCATGAACAAAATGAGACGCTCATTTTGCTCGATCAGTGCTTCCATCTGCGTAATCCCCAGGCTGTGACTGTTCCGCAACGGTTAATTTGTAGAGGTGAAAGTGGAGATCCACATGCAAAATACGCCTTTACCGAACGATCGCTGACGTCCAGTTCAGCAGTATGTTGCCAAGCAGATCGAACCGGGCTGCGAAGGACGGCTTGCCGAACGCATTCCACATTTTCAGGGGTTCGAACCATTCGTGCAGCTCCTAGTGGTCTTTTGTGCGAGGTAATTGAATCTAACGAAGGATGGTGTTTCGAGAAAGAACAGCTCGATTCCGAGGAATATTGAAGTGGAGACGGAAGTCACGCTGTCCAGCCGCGATAGGCTCATTATCTCGGACAAAACTGCGGCACGCGAGAACACGGTTCTCAGCCGTCCATTGCTCCATAATGTCTACTGGCAAAAATGCTAGGAACGCCCAAGACGAACGGCACTCTCCTCTGAATTGGCTTTTCAAAAACGTCTGTCCTTTGTGCCGGACCCTGTATAAGATTGTTGCGTCCCCAAGCAGTGATAACCTCCAGTGCTCTCGTCGTTGCTAGTGTTCTTTTCTCCAGCTCACTGGCACAGATCAGCTTGTTGCTCGGAATTACTGCATGTAAAGTGCTGTCGTCAACACAGCACACAGTATATTTCAGATAAAATTCAATGAAACACTCCACTCTTCATTTTCGATTAGTGGAATGTTGTTCAATCCCCTGTTCTTCAATTTTTCAAATTGCAGCATTCGATGTCCCCACCTTCAATTTTCGAAACCGAATGGTAGTAGTAGAAAGATTTATTTAGCACATTTGGCTACATAAACAGAATAATTGTAAACAACTTAAAATTTTACTTCAAATTTTGTCAAAGTTTTCTGGTCTTTTATCTCTGTGTATAATTTATTATATTCAATCAACCTTTGATGGAAACAGATATGTAGCATATGTTATACTTTTTGCTCATTAAATGGAAGTCATCTTTATTTCTGGTATTATGTAAATGATGGTTGGCATTTGATGATGTTAAGTTAGTTAGACTTGAAAATATTTTATTTTTTACTTTATAAATGAATATCATTTCAAGATATTTGATAAAATTTTTTACATTGAGCCATTTTAATTTGCCAAGCATTTGTCTAATTGGAGTATATTTATCTTTATTCAGTATTATACTCATGCACTTATTTTGTAAAATTTGCAGTCTTTCAAAAATGGAATTATTTGCTAAATATAGAATAGTCGTACAGTACAAGAAATTTGGAAGAATGATGGCATTATAGATAATCTTTCTGCTATATGAACTCAGACATCCAGAAACTCTTGATAAATACCCCACTTTACTGCTAATCTTATTTATAACTTTTTCATAATGAATATCAATAACAAAAACCCCCAGGTATTTAAAATTTTCTATAAATTCAATATCTTCACCATCAATATTCAGTTGAACATTTGTAGGTACATTGTTTTTTTCCGATTAACATAGCTTTCGTTTTACTTGTATTTAATTTGAGTCTGTTAAATGCTAACCATTTTGAGACAAGTTTCAAGTCTTCATTTATATAAGAGATACCAGAATATTTTTAGTGCTTATATAAATCATAGTGTCATCGGCGAAATTCTGAATTTTGGATTTTTTGACTATGGCAGGTAAATCATTTATGTATAAAATAAAAAGAAGTGGTCCCAGGATACTGCCCTGTGGAACACCCAACGTATTTTCAATTTTTGATGAAATAGTGTCATTAACTTTGGTAACTTGCATCCTTTTAGAGAAATAATTTCTAAACCAATCTAAAACACTTCCTGATATACCATATGCCTTCAATTTACCTAACAAAATATCTCTTTCAATCGTTTCAAATGCCCTCTTCAAATCCAAAAATACTGATATGACAACTTCTTCTGGGTCTATGGCTCTCCTCCAATTCTGTTACCAACAGGAAAGCCGTTTCTGTGGAATATTTTTTTCGAAAGCGTGCTTGCGCCTCTACTAAAATTTTGTTTTCTTCTATAAACTGCATTAATTGGTCATGCACTAATGTACTCTAATAATTTTTCAATGTCTGGCAACACATTTACTGGTCTCATATCGCTGCATCTTTAGAATTTTTTATTTTGGGAACTGGTGTTATTGTGGAGCATTTCAAATGTTCAGGAAAAGAACTGCTTCTTAGTGAACAATTGATCCAATTTAATACAGGATATCCCAAAATTACGAAACAGTTTTTCAGCACGTTTTTAGTAGCGATTTCTGCACAGTTGTTGTTTGATTTTAAACAGTTTACTTTTTTCTTAGTGTTCAAATCAAATATTTTGTTTTTAAATTTAATTACCCTTTAATTTTCAATCATCGGCAAGTTTTTACTTTTTGCTTTACCATCTACCGAAAAATTTCACAGTCTACCGAAAACAAATCGATTATACCTGACAACTCTGACTGTCCCAAAAAACATATAACCGTGGTAAGGAATACATTTGTGATTAACCATTTTCGGTCTATCTACCCCCTGCATAGTCAACAAAAATACAAAGAAATACAACCTTATTTGATATATTTAACATGTGATATAAAACATACACTAAATTGACACATGAAACTATAAGTAAATCAGTAGAACATGTGCCGCAATATAAACCTATTAAAACCAAAATTAACAATTTACATCCATTTATACACTTTCTGATAAGTATTTTATAAAAATAAAGGAATCCTCAGTTGATGAAAGAAAAAAGAAATATATTCTACATGGGGTTATTCAACAGAAACCAGGGTAACGTTTGGTACTTAACAGAATACAAATAATATCATGTCGCAAAACAATCATTCTGTCCCCCTGCTTGTAGTTTTTTCTTCTAAATTCGACTGGCTTGAATTAGGGGCGCTTGTGCTAGTAGTGGGGGTAGTTTTCTCAGAATCTGCTGTACTGCTTGTGCTAGTAGTGGGGGTAGTTTTCTCAGAATCATCTGTACTGAGGTCCGATGATGGAACTGGCGAAGTTGCTGAAAAAAATGGAAACTCTGAAGTGTAAATACTTCCATGAATTTGTGATGTGTGTGGTGATAGTTCCTCGCAAGGTTGATACCATGTTTAAGAAGGAATACTTTTCTTTAAAACGAAAATTGAATCTGCTTCTATTTTGGCCAAATTCACATACATCCTGGTATATTTTGGGAAAAACGCTCCGACACGTCAATTTTGACCGAATTCAAACCATCAGACAAATTTGAACACAAGATGACGAGCACGCGAACTTTACTTATTTTTACGTTGCTAGGTAATGACGCAGCTACCAGCAGTAATATTTATTCTTATATTTAATTCTTCTTTGATTACAGTGCATCGCAGATATTTTGTATGTATCTCGGATGTAATAAGCGTTATGTGCCTTGGAGTGTTAGAACCCGTGATGATTTATTCATATTACTGGTTGGGAGATTTCGTAGTACGATTGGATGTTCATAAAATTTGTAGAAAGCTTTATTATTTTCTAGCAATTTGGCAGCAACCTGGACCGCTCGCCTGATGGCACGCCTGATGTCATTTTTTGACGGTTTTTCAAGACTTTTTCGCTAATTATTGAAAATATCGGATTGTCCTTTTGCAATGTAAAGGGGTGCCCATTATCACGTTTCCACGCAGTCATGTACATCAAAAAAACAAATCAGTGTCGCAACTAGTCGAACAAACTTAAAAAAAAAATTCTATCAAAAAATTCTTCCTTAGAGACCTGGGTATTGTTGAATTAATCCTGAATACAAAAATATAGCCATGTAGCATTGATATGTTTTGAACAAATATTGAAGTAAGATTGACAAAATCTGAGACAAAAAATGGTATGGTCGAAAACATCATACTAGTACATCCAAGTCCGTACCATCATCAAAAAATAGATAATGCTAAGGTTATAATGATTTCATAAAAGTGAAAGGCGTACGATTTTGCTGTACGGAGTAGTATCTATAAAAGGACTAGAAAAAATAAATATAAGCAAATGATGCACAAAAGACAGCAAAAAGTAGTGCTGTGCGTGGTCTCGCCGCACTGCTGGTGGTGGCTGGTATCCCGCCGATGGATTTGCTAGAGGGGGACCGAAGCTAGACGCGACGGAAGACAGGTGATTTTTATCAGATGGCAGGGAAGATGGACTTCAACTGGTCTTGGAGCATGGACTAAGAAGCTGATCCGGAATAGTAAAACTTGGATATCAGTGCATGATGGTCCTGTGCGAAAAAACAGATGCGAGCAACGACTTACTTTGCCTTGCCCTAAATCTTGCGTGATCAAAAGTGACATAATCAAGATCCTCATCGTCATCATCTTCATCGCCCGCTGGGATGAAACGCTGCCCGGCGTCGAAATCCAGTACTTCTTCTTCTGCTTCGTAATCCTCATCGTCGGGATTGTAACCGTCATCGTCTTCGTCATCATCGTGACTTAGATCGTAATCTTCAGGTCGCCAATCTTCGTCATCATTGTCGGTATCATCTTGTTCTTCCTCCAAGTCGACTGGGAGTGTCTGCCAATCGCTTTCCATCAAGTCACTGGGCACCAGTCGAAATACGCCCTGTATACATATATATACAGTACGTTACCAAGACTATTACGGAAATAGAGCATCAGGAAAATTTGATGTTACACCCCACATACATTTCATGTTTTCACGATTTATACGGTAGGATTTAATACATTTTTTAAGACAAATTCAACCACACAATGTTTCATCTTTTTTTTAACAGCCATAGCAACTTCAGTCCTCCAAAATACAGTAATGGACAAAATTATATAGACAAATTAATATTGTGCTGTATTTCTTTTTTAACTTGTTTTATTAATACACCAACATGTACACATATTTCGTTATAGCATAATACTCTCTTATCCATAAATAAATTCGTTAGGCTCCCTTCAATAAAAAATCAATTGAAAAAACTGGAACTACGAAGGACAAAAATATATAGACAAAGCAAAACAATTATAGAAAAAAGAAACAAAGTTCATTGAATTATAGAAAACCAACCATGTTTTGTGTTAATATTTTGTAGCATAACCATTATTATCAATCACCATCTGGCATTGTCTCGGCATAGATTGTAGAAGTTTCTTGATATAAGATTCATCAATCTGTCTCCACTTTTGCTCTAAAGCGGCAAAAAGTTCATCCTTGTTTGAATAATTTTTATCTCGTATTTGCTTATCTGAGTATTCCCAATGGGGTTTATATCGGAAGACTGTGAAGGCCATTTGAGAACTGGTAGTTTTTCATCCAGAAAGAATTTCTTTGCGAGATTTGAAGTGTGTTTCGGGTCATTTTCTTGCTGGAAGATCGATCTTAAGGGCACATTGTCTTCCAAACATGCTTTAGTATGTGTGTGTATACAAACTTATCCATAAATTCATTCCAAACTCCGAAAAGCACTCCCAAACCATAACAGACCCGCCACCATGTTTGGCAGTGGGCAAAGTGTACTTGGGGTTCAATCTTTGTCCACTAGGACGTCTAACGTAAAGAACACCATCTGATCCAAACATGGATTCGTCACTGAAACATACCCTCTTCCAGTAACAGATGCTTCAATCAAGATGGAACCGTGCAAATTGTAATCGGTCCTTACGGTTTTTCCTCGAGAATAGCGGCTACTTACACGGGCGACGTGCAAATAACTTCAAATCATTTAACCTTCTACTTATAGTTTTTGTAGAAACACTGACAATTCCTTTTGTCTCAGTTTCGGCTTTTATTTGTCTTGGGGTTTTAAACGGTTCTTTGGACGAAATTACTTTTATTAATCTAACTGATCTAGCATTTAGTTTTCTAGGCCGACCAATTCTCTTAGAGGCTTCCAAGATACCTTTTTGTTTATATTTGTTCAATATTGCCCAAACTGCTTTATGCTTCAGCTTCAAATTTTTGGCAATGTCGACTTGATGTTGACCATCTTTGTATAACTCAATGATCTTAGTTTTCTCATCGAAAGAAATATCTGGATCACCCGGGATGGTCTTAAAATCACTCAACTTATTCCACAATACTTGGTGAACACAAACTAATCCTCTTCTGGCATGAAACTGTACTAAACTAATGTTGAAAAGAATTTGTCTACATATTTTTGTCCCTCATAAAAAAGTGCTTATATTCAGACTCGTATTGTGTTCATTGCAGATAATGAAAAAACAAGGAATTTAGCTTTTCTACTAATAACGCATTGCATTTGTTTATGGAGCAATGAAGTATGAATTCATTTTCTAAAGGTATTTAGGTAAATATTCATATTTGTCTATATACTTTTGTCCATTACTGTAGGTGTTCATTCACTTGGATGATGATAACGAAAATGAAAATGTTGTCCAAAAAATGATAATATAGTTGAACATAAATTCAGCAAGCTTATATATTAACACCACTTGTGCTGTGAAGTTTTTCCTCAAATAAAATTACTTATCATACTCACCAGCATTTCAACATTATTTGGTTGGATCCAGTCCTCTTCATCAGCAGTTATATCCCACCCCTCATCCTCATATTCCTCCTCCTCATAAGGGTTTCCCAAAAATGTGAGACCCATTTTTATATGGAATCAATCTACTTTTTCAGTAACTTAACAAGTGGTTTGGATGATTTCACAGAATCCTCACCCCCCCCTTTTTTAAATGGTTTCACAATAATTTTTTTCTTGTTTATCTTCTTTTTCTTCAAGCACGCACAAGCCGCCTGGCACTTTTCTTTGCTGTCAAACAGAACTATGCACCAGCGACGAGACTTCTGCAATGAGAGAATATTTTCTTAGATAAATTAATTACATTTGTAGGCTAAGTACTTATCGGGCCGCCCTCGTATACATGTTTTAACACGTTGCCTGCCTCGGCAACTTTAAGAAGTTCCACAAACAATATTAATTTATTTATTGGATTTGAATAATTGACATTTCATTATGGGACACACTGTATGCAACAGCATTCAGTTTTCGAACCTCTAGATGCAGTGTTTTTCTAAAAATACCGAATTCACGCTTACCTGTCGTGGAAGTTTGACTTGAACTATATCAGGATGCAAATCTCTTACAACAAATTCGTCTTCAATTTTTACTGGTAATCTGATATACAATCTTCTATCTACCTCAGATTCAATGCTGCAACACAAAAATGATCATCTAGAATTACAATTTTAGAGATAATTTATCAGATAACCTAACAATAACAGAAAAATATGGGGGACCATAATCTTGTTGACAAAATGCCAAAAGTATGATAAGTCGCATGATAGTAATGATAATAATGTAATAGCTGTAAAACTTACCCCATAGCTAACAAAAATTATTTGGCGAGCATGTGCCAAATGTAGAAATTCATGCGTAATGGGATTGGATTGCAACAAATTGGAATATCCAAAACAAGAAATTCAAAAATGGATGATGGACGTTCAATTCAACATTGAACACCATGGAACAAGGAACAATAGCATCACAGAACACAGAACGCAAAGAAAGAGCTTCCAGAAAATATCAATATTACTAGGGATGGGCGATGATGATAGTCGATAGTCACTGCTAGCGGTGACTTGGCTGATAGGGAATGACTGTGGATCAGTGAAATCCTTGTATGACAACTGCATTATTTATGGAATGCGATTATCCAAAATAAGGTTCTTTTCTTATGAGTTGGGAGCATTTCCTTTGAACCTAGAAAATGGCGGCTGTGTGTATCCTTCTAAGGACAAGTTGCGCCATCTGCCTTCTTCCTTTACGCATCCTGGACAACAGTCAGCGGCGTAGCACAGGGCGTAGCAACTGCCGGGATTTCCTACATATTCCTAAATTGCTATAACTCCAAAACAATCAGAGAAAACTGGGTAAAAGTACAAATATTTCAGTTTCTTCTCGAGTTTTCGTGCCAAATCATGGTCTCGGTAATCTGAACATCCAAAACAGACACAAATGGCTTCTTGACAAAATTTGGCCTAAAACAGAGAGTCAAAATTGCACTTAATCAATTAGGTTTTTACTTTTGGAAGTGAAATATATTTAAAAAGATACATAGTTTTTAATTTATAACTAATAAAGTGCTCTACTTTATGCTACAACTGAAGTCAGCCTGTATCAAGTTTCCCAAAACTGAAGCTGGAGTACAACAAAACTATCCAATTCCCGCCAAAATTCTAACTTGTCACATTTCAAATAATAACCAGAAATATAAAACTACTACTAATCAAATTCAAGCGGATAACCAAATGGAAATGGTATTTACCATTTTGGGTTGGTATTTACCGATCCGTTCAAGCGAGTGTAGTTATCAGTTTGGTTATAAGATCCGTGACGTCACGAATTAGCTGTTATATGTCATAGTTATCACCGCGAAATTGTGGTATTCACCCAACTCAAGAGTAGTTTTATATTTCTGGTTATTATTTGAAATGTGAAATTGTGGTATTCACCCAACTCAAGAGTAGTTTTATATTTCTGGTTATTATTTGAAATGTGACAAGTTAGAATTTTGCCGGGTATTGGATATTGTTATTGTACTTCAGCTTCATTTTTGAGAAAATTGATACATGCTGACTTCAGTTTTACCATAAAGTGGAGCACCTTATTAGTTATACTCATTACGGTTGTTGGGGACACTTTAAATATAGTTTCTATGCTTAACAAAGTATCCCGTCCATATACCACAAGAATATTAAAATATGGCCATATAAACTCACTAGATGATATCCACCTGTATACGGTTTTGCTAATTTCTTTTTTCATCATTTCTACTGAATCAATAAATGTTTTCTTTGACATGCGGAAAAATTTAGAGAATTGAAAGTTATCATAGCTACAAAGCCATCCATCATTAAAAAAAATCTGAATAAAACATTTCTCCCATGAATATTATGAAAGGTTTCTTATTTAAACTTTCCATATACAGTTGTAGACGAAAAAGCACCGATTATTAAGTGATAATAAAAATAATCAGAGATTATATACGCGCTTTTCTAAAATAAACAACTTGCAACAAAACCGCGGTTAAAACCAACGCGTTCAAGCGATTCGTGTAACTGACGTCATCAACCCGTGTGTCATCTTGAACCATATTATAACCGCGGCACATAACACAGAAATTTTGGTTATTCGCTTGGATTTGATTAAAGAGTTGGGTAAATACCACAATTTTGCGGTGATAACTATGACATATAACAGCTGATTCATGACGTCACGGATCTTATAACCAAACTGACAATCACACTCGCTTGAGCGGATCAGTAAATACCAATCCAAAATGGTAAATACCATTTTCATTTGGTTATTCGCTTGAATTTGATTATAGTTGATGCACCACCAAACAGTAGACTCACCTAGCAGCCGGAATAATAAGTCGACTTTTAAGAAAGATGCCTACATGAATCTACAGAACTACACGAGTGGCATGTAGAAAATCCACATTTGATGAGACAAGATAGATCACAGCAACGTTTCAAAGTAAACAAGCGGATCGAGATTCTATGAGTTGTCAAAGTCTTGAATGGCGAAATTTATTTAGACTTTTTACAAAATCATTTACACCAAATTTACTGGAAGTCGTGCCACTAAGGATTGACAGAGACACGTGCTACCAGCAAGACGGATACCTGGTGCACTATGCTCGTTCTGTTAGGGAATATCTTGATGCGAAATACCCGATCTGATGGATAGTGTGGTCTGGTACAATTTCGTGGTCACCTGACTTGAATCTACTAGATTTTGTTACTGGGGAGCGGTGAAGAAAAAAGTTTACTCCCTCGTTTTCGGTTTGACGTCGACTTTTGGGACATACAAGTTTAATAAAAAGAAGGTAGCTGTTGCATTATCTCACCCATACCACCCATTCAATGTAAAAAGATAATTTTCTTGAATATATTTTTTACCTTTGTTTTGTTTCCGTTTTTATTAGCAAATATTTATCGCCAGTCGTCGACATATACTTCTGCCAGAAATGTGATTATTTTAACCAACCAGTAAGTCTTCCTATGTATTAGCATTGCATTTATAATTTTTTTCTTTTTCAACGTGTTTTGGTGTTTTAATTTTTGAAGCCTTTGCTTGGTTATAGAAAATCACGTGTACCTGAAGATGGCGTTTAGCCTGTTGTATTTTTAATAAGCGTTTTAAGGGACTGATTCCCACGAATTTAAAACTTGAATTCAATAAGCAACTTTCGTCTACGATATACCTGAGCGCCAAACCCGCACGCCACTGGCTATCGACGCCGACGTCGGAGGTCGGTGCATCAGATCATATGCTGACGACGCCCTTAATATTTTATATATCGTAAGAGTTCATGGGTTAACACTGATAAAAGTACGTAATATTTTTCGTAGTTATCCCAATTTGAAAATAGTAAACATTCCAAACGTACTCAGAAACAAACTAGGAACGAGTGAACTTTATCTCATATGGGCTAATTTAGACTTTTTAAAGGTAAGGTTGCTTCTATAACCTAACCCAATTGTGTTTTAAAATTATGTTTCTCGCATGTTTTCAAATATTACGTATATATACATTAACTGAACCAGTTACTTGTATGTTATCGTTATATTTTTAGTTTTGGCATATGGTATATTGTGCAGTATAAATAAGTAATAGCACTATTTTAAGACAAGATCAAGTGATTTTATTTTGAATAAGATTATTGAGTAAATAGAATATTAATAACGTTAGTCAAAGCATTTTAAATGTCTAGAGCTATTTTTTATTATTAAGTATTGTAACAAGTACTGATACATCTGTTTAATAGAATTATATTTGTTGGTATATGGTTTTTTATTCGAAAAAGCCACATTTTGGTGTATGTTGAGTAGATTTTATGGATTAGAAATAAGAATCGGAAGTTTGTATATTTTTTCGTATTCCAGATACATTTAGGGCGTGACCAAAAACAATTGTTAAAGCTATATTCTTTTTTTGGAATTCCTTAACAATTTAGTGCATAGACAGTCATTCAATTTTTCTTTAAATTTCAAGTTTTTGAAAACTGTTTGATTAGAAACAGATGCATGCTCACTTACTTATAAGAAACTCATACTTACGTTATTTTTTTCAGCAAAAATGAAACTTTGTGCATCTGTAACTTTGTATACAAATCGTACTAAATTTTTACAAACTCCTAATATATGCTGAGCATTGACGATGTGATAAAAGTTATAGAACGACATTTATATTTCTGGACAAATACAAAAGCACCAAGGCAAATCTGGTACTCAAAATATAAATGAGATGGCCAAATGCTTTTCACCAGAGTTAAATTTTGGGGCTTGGTGTTACTATTATTCATCTACCTCATAGGGGTGTTACTGTTATCAGCATTGTCACTCAACGAGTCCAAAAGTACTGCAATCAACAAGGTAAGCTTCCCTAAATGAAATATCACGGATAAATCATAATAATATACATTTTTTACGGTCTTTTGTATGACTTTTATTCATTGCTATTAATCGAGGCAATATGGCGAAAATTATAGGTAAAATTCTGGGAGAAATCGTAAGGGGACAAAAATACTTAGCGACTCAGGAAATGGAGTATCCAGTAAAAAAGATTCTATTTGAACGGCATTTTATGTGCAGTTTGGTATAAAGCAAGAAGAAGTCGTGATCAATTGAAGTAAAAATGTTTGATGTATCCTTTTTTTCCATAATAATGTGTTGGATCACCCCGGTGACATACGAGGGCAGTTCGACAAGTACGTAGCCTACAAAAAAAAGAACGAACATTTTTGAAAAGCGGTGATTTATTTCTCAACATAGTCTCGTCAGCGATGCTCCAACTCAAAGTAGGCCTCCGTGGCGGCGACAACCTCCTCATTCGTCTCAAATTTATGTCCGGCGAGTGACTTCTTCAAGCTTGGAAACAAAAAGAAGTCATACGGGGTCAAATCTGGAGAATACGGAGGACCGGGCAGCAGTTCGTAGCCTGATTCGAACGAAAGAGCACTTTTTTGTTCGCCAAATGAGGCCGTTTTTTCTGCAATTCGGTCCAACAATTCGGCATAATAGCCCTGTGTCCGCTTTGCCCTTCTCCAGGTCGATGTAGGTCACACCTTGCGAATCCTAGAAAATGGTGGTCATCACCTTTCAGGCAGTTAGGACAGTGTTTATCTTCTTCGGAGCACGATCGCCAGGTGAAGTCCACTGTTTCGACTGTTCCTTCGGATTGCGCTTAAACAGCGTCAAACAGTGTTCTGAAGTGGTCTCACGGTTGCGCTTGAATGAGCAACGTCTACGTACTACAGTATATTTAGATAAGAGATAGACCGGACATAAACAAGACCACGTGATCATCGAACGCTGTAACATTCGGCAGGGACGTATTAAGAGTCACGCAGTACATATTTTAGATAGTAGATGCTGCTTTGCGTAACTTTGTAGTAAATTAGCACAATTCGATGTGTATACGATTGGTGATGGATATAGGATCATGTGGGGGTGGGGTAAGAAATATATAATGATGTAAATATACATAAGGGTTTCAAAATTTTCGCTTCGATTTCCAGCTTCGGATGCCGCCTGATGTTTGGTGAAATACAGTAGAATATAATCTCAAAATGGCGTTTAAATTAGCCTAAATTAAAAATAATCGTATATCTCTTAAAATTGCTTTTAGAATATTGATTAGTATATTTTTTGATTTCTAGGTAAATATGTAACCAAATTAAAACGTTCAAAACGTTAAAAAATGTGCATGGTTGAACATTGTCAGAAAGTAGATTCTTGAATAGGTTTTGCCAAAATGGGTTCAAAAATGTCAATATTTAATTAAAAAATACAATAGCTTTATAATTACTTATAACTTACCGAATTTGATGAACGACATCTTTTATTGGAAAGATGAGCTTGATGAGCTTTCATCATCGCTACTGCCTGAAGCACCAACGTCAATAATGAATGGCTCGACTTGTTCCTCTAAAATATTGTCCAGTTCCCACATTCTCTTTTCAACTTTGTCTTTCACGTGCTTAATACAGTTTTCCCATTTTTGCGCTGTTATTAATTCTAGTGCTTCTTTGAAAAGTCCTTTGAGGTCACAAAATTTAAAAGTTGTATTGTGCTTAGCTATATAATTTTTAACCTCTGCCCATATGAGCTCAATGGGATTGAGCTCGCAATGGTATGGAGGTAAACGGAGCACAGTTTTATTTTGACTTGCTGCCATTTCGTCAATGGCGTATTTTTGATATTCCGCCTTGTGATCCTTGACAATTCTTAATAATTGTACTTTCAGCATTGCTTCTTCAAAGTTGATATTTTTCGAGCGGAGCCAATTTTGAACATCAACTTTCCTTGAAGCCGTTGTTGGGACCTTCTTCATTCTTCGAGAATGATAAGGCGCATTATCCAACACAATTACTGCGTTTTCCTCTAAGTTCGGTAAAATTTTTGAAAACCACTGTTCAAACGATTCGCCATTCATTTCCTCGTGGTAATCTCCAGTTTTCTTAGACTCAAAGCACCACAGACCGTCAACAACAAATCCATCCTCACTGCCAATATGGCAGATAATGAGCCTTTTCCCTTTACCTGGAAATCGAAGTACTAACTGGTGTAGATTTATTTCAATAAGCGAACCTTTTTCAAATGTTTTCATCACATTCAGCGAAAAAACATTGAGACATGAGTATCAGATTGCTATAATTGGGATTATTTAGTCATATTGAAAGAAAGAATATTGAACGTCGTATGATTACTCAGCGCTTCACAATTTAATTTAAAGTTATAAACCTTTAAAAAATGAATGATCAGGAACCAGAAATACGCGCAAATATTAATATTAACAAATTATAACTTTATAAAGCTTAAAGTATGAATTAAAATGATTAGAAATATTAGGAACGGTACACAATATAAAACTTAGTAACTTTTTTTAAGTTTATAATATTCGACATATTTTAAGATTATATTAAAAAAATATTGAAATATCGAAAACACATAAAAATATGGCTTAAAAAAGTTCTAACAAATGAAAATGACAATAAAACATCCACGCATTTTATCGAAAGTTATAAAAGTTTTGTTACTTGTAATATGTTTTATCTGCCCCTTGGAATTAATGTTTAGAACCTTGTTCCCAAGGTTTGAAAAACATCCATTTACGTTTACCCACGTTTCATCAAGGTAATAAATCTTCCTGTTTTGATTTCTATATTTCCCAATTTTTGTTAAATAATCCCTCCTCCATAGCACAATTTCTTCTCTATCCAGTAGTAAACTATTACGACCCCGTTTTTTCCATTTGAAATTTAAATGCTTCAGTAACGCATGGAAAGTTGATCGTTTGAAATTTGGCAACGTTGTATCTCCATTTACCTCCTGCAGTACTTTATCTATAGTAGGTATTTCATTCCTAAAGAAGAATTCATGCACTTTCCTCCTAATCGCATGCTTATCAGCTTCATCCAATGATTTAACAATACTTTTGCGATGTTTACTGGTCATTGGCTCAGAAAAGGTGTGATTTTTTTTGTATTGTCTTAACACACTAAACACTGTTGCGCGACATACCCCAACTTTGTGAGAAACCTTCACAACAATTTCTTTGATGGTTGATGCCTCGTTCTCCTCGCGCTCGATCTTATATATGTTCAAAATGACCTCTTTCATTTCTGCACTCAGGTGTCTTTTTTTAGAGCGTTTCCTAGGTGGACTACAGGAGTTTACAACTTCATCGGCAGTATCTGTACTACTGGGCATTTTGCGCAAGCAGTTGATAACAATAACAATCAATAACAAGGTATAACAATAACAACGACAAACTCAACAACTTAATAAGATAACAAACGAAAACGTCCAAAGAAATATCAAATTGCAATGATGCACACGACATACGTAACACGTCTGAACCTGAGTGTGACTCTGCCTTGATTCGACTGCTCTGCCGCTCGGCATAGGCATTTAATTGCGAATTGACCAATGAGGGCTCCTGTTTTACGTCGAGACGGCGGCGTTAGCGTGAAAATCACCCGAACCTTTTGTTTACATCCGGTCTATCTCTTATCTGAATATACTGTATACGATAGCAAATTTCTCTTGCGAGAGTGGCGTCATCGGGTAGTGTGGCTAAATACTTATCGGACCGCCCTCGTATACATTAATCTTGTCGTCGGGCATGCCTGTAAGGAGGTGATTTATGTCTTCTTGAAGTTAGCTGTACTTGGTTCGAAAAAGCTGCTAGCTTTTGCGAATGATGGAGTAAAGAAGTAATTCTTCTTCCAATGTTATCCTACACCTGCTCAATGCGCGGAAGATTTGTAGATCTACAGGGTTTGTCCGGAAAGTAATAGGACTGAGTCGATTTAAAAAAAATTATTGAGCCAATCGTTACAATTCTTTAAAAACTTTCAAAATAGGCTCCTTCTGCATCGATGCAGCGCTGCCAGCGCGATTTCCAAGCGTCACGGAAGCCATTCTCCGGAATAGCCTTGAGAGCCGCGGTGCATGCTGCTTGGATCCTCTATGTCATCTTAAAGTGCTTGCCTTTCATCGGCCTTTTCAGGCGAGGAAACAAAAAAAAGTCTCGGAAGATTGCCTCTTTGTCTCGGGATCATACTCAAAGATCCACGACTCGTCACCTGTGATTACGTTATCCAAAAATTGGGGGTCACACGTTGTGATCTTGGCCGACACATTACCTCCAATACCGAATCTACTAGTGTTCAACGGCATTTTCATATATTCGAACTTCTCCTGTTTCAGGGCAGTTCAACGTTTACTAAACACCAAATATCGAAACTGAAAAATTTCGAATACGGACTAACAGGCTTTAAAGCAGCCTTACGTAGGTCCAAAATAAATTGGTGCACGGATCTTAAGTACCAAGATCCTCCAGGGGAAACCATTGCATTAGCTTCTTTCCCTGGAAGTGGAAACACTTGGTTAAGATACCTATTGCAACAAGCTACAGGTAAATAAAAAAAATACATTTTTTTCCCTCATTTTAAATGTTAATTTTTGGAATTGGTGGTTACACATCGAATCAGGGGGTCATTAGAGGGGTGCAGTGGTGGTTGGTGGTGGTCGCAGGACAGCGTTGCCAGGTGGATAAGACAGACTTAATCCAGAACAGACAAAAAAATCCCCAGCATTGCAGCTTTTTCCAAGTCACACTTCATTAAGAGGGAGGGTTAGGTATGGTTTGAAGAGTGGGAGGGAGCTTTCAGCCCGCGGAACGTGTGATTTATAACTTCAGACTTCAGAGAATTGTCAGTTTTGAACTCAAAGTTTTCCTAACCTAACCTTCGTCATTATAGGGAGTAGTCGTCTAGCTTTTTTCCCAAAACACACGTATGAGACAAGGATCTAAATCAATCGGTTCGTTCACATCAGAGATAAACCCTTCACATCAAAGGCGTAAAGGTAGGGCTAGGAGCAAACCATGAAGACTAGATTTAGGAGGTTAAACTGCTTAAGGTAAAACATGTGGGTATTCCTATGAAGATAATTCGCGTTATTGAGGGAGAGAGAGACAGAGAGAGAGAGAGAGAGAGAGAGAAAGAGAGAGAGATGCAGACACGAAAGAGATGCCGCACGAGCTGAAACTGAAATAGGAAATAGGTTTCTGACGCAATTAATTTCACCCTTAGGGTGTTTCAGTTTATTGTTGCATAACTTTAAGATTCGATAGAACTTTTAAAATTAATGCATAAAGTTTATATAAACATGGGTCGAAAAATGCGTGGCTTCCGAAATACAGGGTGTTTAAATTTACTTTCTAAAATAGTTTTTTTTTTAAATATTTCGAACAATATTTGATGTATAACAGTGAAAATTGGCATACAAGGGTTTGGTACGGCAAAACGGCATAGTTTTACTGTAGCCGCTAGAGAGCGCTCTCTACTGTACCTGTAGTGTATTAAAATGACCGAAAAATTTTTCTTAGTGCAATTTTTAGCTTTTTGAATAAAAAAACTGATTCTTCGCACTTTTCAACATAAAAAAGCTCTCCTGTGAGTTTTCGTTATAGTTAGCCGTTTTTGAGATATTTCGATTTTCAAGGTTCGATGCATTTTTAATTATTTATGGCAATATAATATTTTTTTTATATTTCCGATTTGGGCATCGTTAAGATTGTGTTTTTAAACACAGCAATAATTCCTAACTCCAAATAAACACAAAAAACAGAATATTAATTTGTTTAATTTTCCAATATTATTTTTAACAAATTAAATTAATTATTTCAACTAAAATGCTATTGGATAATTAGGACAAACATACAAAATCTAAAGTAGTTGCTCGAAATGTAAACCCAATTGTTCAATACACAATTCACATCTACGAATGATCGAACGTGGTATAGAATTATTCAAATAAGGCCTTATTTCATCACATGCATTCCTGATTCTGTCTATTAGCATATCTCTTGTGGTTACGGGAGTCTGGTACACTTTTTCTTTTAGAAATTCCCACACAAAGAAATCTAATGGATTTAGGTCAGGGGATCGTGGAGGTCAGGCGACTGGTCCTCCACGGCCGATCCATCTTTCTGGATAATTTTCGTCCAGCCAGTTTCTAACTATTCTCGAATAATGAGCTGGACAACCATCAAGCTGGAACCAGGCCAATCTTCTAAAATCTAACATAACATCATCCCACATATTTGCATGTTCAGCCTTTAAAAATTCCAAGAAGGTCGCAGCATTTAACCTTGCAAAAGGTAGGGTCCAAATTGTCGATTACGGTAGATACCAATCCACACGTTCACACTAAATTCATGCTGAAAATTTCTTTCCCGAACTGCGACCAAATATGTTGATTATGAAAATTTACCACTCCACGTCTAGTGAAGCATGACTCATCGGTCCATAAAACGTTACTTAAAAACTCCCTATTATTATCAGTTCTATCAAGAATCCACTGACAAAATGTGATTCTTCGTTCTCCGTCCTCTGGCTGTAGTTCTTGCACAGGTTGCAAATGGTAAGGACGTCTATGGTCATTTCTAAGAACACGGTGAACATGGCTTGCTGAAATTCCCAAGGGACCAGAAACTCTCCTAACACTTGTGGTCGGATCTCTATCAAACTCACGCAGAATCATACGGGTAAATCTGCGCTGACGAACATTTATGGAGATTTCCAAAACCATTTTCAATTATTTGGCGATGCACTCTTACAAATACTGCGCAAGTTGGATGTCGTCTGTTTGGAAATCTTCGTGCGTATTCTCTGGCTGCTTCTGCTGCGTTTCCATTTACAAAGCCATACACAAAATGAATATCCGCTAACTCTTGATTGGAGAATAAAAATAGCATTTTTATAGAACTTACAAAAAAAACAGGTAAAAGAAACTAAGTTTCGTGCATTCACAATTGCAAAAAAACGTTTCAGGTTCCAACAGACAACAAAACTAACTGTCAACTAATTGACGTTTAACCTTATTCTGCTTTCAATTTCAAAAATACTACTTCTAAAAATTATCAAGATACTGACTTTTTAACGTTATTTTATCATAAATAATTAAAAATGCCTCGAACCTTAAAAATCGAAATATCTCAAAAACGGCTAACTATAATGAAAATTCACAAGAGAGCTTTTTTATGTTGAAAAGTGCGAAGAATCAGTTTTTTATTCAAAAAGCAAAAAATTGCACTAAGAAAAATTTTTCGGTCATTTTAATACACTACAGGTACAGTAGAGAGCGCCCTCTAGCGGCGACAGTAAAACTATGCCCATGGTTCGTTTTGTCGTACCAAAAAACCCTTGTATACCAATTTTCACTGTTATACATCAAATATTGTCCGAAATATTGAAAAAAACTATTTTAGAAAGTAAATTTAAACACCACCCCGTATTTCGGAAGCCACGCATTTTTTGACCCATGTTTATATAGACTTTATGCATTAATTTTAAAAGTTCTATCGAATCTTAAAGTTATGCAACAATAAACTGAAACACCCTGTATATCTAGTCTTCACGGTGCGACACAGAGGAAAGAAAAAACTACAGAAAAATAAAATTTGTATTCAGCAACGGTCAGTTTTGCTTGACGAAAAATGGATTAATACACCTCAAAAAATACCCCAGGATTTTATTCTTCCTTCCAAAAAATCGCCCAGAACATTATATCCCTCAATAATTCCCCAAGAAAAGTAAGAATCCCCCCAGATTTGATCGAAAATCGCCTAACATGGCAACCCTATCGCAGGATTCATATTCACAAAGACGTTTTTCTCCGATCCCCAGAATCAGCGCTAGAGCGAATAGATAATTGAAGAGCAGGAGAGAGGGAGGGGGGTAGTTGATCTCGATTCGCCCAGGGGGAGGTTGTCACGCCCTTGCTTCGAACTTGTGGAATAGAATGTGTTCGCATCCTATGAGGATGTTGTTATATTTTATCAAAGATGTCAAATAAACTACACCAAACGAGTACCTGCCCAACACTCCTGAGGAGAAGATATATACTAAGTGACATATAAATCCGAACACCCAGTTTAAATGGTTTTATTTTAATAAAATTTTGTATAGGTACTTAATGAAGCATAATAAGTAAATGATAAAAATTTCAAAATGATTGCACGGCTTTAAAGCCCTTTGACCTTTAATAATGTGTGGATGCACCCTGATGTGCTACGCATTCTCCAACGCGCCTAGGCATGCTTCTGATCAGGTGGTCAATGTCCTCCTGTGGTATCTCATTCCAGGCAACCACCAACTCCTCTCGAAGTGCTTCTAGAGTCTGAGGAGGACGTTGCAAATTGAGCAATCTCCTACCCATCATATCCCACACGTGCTCAATTGGGGATAAGTCGGGAGATCTTGGTGGCCATGGTAACAATGTGACATCATTATGTTGAAAGAAGTCTATTGTGACTCTTGCAACATGTGGTCGGGCATTATCTTGTTGGAAAGTTGGATCTGCCAGGGTGTCAAGATAGGATAAAAGATGGGGTTCTAGAACTTCGTGGATATAACGCTGCGCGTTCATGTTACCTCTGATTAAGATTAAAAGTGACTGCGAACCATAAGCTATAGCACCCCAAACCATAACTCCAACAGTGTGATGAACATGTCTTTCAACAAAAAACTGTGGATTCCTCCTTTCACCACGTCGCCTTCTAACCCTAGCACGACCATCGTGCATGCCTAAACAAAATCGAGACTCGTCACTAAAGACAATACTGTTCCATTCCTGATCCCAGAGTGACCGTTGTCTGCACCACTCAAGGCGATTACGTCGGTGTTCTCGAGTTAAAGGGAGGACCCAGTGTGGCCGGTATGAAAACAAGCCAAAACTTCTCATTCGTCGGTAAACACTTCGCATGCCAATAGGTCTTCCGTGTTCCGCAAACCATTCATTTGCAATGGACCTGGTAGTGGAGAAACGGTCCCTTAAGGCCAATAATCTTAGGCGGCGATCTTCACGGTCTGTTGTTCTACGGCGGCGTCCAGTGCCCCTTGCTCTTTGCGTACGGCCTTCTCGAAGCCATGCCTGACAAAGAAAGTCCAGCTTCCCGAAGTGCCACTATACGGCCCCTATCAAACTCACTAAGTTGACGAAATCGTGCAGGTCTCCGTAATCTAGGCATCGTAACCGATCGTAAAGGATGTCAAGAACCAAAATCCGCCAACGTTGATTCCTTACTGCGGCTGAAATATTCATTTTTAGAGCGTTAGTGAATTAAAAAAAAGCAGTATAAAAACCGGAATGTCCAACTGATAAGGCTGAACATTTTTTCACTTGTTATTTACAGTAAGATAAATACATTCCCAAATTTCATTAAAATAAAGGCCAGAATACACATGCCAGTAAAATAGCATGCCAGTGGCCAGTAACTTGTATGCTAACTACTTGTCCTACGTCATCCCAAAATACACATGCTAGTTTTGGATATGCCAGTCTGTGAAAACTTTCCTTTGTCTTCTTTAACTCTTGGTGGTAGGTTGTTCTTAGGTTTTTATCTTATTTTTCATAAATTTCAATGTTAAATTAAAGACTTGTAAGCATTGTCTCTAGCGATTTTATTTTTATACAATGGAGATCATGTATTCCATAAACACGGATACTCCCTATACTGCATAACAAACAATAAAGTCTTTTCGTCTCCCCAACGAGCCATTTTGCCCGGAACTAAACAAATAGTTCTATAGTTCAAGAATCCGTTTTTCACATGCGAGTTTCTGGTAACGTTGTCGTTCACACATCTTTGAACATGACTCGCATGTTTCCTCCCCTCCATTCCCTCGACGAAATCCTGCTACTGGCACACAAAAATCAAACGTCTTGCGATCTACTGGCGTGCTATCTTCTAGCGTGCTTTCTTGCTGGCAAAGAAAGTCACACATGCAAGTAGCACGCACAATCCAGTAACTGGCATGCTTCTGTGCGTGTAACAAGCATGTGTATTCTCGCCTTTAAACCATTTAAACTGGGTGTTCGGATTTATATCTCATTTAGTATAATATGCGAATAGTATTGTGTCATTGTAGCATTAATAGCGTCGTCTCGCTTAGCTATGTTACATACAGGGTGGCACAACAAAAAGGTCGCACCCACATTTGTGACTCTCCGGGTATATTTTAGGAAAACGCCGCGTCAATTTTGATTTCTAGGGGGAAGTCTTTTCATTTATAGGCGTACAATACAGGGTAATCCAAAAATAAGATATTGAGTTACACATTAGATTTTTAAATGAATATAAAAAATTAAACGAGAATCAATCAAGGTATTTAAAATTTTCTACGAACTCAATATCTTCACCATCAATATTTAATCTTGAATTCCCCCCATCTTTTTTTTTTCAGGAATATATACTGGGTCGGTCTACAAAGACTACGGATTATTGAAGAACGGTTTTCCAGCGGAAAGCGTACTGAACGGTTCCGTACTGGTCGTGAAGACCCACGAATGGGGCCCTAAAGCTAGGAGCAGATTTACGAAAGCTTTGCTCTTAGTCAGATCACCCGCCGCGGCGATTCAGGCGGAATTCAACAGGCAGAGTGGCGGACATATTGGATTCGCCTCGCCTGATCGGTTCAAGAGATTGAAAGGTCGATGTGAGTATTGCTTGTAGATCTAGCATTCCATTATTTTCCAGAATTACTCTATACCTGGTGCTGCTTACAGGAATTTGTTTCTAAAATGCAATAAAATGTATAGAAGTTATTTATACAGGGTGATAATTAGGTACGTACCCTACATTTAACAGACGATTCTTTGTGTGATTTCGAGAGAAAAATTCATATAAACATTGATCTGTAAATTCTTCGTTTTCAAGATACGGGATGTTAAACTTAAAAAAAGAATTTTCCTAAATATCTCAAATATCCTTGACCCAATGTTGATGTAATTTGGTGGAGCTAATTTAGCGCTAATTTGATTAAATTTATTAAGTCTAATAGCGGGAATTTCCGATTTCACTGCTTTTTCTCTTAAAACTTCTAGAGAGTAGTCTGAAATTTTTTTCCCAAAACACTATTTTTAGCTGTTCTTTCCACCATTATTTCCACCGCCATCTATCTGCCGTATGACCTATACGTCTATGCATATATCATATATGAGAGGTGCTTGCCTGCAGTGTTGTCGGATTGAGCTCCGCATTTAGGGAAAAATATGAAAAGTGGAAAATTTATATACATATATTAATTAATGAATCACAAAAACAAAAAACTGAAACAAACAGCAGTAGCAGAATAAAAGGCGATTCCTAATAGAAAAAAAGCAATACTAAGTGACAACACAAAAACAGTAGTAAAACGAAAAACAATTTCATTCCATCCGAATTGCTTTTTATTTTACTGTTTACTTTTTTTTTTTTTTAATTACATGGAATAGTTTTTTGCTTTACTACTGTTTTAATTTTTTGTTTTCTTTTATAATCACTTAGAATTGCTTTTTACTTTATTGCTGTTTTTATTTTTTGTTTTATACTTGTAAGAATCACTTTTAATCTTACTACTGTTGTTTGTTTCAATTTTTTGTTTTTGTTTCATTAATTAATATAAATTATATTATTAGGGTTGTCCAATAGGGACGCAGGAAAGTAAACGTCAATTTGACATAGACGCCATCTTTATTTTCTGTCACCGACATGTCATTTAGTTAGTTGGATGTTTACCATTGATCGCTATGGAGTCGTATTCGATTGAAGACCGTATTAAAGTTATTCAAGAGCACTACAAAAATGGTGCAAAAATAAAAAACACGTTTCGTGCGCTTCGTGAACATTTCGGTCGCAACAACCGCCCAAACGAAACAACCATCGGTCGTCTGGTGCGTAAATTCGAGGCAACAGGTTCTGTAGCAAATCTGCCAGGCTCTGGCCGGCCAAGGAGCGTTCGCACACCGGAAAATATTGCTGTTGTGAAGGAGAGTGTGAGAGACGATCCGAAACAATCAACAACGCGTCGATCCCAAGAATTGGGCATTTCGAGAACCAGTTTGCTCGGCATTCTCCACAAGGATTTGAATGTACACGCCAGAAGATCCAATTGACGCAAGAGCTGTGTCGGGCAGACCATTTTTCGCGCCGAACGTTCTCAGATTGGCTCCTTGAACACCGCCAAATTGATGCCAGTTTTTCATCAAAAATCATGTTCAGCGACGAAGCGCATTTCACTTTGAATGGGACGGTAAACAAGCAAAACTGCCGCATCTGGGCAAACGAAAATCCCCGTGAGTATCAAGAGCAGCCGATGCATCCTCAAAAAGTGACTGTGTGGTGTGCATTGTCGTCAAAAGGCATCATCGGACCTTACTTTTTCGAAAATGCGGCCGGGGACGCCGTTACCGTCAATTCTGAGCGATATCACGTGATGATAGAGGACTATTTTTTGCCGCAACTTGAAGGAATGGATATGGACGATGTTTATTTCCAACAAAACGGTGCAACATGCCACACAACCAACGTCAATATCCATCGATTGCAGTCCTTCTTCGGTGATCGCGTGATTTCGCGCAGAGGAACTGTGCCATGGCCACCAAGATCGTGCGATTTGACTCCCTTGGACTTCTTTTTATGGGGATATTTGAAAAGCAAAGTCTACGTCAACAAACCAGCCACCCTCCTAGAACTCAAAAACAACATCATTGCCGAGATAAATGCCATAGAACCGACCATGTTGCAGAATGTCATTGAAAATTTCGACCATCGCGTGGACGTCTGTAAATCCAGTCGTGGTGCACATTTGAGCGATATTATTTTTCATACATAAATGGTATAAATGAACCTTCAAAATAAAGTACCCAACTTGATTTGAATATCAATCTTTCTTGTTTTAATATGCGTTTACTTTCCTGCGTCCGTTTTGGACAACCCCATATGAATTTTCCACTTTTCATATTTTTTCTCTAAATATGGAGCCCAATCCGGCAACACCCCAAGCAAGCGCCTCTCGTATATGACATATCCACAGACGTCAACGTCATATGCTAAAAATACAGTGTTTTGGAAAGAAAATCATAAAAAGCGTGCTTCATTCACACTTTTTATGATTTAAAATAATCTTTGAGGCTACCCTCTATAAGTTTCAAGTGAAAAAACAGTGAAATCGGAAGCTCTACAAGACGCAACAGTACCAAAAATGTACCTTCACCACTGTCTCTTGTGCAGTTTTTTTATCAAGCATTTTTTGTCCCTTGATTTTTTCCGTATCTTACTTAAAGAGTTAATTTGTGCCTTAGATAATCCTTTACGAACCGATGACAGCGTAACGTGGGGAGTACAGAGTCAACTTGCATGACGCCACTCTTTGCATTACAGATTGGCAGCAATTTGTATCTGACAAACTACGCGGTTGGCAGCAAATGAACTTGGACTGGTTGTTCAACTTTACCGGGCCCACCCACGTAATCTTCTACGAACAACTGGTTGACGACGTCCCACACACGATGCGTGGAGTTCTTGACTTCATCGGTGTTCACGTGGACCGGGAATTATTCAGGTGCGCCATGGATCGCAGAGAAGGTATCTACAGGTAAGCGGTTTTGGAAAAACGTTCGATTAGGTAGCAGAAATCAGTAAGGCGCTTCCGGTGAACTAGTTCAATAGGTCGCGCTCATTAAGACGAACTAGTTCGCGAACGAAGAATAATATCAATCTTTCATCCGATCGCCGGGGTTAAGCAGCGTCGGACGCGGTTAGTATTTGGACGGGTATCCGCTTCGGAATATCTCGTATTGTTGATTTTTTGGTACTGTTGCGTCTTGTAGAACTTCGGATTTCACTGTTTTTTTACTTGAAACTCATAGAGGGTGGTCTGATAGATTATTTTAAATCATAAAAAGTGTGGATGAAGCACGCTTTTCATGAAATGTTTCCCCCATTATTTCCACCGCCATCTATCATATGACGTTGACGTCTGTGGATATGTCATATATGAGAGGCGCTTGCCTGCGGTGTTGCCGGATTGGGCTCCGTATTTAGGGAAAAATATGAAAAGTGAAAATTTATATATACTAAGTAACATATAAATCCGAACACCCAGATTAAATGGTTTTATTTTAATAAAAGTTGGTGAATGTATTTATCTTACTGTAAATAACAAGTGAAAAAATGTTCAGCCTTATCAGTTGGACATTCCGGTTTTATTACTGCTTTTTTTAATTCACTAACGCTCTAAAAATGAATATTTCAGCCGCAGTAAAGAATCAACGTTGGCGGATTTTGGTTCTTGACATCCTTTACGATCGGTTACGATGCCTAGAGTACGGAGACCTGTACGATTTCGTCAACTTAGTGAGTTTGATAGGGGCCGTATAGTGGGACTTCGGGAAGCTGGACTTTCTTTTCGGGCAATTGCAGTTAGAGTGCAAAGAAGTATAGACACTGTGGTTAGGTGTTGTCAGGCATGGCTTCGAGAAGGCCGTACGCAAAGAGCAAGGGGCACTGGACGCCGCCGTAGAACAACAGACCGTGAAGATCGCCGCCTAAGATTATTGGCCTTAAGGGACCGTTTCTCCATTACCAGGTACATTGCAAATGAATGGTTTGCAGAACACGGAAGACCTATTGGCATGCGAAGTGTTTACCGACGAATGAGAAGTTTTGGCTTGTTTTCATACCGGCCACACTGGGTCCTCCCTTCAACTCGAGAACACCGACGTAATCGCCTTGAGTGGTGCAGACAACGGTCACTCTGGGATCAGGAATGGAACAGTATTGTCTTTAGTGACGAGTCTTGATTTTGTTTAGGCATGCACGATGGTCGTGCCAGGGTTAGAAGGCGACGTGGTGAAAGGAGGAATCCACAGTTTTTTGTTGAAAGACATGTTCATCACACTGTTGGAGTTATGGTTTGGGGTGCTATAGCTTATGGTTCCAGGTAACCTTTAGTCTTCATCAGAGGTAACATGAACGCGCAGCGTTATATCCACGAAGTTCTAGAACCCCATCTTTTACCCTATCTTGACACCCTGGCAGATCCAACTTTCCAACAAGATAATGCCCGACCACATGTTGCAAGAGTCACAATAGACTTCTTTCAACATAATGTTGTCACATTGTTACCATGGCCACCAAGATCTCCCGACTTATCCCCAATTGAGCACGTGTGGGATATGATGGGTAGGAGATTGTTCAATTTGCAACGTCCTCCTCAGACTCTAGAAGCACTTCGAGAGGAGTTGGTGGTTGCCTGGAATGAGATACCACAGGAGGACATTGACCACCTGATCAGAAGCATGCCTAGGCGCGTTGGAGAATGCGTAACACATCAGGGTGCATCCACACATTATTAAAGGTCAAAGGGCTTTAAAGCAGAGCAATCATTTTGAAATTTTTATCATTTACTTATTATGCTTCATTAAGTACTTATACAAAATTTTATTAAAATAAAACCATTTAAACTGGGTGTTCGGATTTATATGTCACTTAGTATATATAAATTTTCCACTTTTCATATTTTTCCCTAAATGCGGAGCCCAATCCGGCAACACCGCAGGCAAGCGCCTCTCATATATGACATATGCACATACGTCTACGTCATATGGCAGATAGATGGCGGTGGAAATAATCATGGAAAGAACAGCGAAAAATACAGTGTTTTGGAACAAATTTTTTATGAAATGCGTACTTTAACCACACCTTTTTTGTTTTTAAATAATCTATCAGACTACCCTCTGAAAGTTTTAAGAGAAAAACAGTTCTACAAGATGCAACAGCACCGATTTTTTTTTATTTCATTTTTTTTTATTAAGATGGATGTTTCAAATTTAGATATTCGACGTTAACTGTAAGTTCCCTCTCAGAACCACAACCGTTAGAACCAGTTCAGAACCGGTTCGAAATCAAAACGGAATTCGTTGGAACAGTTGCAGAATCAGTACCGTTTTAAGTTGAAACGGTGATTTCGATGTGCGCATGCTCTATTCAGTTTCCGTACTATTTACAAACCTATAATCTGATCGAATTTGGTTGCAGGCGGAAGAAACGTGTTCTAAATTTCGACCCTTACACGAAGGAAATGAAGGAAAAACTGAGAGAAGCTCAGCAAAAGGTATACGAAGCTATATACAACTTTGCTGCACCAGCTGCTAGGTGATACCAAACCTTGACCTAGAAATAAGCTCTCATATGGTTGTAAACAAATCCTGATCGAAAAAATGGTACCTTTATAATCAATATACAGTATGTTACCACTAGTACTATACAACTTGAGCCTCATAGCGGGTATAAATAGCAACACACGTGGCTGGAACTGGCTTAGGTGAGCTGGGAATAGGATAAATCATGACGATTTTTCTGCGCAAAAGGGTGCTTTTAAGGCAGAGGTAGAATTACATATAGGTATGAGTATACAGATGTTCCTATAGTGTCTAACGTATACGTTAGATGAGTATCACGAGACTCGAATTTTATTTTTTGTTCATTACACGAAATGAAAAAAAAATGCCAAATTTTTGAATAGCTTGCAGACAGTGCATTTCGAGAATTTTATAGTACTTGACTTTTCGAAAGCCAAACGGGGATTTTTGCTAAATTTGGCTTTGTGCCAAATCTTCGAATATTCCTTTGGTCGATAAAGAAATGATTTTTCATTGAATATTTTATAGTTTCGGTATATTTTGAAGCCTATTTTTCTTGAGTATTTTCTACCACTGAAATTAATTTGAAAACATAACATAATGGTAAAAAAAGTGTCAAAAGTAGTACCAATATACCGATAAATTATTGTAAAACTGCGTAAACAAACTGTAGGTGTATACATAAAATACGAATCATCATACACGTATGCATGCATGAAAAAAAAAAAACGCCATTGATACAAGCATTGGTGATATTTGTGTAACACTTTATTTGTATACAACCTGGTGCGTATACAGGGTGATTCAGAGAAACGTGGCGATATTTCTAGGGCAGCAAGTAAATAAAACAACAGTAGAAGTTTCTATGAACACAGGTCAAAATACAGGGTGTTGTAAATTTCGATTCAATGATGAGACTAAATAATGACAAAACAAATAATGCTATGGTCGAAAATAAATATTCTTCTAATACACTACATACACTTTTCAATGTGAAACTTCAAAAACATAGATTTAAGTTTTTTATACGGATTTTTACCTCAAGCATTCAGGACCAATTCTTCACTAAATGGAGTTGTTTAACAAAAATTGCTCAAAAGAAGCGATTCGTGTAAAATTGAATTCCTTATTCAAAAATGCGATAGATGTTGCAAAATATGGCGTAATTTTGTCTTACTTCCTACGCCCCTAGGTGAGGAAGTATTGTTAAATAAAACAAGATGTTATGGTTATGTCACTCATTTCCGTCTGTCAGTCTGTCGGTTTGTCGGTCTTCCTTGGATCGACTGTAACTTGGGAAGTGCACTATGCCAAGGAAAAAAGCTTTATAGTTTTTGAAAATCGATCCAGTGGTGGAGGAGCTAGGAGCAAAAAAGTAAGAAAAAATAGCCCAAACTCCTTTTTCTAATGTTTCATGTGATACTCATCATTTTTAAGTATATAAAAAAAACATTTGTTAGGTGGACTCTTCCGTTCGTCTTCCGGTGTGGTTGGCGCTGACGTCACAGTTCACGTCAAGCACAAGTTCAAACAAAATGCGGCGTTGCCAATGCGCCAACGTTATGAATCGGGATGGTGCGTATACCAGACAAGAGTTCGATATATCGTATTTGACATTACTACATTACAAAATCTTAACACAATCCGAAACATTAAGATTTTTTCGTTTTAGAAATTAAAACTTCAACATGTTTCTCGGTAAGGGATACTTTCACATTTTAGGATTTTTAATCATGTTATTTTTGGACCTACTTTCTATCCCGGAAATGTCGCCACAATTTTCTAGATCACCGTGAATAAATTCCGGGTATTGTTAGGTTATAAATGCTTTAACTATTATTATACGAGATCGGTAAATTATGTGATGAGACTGATTACTTTTTATTTTTTTATTCAAATATAATTAAAATTGTATATTGTCACCCTCAAAATAACTTCCTTCTGAAGCATTTCAGCGCTGGAGACGGTTCTTCCACTCCTAATAGGAGTGCTGAAACTCCAATATTGAAATAGCCGTCAAATCGCCACTTTGGCGAAAAATCGCTACGCTTGGCAACACTGGCCGGATCACATGTTCCTTGCGCCTCCAGTGTTGCCAGATCGAACGCTACGTTGCCAGTCACGTCACTTAATTTACAGACCTCGTATATAGCAGTTTCTTTTACATAGAAACTGAGCTTTGTGATATTTTTTTGTAGTCATTATTTATTTAAGTAAAATAATGCCAAAGAAGCTGTGCGAAACAGATCCATCAAATAGTATAATTTTTCATAATGTTGTGTTGTTATCTTTGCTCAATGTTATTTTAAAGTTGTTATTTATTCGATATTTATATTTGTACTTACGTAAGGAATACGAATCAGAAGGGCAATCATAATATCGCTAGGAACTGAGATTTGTTGTAAATATATGTAACATGTAACGAAGTGTTGTTGACAATTCATAATAAATGTTATGTATACAAAAAAGAGTACTGGTTATTTTAACAGTTACAGATTTAATCTGTAACTAATTAAAATAATGCTTTCTCTTACTGTACATACGCTTTTTGAATAAACTTGAATGAAGGAATTCACAGAAATTATTTGTTTTATTCATATATCTTTTTTAAGATGTTTCGTATAACGTTTTGTAATAATACCGAGTAATCTTGGGTAACATCCACGAGTTTTTCGTAAATCGCCTTCCGTTCTTTTTTTTTAAGGTGGGAGACACTATTTTGTAACAAAACATATTCCTACCACGACTTTTTAGAAAAAAATCAGCAAAAATTTACCATATTTTGAAAAAGCACTACATTCACCATTTTTCGCAAAACAGATCGTAACTATTATTGTTCGAAAAAGTAGACTTCATCATTTTTTTAAAACAATGTATACCCACGATGTTTTAACTAGTCTGAATCGACTATTTTTTGGAAAATCTGCGTGCATTCACCGATTTTTGAAACAATATATGTCATTTTTCAAGATTATCTGACATGCACCATTTTTTGAAAAAGTAGACTTCACTTTTTTACCACCCTACTTCCACCATTTTTGGAAAAATAAGGCTGCATTCGCCGTTTTCTGAAAAGCGCTTCTGTAAAGCCTGTCTACATCCACCATTTCCTTTGTGTGCATCCAGTTTTTTAAAATAAACGTCACCATTTTTTTAAAAGTATGTTGCCTAGACCAATGTTTGAAAAAGTAGACTTCACCTTATTTGGTTTTTAACAACCTACATACACAGTTTTTTTGGGATAATCTGAGTCACCTTCTTTTTTTCGAAAAATCTGCGTGCATTCACCGGTTTTTTGAAACAATATACTTATTTTTTTAAGATCAGCTGACATACATCATTTTTTGACAGAGTAGGACTCGATTTTTTTACCAATCTACGTCCACAATTTTTTGAAAAGGCAGACTGTACCAATTTTTTAAGAATAAGGCTGAATCTGTCGTTTTCTGAAAAGAGCCCTTGTAAAGTCAGTATGCATTCCACCATCAAAATACTTGCTGAGCACATTACTGAATGAATCCAAATAAGTTTGCATCCACTATTTTTTTAAAATAAACTTCACCATTTTTTTTAAAAAGTCTAAGCATATATGAGTTTGTTTGTGGCTCAATTCTTCGTTTGAGTTCTGTTCTGCGGACTTTTTTTCATTTTTTAGTTACAGAATCAATGTATAGCTCTGCTTTTTTTGCAAAGCTATACCCTAAAGCAGAGTTTCCAAACTTTTTTGTGCCGTAGACCCCTTGCTATGTTTTTCCGTGTTGGGTAGACCCCCTACTTACCTGATATTGATTTCCTGTAAATTTCTAACTGTAGTGAAGTTTAGTGTTAAAAACTTAAAGTAAAAACACATGTTAATTTATACATTTATTAACTGAATTTAAATTAAAACTACTCAAAATAAAATTTTGTATCTGTTATGTACAATAAACGTAACATTAAATATACAGGTGTCTGACCAATAAGTACCCGCATTTTGAATAAGTGCCCGCATTGAAAAAAAATAAGAGGGATAAAATAAAAAAAGAGTGAAAAATGATAAAAAAAAAGTTTTTTACTTAAAATAGTACAATAAGCGAGTTCGTTTATTAATTATAACATAAACGTATGTTCTACAATAATTTCACTGTTAGTTTGATTAAATTCCGCTTCTTATACGTTTAAGTTATCTAAAAATAGGCAAAAAATTAACGAAAATCCTTGAATTTTCAGAATAATTTAAAAAAAAATATTTTCTATAAAGGGGGGTTCTTTAAAAAAATCAATGCAGGCACTTATTCCCAATGCGGACATTTATTGGTCAGACACCAATAAACATAAAATAAACTATAAATAAAATAACATAAGCAATAAGTCAATATTTTTAGTGAGAAGGATGAACCTGATGCTTTAATAATAAATTATCAACATTTGGCGTCAATTTTGTAAGGGTTAATCTTAAATCTCCTCGGCTAATGATGTCCAGTCTGTTTCTTTTTTTCGTTAGGAGATTGGTAACAGCGCTGAACCCCCTTTCCACTAGGTATGACGATGGAAAGGAAATTAAAAATTTCCTCGCTATATTCCATAATACGGGATAAGTAACGGGTATGTTGTTTTGTAGCCAGAATTGCTGATATCCGTTTTCAAACTGAACCTTAAGTTCTTCGTTTGTACTTAGTTCAGCCAGTTCTTCTTGTATTATGACATTCGTTTCTTCTATGTCACCATATGGATTAATTATCCACGGTGGTATTACCATAGTCAAAATATCCTCAAACCTAGATTCAAAATCTGAATAGAGGGCATTTAAACGTTGAACTTAAGTTGAAACGTCGTCTTCCTGACAGCTTGTCTGTGACGAATTGGGGAACTGAGAAAATTCGCCCCGTCCAATATTTTGCTTCATTAGTTTAACTCTGGCAAGAAACGCTGATAAGATGGACTTTGTTTTAATCAAATTTAAACTGTCGCCTTGTAATTGCAAATTAACCATATTAAATTTTGTAAACAAATCTGTTAAATAGGCGATGTCTGTTTTCCTCTTCATTAAATTTTCTTTTAAAATTTTATCTTTAGTATCCAGAAATTCTAAAATAGTCTCAAAAAGTGCAAAAAATCTTGTCAATCATAAGCCTTTCGACAGCCAGCGTACTTCAGTGTGAAGGAGTAATTGATGAGTGTTTGTCATTTTCTTCACACAACTGCGCAAATAACCGCGTATTCAACGCGTTGCTTCGGATTCGGTTTACTGCATCAATGAGCAAATGAAGTTATTCATGCAATCTAACACTCAAATTTTTAGCAACTAAATGTTGTTGATGAATGACGCAATGTATTGCTAACACCCCTGACACATTTTGTTTTAAATAGCTTATAAATCCACGATAACGTCCAACCATGGCAGGTGCTTCATCTGTAGCTACTGGTATTATATTTGATAAAGGAATTGCTTTTACAATGAAGTAATCCTTCAAAACATGAAATATTGATTCACCTTTAGTGTCGGTTATCAAAGTTCTTGCGAAGAGCAGTTCTTCGTAGATTTCTTGATTCATAATAAAAACGAACATATGCCAATAATAACGCTGCATTATCAGGTAAAGTTGACTCGTCCAGTTGTATAGAGAAATGGGTCGTTTGCAAATAATTACATAAGAAGCTTTCAATATCAGAACTCATTCCATCAATACGTCTTTCAACAGTATTGTTGCTTAACGGAATTCTTTTAATGATATCAGATGCAGGTTTGTGTAAAACAGTTTTTAAAACCTCTTCAACGGATGGCAAAATTAACTTTTCTCCGATAGTATGCGGTTTTCCGGATTTTGCTATAAGTAACGAGATATTGTAAGACGCCCGCAAACCATCACCATTTCTTTGTGACGTCGAAGCGAACATTCTGTCCAGTGTAGGTCTCTTCTGAAATTTATCTTTGAGTGTTTGAAAGTATTTCGAATCTTTCTCTGTTTTATCAGGATGGCATCTTCTCAGATGATCTTGCTGTTTAGATGGTTTCATAGCGTCATTGCCCAAAACTTTGTTGCATAAAAGGCACATAGGCGATTGTTTGTCCGGCAATGATGGAATGAAGCCAAATTTCAAATAATCAACACTGTACTGCCTACATTTCTTTTTAGATTCCGACATGGCATCAGTCATCTGTGGGCAAAATTAAATTATTTAAATAAGACAGAAAATCCAGCAGCTGTATATTAAAAATATATTCGATTTTTCCGAAAACATTACATAATTCAAACATCTTCTTGCAACAATTAGCTCGAATTACGGAGATTGCACTGTAATTATATTACCGATTGCTAAAACTTTCAAAAAGAAACTATTGAGGAGTACTCGTATAAGTTTGCATGATTGTACTTACTTTTCTCCAGCACTCTCAAACAAAATAACACTGACTCACTATAATTTGTGTGATATACTATCTGTTTATATTTTTTAAAATATTTTCTTAGCACTTTCCTTTTCAAGATTCAGGAAACGAATAAACGTATTTGTCCCACATTCGTATTTATAGAGTGACGAATTGAACAAGTCAGTGCAAGGTAGCGAAGCTCTGAGACTGCGACTCTCGGGTTTTTACAAGTTCAAAATGTATTGCGACCACAAAGCGAATACCAACATCCTACAACTTACACAATTTTATAAACATATATAATAATTTTTTTACTTCATAGGTACTTTTATAAATAATTTATATGTTTTGATATTATAAGATAGTATGATGTAAGTAAATAGGTACTATCAGTGTATATGTTGAGATCCACTATCGTGGACCCCCATATTCATTTCATGAACCTCCAAATTTATTTTTTTTGCTGACGTAGACCCCTTGCAGGTTGTCATAGACCCCTAGCGGTCGATATAGACCACTTTGGGAATCAATGCCCTAAAGAAACGACGTTTGTGACCTTTGACCTTGATATTTTAAGACGCGCTCAGGAGATTTTCTGAGACTTCCACTGATAGAATAAATCTCATAAAATGACTGGATTAAAAAAAAAATACAATCTCAACTTAAAAACACTTTATTACACGACGATTATCCTCAAGCTAAGTAACATAACAAAAATAAACATTTTTACAACTTTCCAGCTCATAACAGTCGAAAGGATTATAATGCCTATATCGGTGACAGCCATATAGTATATTATATAAAGACATTTACAAAAGAATCTTTAAAGTATTGTCTCATAAAAATTATGCATTATTGTATAAATACATAGAATATGATTCTTATAGCTACGTTGTCAGCTATCCTTACAAAAACTTCATACTACATAGTCTTTCTGAAAATACTGCGTCATACGATTTGTTTAGTCTACCACATAAAATCGCGAACGAAAAAGTTGCGTATTTGAAACTGCGAGCAAAAGTATCAGATAAAGTGCGAATTGAATTTTTAAATAAATTACATGATTTGTATATTTCATATTTTTCCATGACTATTGGAGCATCGGAGTTCAAACTTTCACTGGCTGCTCAGAAAATCTATACAACCAAAAGCAACCAATGGAAAACAATTTTTTTATCACTTGTATGGCTATACATGCAGCTCACTACACGTAAAATAAGCTGTATCATATAAATACTGTTCTCAATGAATAAACACCTTGTCGCTTAACTCCAAAACTGTTTTACCGATCTCCGAACCTGTTTTGTAATACACAACACATGTTCAGATAACTGTTAGTATCTTCAGATGAAGATTTCAGTTTAAACCAATGATTTGTCTCCTTATTCTAAGAGTCTGTAGTGAAGATCAAAGTGCACTTGACATATGTCAATTTTATGACAGTTCTGTCAATAATTTCGTAGTTTTAGTAATATTTTTTGAAAGTGTGAGCGCGTGCAGATAATTGTGGCGTTAGACGATTCCAAAACGCGCTAATTAACAAAGAACAGCTTAAACCAAATGAAGGTAGACGTTTTCATCGGTAAGTATTATTATTATTTGATACAACGCTGTCACTTTGGTAGACAAATGAGTAAAAGGTATGCATAGCGAAGCACATGTTGTGTGATAAGAAACTGGCTTGGCGACTGGTGAAGCTGTGTGGTTCTTATAGTTACTACTCCAAAAAATCCAGTATAGCGACGAAGAAGTACAGCGATAGATTACTCAAAAGGTTGTCGTAAGACTGTTAAGGAAGTCTGAGTTTGTGGTCATTTTATTTAATGGTACCACTTTTCTCGATACACGGTGTGAATTAAGCATGTACCATAAATTCAACGGACGATTCTTTCAGTAATTTTAAGACAAAAATTTCATATAAACGTAGGCGCAAATTCTTCGTTCTCAAGATACAGGGTGTTAAAATTATAAAAAAAGTTTTTTCGTAAATTTTTTAAATATCCTTTACCTAATTTTGTTGTAATTTTGTGGAATTTTTATTATGTGCTTTGAACTATAAATACAACTTTTTTGTATTCTGAATTTTTTTCGTATCTTGCTTAGTTTTCGAGAAAAAAAACACTTAATTGCATATCACTGGACCATGTAAAGAATTTAATTTAGTGTTTATTTGCTGTTGTTACATAATTATAAGAAAAATAATAATTTCCACAAGAAACTTTACCCTATATTCCTTGTATGGTCCAAGGATATGCAATTAAGTAGACTTTTTTCTCTCGAAAACATAACAACATAATAAAAATTGCATAAAAGTCAGTGACGTACATTTTTTTACACAAATATTCGTTCAGATCTCGCTCGAGACGCCACTGGACTTGATCAATTTAATCAAGTTAGACCTTAAATTGGCTCCTTAATGTTATAAATACCACCGCCAAATTACAACAAAATTAGGTAGCGGATATTTAAGAGATTTACGAAACAATTTTTTTTTTAAATTTTAACACCCTGTATCTTGAGAACGAAAAATTTGCGCACCTATTTTTATTTGAACTTTTTGTCTTAAAATGACTAAAAAAATCGTCTGTTAAATTTATGGTGCATTCTTTATTAACACCCTGTATATGATATCCATCATAGCAAACATAGCATTTCTTCATGTGGCTTTTTCAAACAGTTAATCTCAGTTGGTCATGACGCGGCGAGAGCAATGATATAATATTTTAGTAGTTCACCCTATTTCGGCCATGCCAACTGAGGTTATGTTATGGTAAAAGCCGTATCTAATACTGGAGCCATATATATGGAAAACTATCAACTTGAAAAGATAAACCGTATTTGCAATACGTAATACTATCAGATTTTAAAAAAGTGGTTTGTATTTGAAAAATCACTTTAATTTTCATATTATTTTTGAAATTTATTTATAATCTAAAACTGTAATAAAATGTATTAAATTTGATTCCCTACCGTTACAAATCATACATCAAAGACAAAAACTCAAGGAAGAATTGTTATTTACATGGTGTTAGGGAAATAATACTCGTAACTTTAAGAGATGATTCCTTGCATTATTCTAAGCAAAAAAGTTCATTATAACCTATATCCGAAAGTCATCCGTTTCGTAGCAAAAAATGCTGAATTTATATCTTTTCATTAATAATTTAAGTTCTTATGCCTAATAGCGTAAAATGTATCGATACATCTATTTATTAATTAACTGTCTCTAGCAAAATAATTTTCTTGCTTATTAAATACAATTTTCCGCAGAAAATCAGACAAACAAAATCGCTCACACAACTGGCAACGTCGTACTCCGCCTGCACTGCATGTATCATCGCGTGTTGTTCTGATTACTAATACATTTAACTGTAACTTTATGTGATTCACGGATGTTGTTTTTTTTCTTTTTTCTTGCATCGCATCGTTTCAAATAAGTCACCGATAATCGTGGGAATTGGTGGTGTGTATCGCCACGTACCGGTAAGTTCTGTCATTTTTTTTTAAGTAAATGTACTGTAGTGAAAGAGTTATTACATAAAAAATATTAGCCACAAAAAATTGCGTAAAAGTATTCGATAATTCAAGGCATATTTTCAACAAAAATATCATACAAACGTGAATAATTCGATGAATGAGTATCGCGGTTGTGTTGCAGCGTTGCCAAATGTTTGAGAAAATTTAATTATCTACGACTCACTTTCCTTGAAAACGATTGATTTTCGGACATAAGTTATAATGAACTTTATAATGCAAGGAATCACCTCTTAAAGTTAAGAACATTATTTTCCTAACACCCTGTATATGATAAAGAATATGCATTACACCGTAAACATATACTTCATTCATGGAAATGTTTGTATTTTTTTCAATCAGATATTTAAGGAAGCGATGCTAATGACTTTGATTTACACCCGAATTTATGGCGCGCTTCGAAGTGACGTCATAACTCATGATTTGTCATTTGATTGTATTTTTGGTTAGTTTTCTGTCGAGTTTTTGATATATAACTTATCTACAAAGTATTTTTAGGTTATGTTTCTTACTACAAATTACGTTAAAAAACTGGCTCGTTAAGCTGACAGGTTGACAAGCAATGACAGTGAAAACAAAAGCCTGCACTTTTAAATCGAACCGACCAATCAATAAAGATTTGGCTGGTCACAGGTCGCAGACGGTGACTTCTGACACAACGTTGCGTTGCGATATTTCAAAGTTACAGAGTATTTACTCCATTTTTTATTAAAATTAATACTCGTTCAAGTATAAAACTAGTTTGAAGGCGACATCACAATATAGACTGCAAATAAAAATAATTAAACAATATTTGAATGACATGCGTATTCCGTATTCATTCGTCTGCATTTCTCGTTTTTACTTCCCACGCGTGCTGACATAAGATGGAACGGTAAACCATGTTACTCATTTCCGTCAATCTGTCGGTCTGTCCGATAATCTTTGCATCGCCTCTAGCATGGAAAATACTACTCCGAATTGGATGACATTTTCACACAAGGTTGCTACTGTGCCAAGGACAAGAAACCTTTGTATTTTTACAAAATCGGTCCAGTGGCGGCGAAGCTGGGGACAAAAACATGAAAAAAATAAAAACTCGTTTTTTGACGTTTCAGATGATGATTTTCAGGAAAAAAAACTTGTAGAGTTGAAAATCGGGGGTTGGGGAAGGTACACATCAAGGATTTTCCCGTACATTTGTCCTTATAACTTGGAACAATATTTAAAGACGTGGCACGCGGTCTGTCGGGACGATGAGATGCAACGGCGACTTTCATAAGCCTTACCCTGCCTTGCGTCTGACAGAATCGCCGGCAGACACGTTACAGTATCGTGGCTTATGACGTGTTTTACTAGTGTGGTCCAACAGCGTTGCCAGATGGTCGATATTTAGGGTAGACCATGGACTAGTTGTATATGTGCCTGTTTGGCTGACTTGATCCATTTGATTTTTTTGTTATACATGTTTGCAAATGAATTTAAAATCGACTAGAATCTAAAAATTGAATGAAATACATTAAAAATTAGCAAATTGGTATCTACTTCCGGTAAAACTTGTACTTTGTACCTCTAGACTAGTCAATCGCAGCAATTCGACATCACAATTACGAAAGTACCTCATGGAGCTAGTTCTTAAGCCACTTGCGCGTTCTGAATTTTGGAGTTAAGCGTTCATAAATTTTATTTATATATGTATTTAGCTATACATTCATTTCATATATTACTTAAAGTTTATTCACTTTGGCTCTACTCCAGACAATAACAAGGACACAGAGTTGATTGAAAAACATAAATCAAGAGTAACAATGATCCTCGAAATCTAGCAGTTCTGGAGTATACATTTCATTTTGCTAAGCTTCGGTTATGAAAAATAAGCTCTGTCCGAAAAAGCACTTATCAAAAAGCCATATAAACGGTTTGAAGAGTCAACAGAATGCGAATTTGAAAAAATAACATCACGAAAATACAAGTTCTTAATGGATTTGTCTTTCGTCTACGATGTTTGTGCTTAAAGTTTTTTGTACCAAAATAGATAGTGGTCGCCTTCTTCGATCAGCAAGTCGTCCACACCTGAAATCGAAAATAAGGATCTTTTGAGAAACACAAAACATAAATATTACAATAATGAGGCGACAATTATGAGATCACTACAAAATAAATGCCAGCCCAGACGTTTTAACTGTGGTATATTATGTATGTATCGAAGAAAGAGACTAAACCAAAACAGTGATGATCATCGCCTGATTATTGCGTGATCTGGACACTGATATATTTACCAATGACAAACCAGAGGGTGGAGTGGGAGGCGATACGACCGTGCATGCAATGCCGGCTGTCCCGGTGGCTGGCCGTACAGTACAGAGACGGCATCAGATTTATGCTGGTATTAGGTACTGTGTGCCTATTAGATTTGTCAAACTCAAAATGTCTGATACGGATACAGCTGATGAAGTTGTTGATATAAGCTGCACACCGCGTAAAAAAAGAGCTAAAGGGCTTCATTTTACCGTTAGCGAAAAACAAATAATTATCAACATTTATAAATACGAAATGCGAGGAAGGAGTGACACAAGTGTTCAGGACATTGTTTGCAAACCTGACACCTACATATTTTTCAATACTTGTAAGACGAGGAATTTCAACTAAAATTATATTTTATTGTTATTTTTGTACATGCTTAAACGACAGACAATAGACGTCCGCAAAGTTGGGGTTTTCCTTTACACGACGTGTAGATCTTGAAAACATAAACAATTTTTCTTAGTACCATATACACCAATGTCTTAAGGGAACCGAGATAAAGGGCTCTGCAACATCAAAAATATCTGAATACCGTCCTGTAGCCGCGACATCACCGACTGGTACAAGGTCACTGGCTCAACCCGACGACAGAACTGGGTCGGGGTCAGTGTGTCAGGGCAGTATGCAACCTTCAATCGACGGTTACGATCACGCGTGTAGAGGTAATCGCGTAGACGAGAATCCCTCAACAAGCACTAGAGACGTGGCTAGAGAAGTGCAAGTATCAAAAACTAAAGTGTGGCAAACGCTGCGTGAAGAGGGGCTGTATCTGTTTCACGTCCAACGTGTACAAGCCCTTCAACCTGACGATTTTCCAGCAAGAGTGCGGTTTTGTGTGTGGTTGTTGCATCAACATGACAATAATTCGGACTTTTTAAAGTGCATATTGGTGACAGACGAATCTACGTTCACGCGTAATGGGGTAAATAACTTTCGCAACACTCATGTTTGGTCAGTAGAAAATCCGCACGCTGTCCGTCGGGCACATTTTCAACAAACATTTTCGGTGAATGTTTGGGCTGGCATGGTGAACGGTATGCTCATTGGACCATTTATTCTCCCAAATCGATTGGACGGGATGCAATACCTAGACTTTTTACGCAACATTTTGCCTTCCTTGTTAGAAGATGTGCCATTAAATGTAAGACAATCAATGTGGTTTCTGCGTCTGCTCGGTAGCGCATCAGCTGATTTCATTTTCTGTTGGAGCGGTATGATTTCGGGCAGAGACGTACTTAGCCCTTCTCGTCAACTGGAGAGTAAGTACTTTTTCCTTTATTTTTTTTACTTGGTCGCCCTCGTTTCACTACACATTACCTTTGTTATTTCAAGGGTAGTTGTTTCTGAAAAAGAAAACCCCAACTTTGCGGACACCCTGTATATCGAGATAAGAAATCAAGCGATCATTTTGTTGGGTTTTTAATGCTTTCAATAGGAGCGGTTTTAAAGTGTCCAAACTGAATTATTTTTAGGACAATGTAAGCGATGGATAATTTGCCACATCGTTAATGAAGATGAATTTGTGTCCGATGCTTTATGGGCAATTGAATCCAAAGAACCGGGAGACTACCACGAAGAAATGGATGGAGTTACGTTCGAAAATTGGTTCTCAAATACTCTACCGAAGCTTGAAGATAATTTGGTTATAGTATTAGATAATGCTATAACCAAAGAGAAAATTAGAGAAAATTCCAGCAACGTCAACAAAAAAATCAAAAATTCAAGGATGGCTTAAAGATTGATTATGATGATACAACGGTTAAGGCAGAATTGTTACAAATTGTCAAGACGCATAAAAATAAATATATACCTGAACATAATTGATGAAATGGCCAAAACAAAATAAAACTGTTTTACGTCTGCCTCCTTACCATTGTGAGCTCAATCCGATTGAGCTCATTTGGGCAGACATAAAAGAATATGTTGCAGCAGAAAAGAAAAGTTTTAAATTTTCTGACCTTAAAAATATTTTTCATAATGCTATACAAAGAATAACACCGAATAATTTTGAAAATGTATCAGCATCTAAAATGTGGGAATTAGACGGTATCACTGATACTCACGTTACCCCTTCAAACATAAATCTTGATGACAGTGGAAATTCCACGGCCTCAGATCTAGAATGATTTTTATTTATAAATATATGTATTTCCGGTTTTAGAGGTAAAATGTCTGTGCAATAAATTTTTGTATAATATTTGGTATATATTATTATGTATTCAAATCCTTTTTCTTCCAACTCCACCTATCTATTCACTTTTTAGTCTAATATTAAAGTTAACTGTTTGCACACTGACGTCCCTGTTCAAGTGGTGGTTATGTATACTTGTATGCATATGCAATTATCGTTTTGATGTGTCAAGACATTTTTTAAAAGCCTGCTTTATAAACACATTTCGTGTATAATTTCTTAATATAACACTAAACACTAAAAACAACAATAGACAGTTGTTTTCTTTTTGGTCATGACAGTTAAATTAAAAGAATACACTAATTCCAAGCTTTACGTTTGGACCCTATACATGCCTGCAATAATTTTGCATAATTTTTGATCGTGTCATAGAACCACAAATCATTTATTCTTAGTACGGCCCTGTAACGTGCTCGGCGTTCTGGAGCGCGATCACGTGGAGTATACGTGAATAATTATGTTTAGGTTTGGTCTATTTATTCGATGGATACATAATAGTACACAACGCTTTGATTCGTTTACATTTTTTGCAGATAGTCATAAAACGGCTATAAAAACGAGAACCGGAGACATCAGGACAGAGACGGATCTGAAAATTTTCAAACATTTTCTCGTGAAATTCTGGATGAGATGAGAGATGACTGAATCAAGTTGTTGAAGTAACGTGGATTGTTATACGTTTCAAATCTATGTCCAAAAGCAGTGGCGTACTATTTTTATTTGGAATTAATTCCCTGTATCTCCGCCACTGGTGCACGTTAATTTTAAGTAAAGACTTTTGAATCTGGACAATAGTTAGGTAAATCCACGTACCATATTGTAGCTCATTTCAGTTGACGATTTTAAAGATATAAAAAAATTGTTTTTCATTTTTAAACTTCAATCTTTTTAATGACGCCCTAGAGGAAAAAATGTTACATAGAAGACCCCCCCTTAAAATGCGGTCCTGTGTATGATGTTTCATTTTTGGTCGCGACTTGTGAATCACCCTGTATAATTTTCGATGTCTCTCGTGGCCGAATAGGCTAGAACTCCTAAGGCCAGTAATAAAAAAAAAAAAAAATTTTCGATGTCCGTGGGCCGCTGACCTGACTAAGCAGATCGTTCCCAAGGGCGGAAAAAATCCGTATCGCACATAATTATTATTCAATGCGTCGTCCGTCAACCTCCATTTTTTGCATAGAACTGAATATATATTCCCGAGTACCGCTCTGTCTTCATAGCGCAGTCATATTATGTGAACTTGTTGCTAAGAGGGTATCGAAACAATGCGAGTTTTTAGATTCGCTGTACTCAAACCAATTGTATCGAACTATTAGGCCTTTTTAGGTTATTGCACATTGCTCAAATGTATAATTTATACAGAGGAACCAGATTCCATTATTATTTATACTGTATCATAAAATGACCGTACTATATGGCGGGTTGGTAACACAAGAAAGCAGAAAAATGAAACGAATATCATATTGTTGTCGTCTACTTTAATAACGAGGCAAAATGTCTCTGTGTTCAACCCTGCGGAATTGGATTGATATTTCTTTGCTGGATCTGATGCTGGACGAAAGCTCTCTTATAGTGAAGTCTTTAGTGCAAAATTCGAAGCCTACCTGATCATTAGACTGAACGTTTTCAATTATCTTAAATACTACATCTTCTATAGCTTTCTTCCTCCAACTCACAGCTCACATGTTCTTCACCATTTTTGATTTTAAATTCGTCCCTGAACACCAATCTTACGTATTTTCCTGATTTGAACACTAGATATTGTTAAAATTGACTAGAAATCGAGAAAATGTACAACCAACAAAACCTCTGAAGGACCAGGACTGATACAGAGTCCACCTACTCGACGTTACTCACCTACTGGTGCCACCAACTGATTAGCAGGAGGTGACATAGGATCTGGAATTTCTGGAAGCCTGTAAAGCAGCCAATAGTGATAACCCATTGGTTCTTCTTTATATCCAGCTAACGTGTGAACGTAGTGACCATTTGGCCATTCTGATGCCTCGAAAACGAACCTAAAATAAGAATCACACTACAAGTTAATAACAGCTGGATTACAATTAGATTTATAACTATACCTAGTCAAAATCACGACGGATGACGATTACGTCATCATTTTAGTCTGTAGTAAAGACAAATGACAGCGATTTGTAAATATTTTTAATGAAGTTTCAAATATGTTGGACAGAGAAAAACAGAACTTTATTGTCTAAATAAACTGTATTGCTAATTTGCATGTATCCGACAAAGATAGACGATGTTTTCAAAGATGAATAGTTAGGTTATGTTAAAGCAGGTTAGGTTGTTTTGGAATAACACTTTGGTCTTTGGTGTTAATGTCTTAAGATGTATTCTACTCATAACTGTTATTTCAAAACAAAAACTCCCCACTAAAATTATTATTAAGGTATCACTTAAAACCATGAAATAAAATGAAAATAAAAATAATCAATGAAATAACTTGGCAAAATCATAAATTCATGACATCGAGATTTTATCATGGACTTCATTACAATTTATGGTATGACGTAATAGTCATCTTTCGAGATTTTGACTACATTACAGTTACGCAGGGCCGGCTTCAATGTTTTGTGCGCCCTGAGGTAATCGATGAAATAATATTATATAGTATTAGAGAGATTTATTTAGCATGTTTGGCCATATAAACAGAATAATTATAAACAACTTAGAATTAGTGAATGCTATATGATGCACATGCTGGACAAGCTAGAATTGTAAATTTAACAAGTAACTCCTCAATTTTACTTTGAATTATTTCATAGTATTCTGGTCTTTTATCTCTGCATTTAATTTATGATATTCAATCAACCCTTGATGGAATACAGATTTGTAGCATATATTATAGCCTTTTAGATATTTAGTTTCAATTATTCGTATTCATGGAAATGATAATATTTTAACTTTTATCTTTTTTATGATAACATTTTTATTAAGTTTAATATTTTTAATTCCTTTTTGTTTTTTATATAATTTTTGATTAATAGTAAGGGTAATATTCATTTTAACATTTATATTTATAATAAATTATAGTTTTAATTATTTTTATAAGCATTTCTTATATTTTAGGGAGAGATTTATTAAGATATACTTTAATTTTATTAAATTTTTGAATTTGTAGATTAATATTGTTAGCAAGTGACATTTATTTCTGGTATTATGTAAACGATGATCGGTATTGGATGATGTTAATTTAGTTGGACATGGTGGATATATGTTATTTTTTACCTTATAACTGAATAATTACTAGATATTTGATAAAAATTTTCACTTTAATTTGCTAAGCATTTGTCTATTTGGAGTATATTTCTTTATTCAGTATTATTCACATGTACTTGTTATGTACAATTTTCAGGCTTTCAAAAATGAAATTCTTAGCTAAATAAAGAAAAGTCGAACTTTACAAGAAATTTGTTTATGATTTCCTCATAATGAATATCAAAATTTAATTGAGAGTCAACAAAATTATTTAAAATTTTCAATGAATTCAATATCTTCCGCATCAATCTTTAGTTGAGCATTTTTACATTGCTTTTTTCAATTGAAATAGCTTTGGTTTTACTTGTATTTAATTTGTTTAATATTTTTAATTCCTTTTTGTTTTTTTATATAATTTTTGATTAATAGTATGGGTAATATTCATTTTAACATTTATATTTATAATAAATTATAGTTTTAATTATTTTTATAAGCATTTCTTATATTTTAGGGAGAGATTTATTAAGATATACTTTAATTTTATTAAATATTTGAATTTTTAGATTAATATTGTTAGCAAGTGACATTTATTTCTGGTATTATGTAAACGATGATCGGTATTGGATGATGTTAATTTAGTTGGACGTGGTGGATATATATTATTTTTTACCTTATAACTGAATAATTACTAGATATTTGATAAAAAATTTCACTTTAATTTGCTAAGCATTTGTCTATTTGGAGTATATTTCTTTATTCAGTATTATTCACATGTAATTGTTTTGTACAATTTTCAGGCTTTCAAAAATGAAATTCTTAGCTAAATAAAGAAAAGTCGAACTTTACAAGAAATTTGTTTATGATTTCCTCATAATGAATATCAAAATTTAATTGAGAATCAACAAAATTATTTAAAATTTTCTATGAATTCAATATCTTCCGCATCAATCTTTAGTTGAGCATTTTTACATTGCTTTTTTCAATTGAAATAGCTTTGGTTTTACTTGTATTTAATTTGTTTAATATTTTTAATTCCTTTTTGTTTTTTATATAATTTTTGATTAATAGTAAGGGTAATATTCATTTTAGCATTTATATTTATAATAAATTATAGTTTTAATTATTTTTATAAGCATTTCTTATATTTTAAGGAGAGATTTATTAAGATATACTTTAATTTTATTAACTTTTTGAATTTGTAGATTAATATTGTTAGCAAGTGACATTTATTTCTGGTATTATGTAAACGATGATCGGCATTTGATGATGTTAATTTAGTTGGACATGGTGGATATATATTATTTTTTACCTTATAACTGAATAATTACTAGATATTTGTTAAAAATGTTCACTTTAATTTGCTAAGCATTTGTCTATTTGGAGTATATTTCTTTATTCAGTATTATTCACATGTACTTGTTTTGTACAATTTTCAGGCTTTCAAAAATGAAATTCTTAGCTAAATAAAGAAAAGTCGAACTTTACAAGAAATTTGTTTATGATTTCCTCATAATAAATATCAAAATTTAATTGAGAGTCAACAAAATTATTTAAAATTTTCTATGAATTCAATATCTTCCGCATCAATCTTTAGTTGAGCATTTTTACATTGCTTTTTTCAATTGGAATAGCTTTGGTTTTACTTGTATTTAATTTGTTTAATATTTTTAATTCCTTTTTGTTTTTTATATAATTTTTGATTAATAGTAAGGGTAATATTCATTTTAACATTTATATTTATAATAAATTATAGTTTTAATTATGTTTATAAGCATTTCTTATATTCTAGGGAGAGATTTATTAAGATATACTTTAATTTTATTAAATTTTTGAATTTGTAGATTAATATTGATAGCAAGTGACATTTATTTCTGGTATTATGTAAACTATGATCGGTATTGGATGATGTTAATTTAGTTGGACATGGTGGATATATATTATTTTTTACCTTATAACTGAATAATTACTAGATATTTGATAAAAATTTTCACTTTAATTTGCTAAGCATTTGTCTCTTTGGAGTATATTTCTTTATTCAGTATTATTCACATGTACTTGTTTTGTACAATTTTCAGGCTAACAAAAATGAAATTCTTAGCTAAATAAAGAAAAGTCGAACTTTACAAGAAATTTGTTTATGATTTCCTCATAATGAATATCAAAATTTAATTGAGAGTCAACAAAATTATTTAAGATTTTCTATGAATTCAATATCTTCCGCATCAATCTTTAGTTGAGCATTTTTACATTGCTTTTTTCAATTGAAATAGCTTTGGTTTTACTTGTATTTAATTTGTTTAATATTTTTAATTCCTTTTTGTTTTTTATATAATTTTTGATTAATAGTAAGGGTAATATTCATTTTAACATTTATATTTATAATACATTATAGTTTTAATTATTTTTATAAGCATTTCTTATATTCTAGGGAGAGATTTATTAAGATATACTTTAATTTTATTAAATTTTTGAATTTGTAGATTAATATTGTTAGCAAGTGACATTTATTTCTGGTATTATGTAAACGATGATCGGTATTGGATGATGTCAATTTAGTTGGACATGGTGGATATATATATTATTTTTTACCTTATAACTGAATAATTACTATATATTTGATAAAAATTTTAATTTGCTAAGCATTTGTCTATTTGGAGTATATTTCTTTATTCAGTATCATTCACATGTACTTGTTTTGTACAATTTTAGGGTTTTCAAAAATGAAATTCTTAGCTAAATAAAGAAAAGTCGAACTTTACAAGAAATTTATTTATGATTTCCTCATAATGAATATCAAAATTTAATTGAGAGTCAACAAAATTATTTAAAATTTTCTAAGAATTCAATATCTTCCTCATCAATCTTTAGTTGAGCATTTTTACATTGCTTTTTTCAATTGAAATAGCTTTGGTTTTACTTGTATTTAATTTGTTTAATATTTTTAATTCCTTTTTGTTTTTTATATAATTTTTGATTAATAGTAAGGGTAATATTCATTTTAACATTTATATTTATAATAAATTATAGTTTTAATTATTTTTATAAGCATTTCTTATATTCTAGGGAGAGATTTATTAAGATATACTTTAATTTTAATAAAATTTGTGAATTTTTAGATTAATATTGTTAGGAAGTGACATTTATTTCTGGTATTATGTAAACGATGATCGGTATTGGATGATGTGAATTTAGTTGGACATGGTGGATATATATTATTTTTTACCTTATAACTGCATAATTACTAGATATTTGATAAAAATTTTCACTTTAATTTGCTAAGCATTTGTCTATTTGGAGTATATTTCTTTATTCAGTATTATTCACATGTAATTGTTTTGTACAATTTTCAGGCTTTCAAAAATGACATTCTTAGCTAAATAAAGAAAAGTCGAACTTTACAAGAAATTTGTTTATGATTTCCTCATAATGAATATCAAAATTTAATTGAGAGTCAACAAAATTATTTAAAATTTTCTATGAATTCAATATCTTCCACATCAATCTTTAGTTGAGCATTTTTACATTGCTTTTTTCAATTGAAATAGCTTTGGTTTTACTTGTATTTAATTTGTTTAATATTTTTAATTCCTTTTTGTTTTTTATATAATTTTTGATTAATAGTAAGGGTAATATTCATTTTAACATTTATATTTATAATAAATTATAGTTTTAATTATTTTTATAAGCATTTCTTATATTCTAGGGAGAGATTTATTAAGATATACTTTAATTTTATTAAATTTTTTATTTGTAGATTAATATTGATAGCAAGTGACATTTATTTCTGGTATTATGTAAAAGATGATCGGTATTGGATGATGTTAATTTAGTTGGACATGGTGGATATATATTATTTTTTACCTTATAACTGAATAATTACTAGATATTTGATAAAAATTTTCACTTTAATTTGCTAAGCATTTGTCTATTTGGAGTGTATTTCTTTATTCAGTATTATTCACATGTACTTGTTTTGTACAATTTTCAGGATTTCAAAAATGAAATTCTTAGCTAAATAAAGAAACGTCGAACTTTACAAAAAATTTGTTTATGATTTCCCCATAATGAATATCAAAATTTAATTGAGAGTCAACAAAATTATTTAAAATTTTCTATGAATTCAATATCTTCCGCATCAATCTTTAGTTGAACATTTTTACGTTGCTTTTTTCAATTGAAATAACTTTGGTTTTACTTGTATTTAATTTGAGTTTGTTAAATGCTAACCATTTTGAAACAAGTTTCAAGTTTTTATTTATATAAAAGATACCAATCTGAATATTTTGAGTAGGTAAACATACAAAACGAAGTGCCCTCGGCAAAAATTTGAGTTTTTTGTATTTTTCAGTAGGGAATCGTTTATGTATAAAGTAAAAAGAAGTGGTCCCAGGATACTGGACTGTGTAACACCTAACGTATTTTAAATTTTTGATGAAATATTGTTATTAACTTTTGTGACTTTTAGACAAATAATTTTTAAACAAGTCTAAAACACTTCCTGATACACCATATGCCTTCTATTTACTTAACAAAATATCCATATCACTTGTTTCAAATGCCCCCTTCAAATCAAAAAATTCTGATATGACAATTTCTTTTGAGTTTTAAAAATGAAATTGTTAGCTAAATAAAGAAAAGTCTCAAATTTTCAGTAACCAACTGGAAAGCCGTTTCTGTGGAATATTTTCTGCGAAAACCTGCTTGTGTTTCCACTAAAATTTTGTTTCCTTCTACAGGGTGAATTCGAAGTCATTTATTTTAACAGTGAGTAGATCTGATCAAAAGAAATGTTTTTTTTCCTTTAACATTTTTCTGGTAAAATTAAAGTAACAAAGTTATAGCCCTTTAGAAGTTTGAGTACCGCCCTGTCTCAATAATAATATTATGTGCTCGTGTTTGGCAACAACGGATATAATCCGCCTTATCGGTTCATCGCATCGGAAACAAAAAAGCGAAAGAATTTGAAACGTTTATCACGATGTCAGTCAATGTTTCAGTCGGTAACGCGTGAGTGAATAGTGGTGTTTGTTGCGTGGCTCAAACGAAATAAAAAATGGCACATGTTTACGAAAATGCTGAACTTCTGGACATGATTCTTATTTACGGGAGGGGAGTCTTTACAAAATGCTGCCGCGGCATCACAGATTTGTGCGAATCGGTTTCCCGAACGAGTACAATCAACCCCTCGTGCCTTTGTTAATGTAGTACAAAGGGTTCGTGAATCAGGTGACTTAAGACCTCACAGGGGAGGGCATGCCGGTGCTCCAAGACCGCACGATCAAATACAGGTCCGCACTGAAATACTTGTCGGGAGGATACTTTATAAAACAAGGTAAAAATTTTTTTTAATTTTTTTTTTATTTTTACACACATATTTTGGTTTATCTTCCTTCTACAATCATTATCTGAAAATTAATGACTCAACTTCAAAGTCACCCTGTATAAACTGCACGTACTATGGACTCCAATGATTTTTCGATGTTGGTTTCATTTTTCAGAATTGTTCATTTTGGGAGCTGGCGTTATTGCCTTTCAAAATTTCAAAGAACTCTCAGTGAACAATTGATCCAATTTAATACAAGATATCCCGAAATCTTTCAGAACGCGCTTAGTAGTTATTTCAGTATTGTTGTTTTTGGTTTATTAACAATTGTTTTTTTCTGATAATTCAATGATACACTATGAAATTTTGTGAGTGTATGCAATATTTCTTCCTGGGCACCGATTCTCATATGGCCAGCATTGACGCGGTTTATTTGCTTGAAAACTTTTTGCTGTGAGCGCATATTATAATCTTAACGTCGACAGCCGGAGTCGACAAAGTGAAGGACTGCGCTATCTGTGTTAAAAAATTAGCTATCGTTAAGTAGAAGTAAATTTCCGTCATACCTAGGATCCATTTCCATAGCCATCTGCATAATATTGTAAAATGAGGTATTTCTAGGCGCAGTGATGCTGATAGTCGAATTCTCGGTGATGTTGGAACCCACCCAAAGAGTGTAAGTCACTGTTACGTTACGAATCTCAGAATCGTTACCGTGACTCGACAGCGACTTCGTAAGGCCATCAATTTCAACTGAAAAGATAGGGGAATTAGTTGTGCAATATGTTACAGCTTTAGTTAACGTATTATCCAAGAAGGTGTCCAATCCTTTGTTGTATTTTCGAATCATCACAGCCATGCTGCTAAGTGCAGAATTGCAGTGATTACCTTAGAAGTAATAAACACATGCGCCAGCATTTTTTTAATTACTGAATATGACATCAATCTTCCCTCAACATCCGTCGTATTTATTCGTATAAGAGTTCGTATTATCAGTACATATTTCTCTCTTTGCAGCCAAAAGAACAATACAGGGACTACTGTCTATGCATAATCTTAAAATAACAGCTGATCTATCTAGTAATATTTCAAACTTCCCCATATCGACAAGTGACACATAATTCTGACGGTTCCGTCAACGCCAGGTAGACAGAACCGTATTTTGTCATTTTTTCTTTTGTACGCTGCGGGTTCATTTTGTACTCGCTAACATCTTTTTTTTTAGAAAAGTTCCTTCGCATACGGTATAAGCAAAATGGCTGCTAATGATCATGACTGCATTCCAATTCAGGTAGGTATAAAAAAATTGACTTTGTTAGCCCCATCTGCTTTTTAAAACTTGAAACATCATATGATTTTAAACGGCGTTGAAACAGCCATATTCAAATTACGTTACACGTACAATTTACCAGAAACTCGTGTCTATATTATTTTTAAATGTAAAATTACACCTACTCGCAAGAACAACAGAGCCTGTTCTATTAACTTACCTCGCAATCAATAAATCCCGAATATACTATAATAATTTTCTAAGCAGAAATGTCCACGCATTTTATTGTCAAAATTCCCAGTCACTAAAAGTATCTAGATATGTGAACAACAGCTCTGAATACGGTCCTGAGTCTTATCAGATTTACACCCGATTCGTTATTGCCAACGTTACACAAACACGTCACTTGCTGATCAGCTGTTCACCTGAGTAGACGTCAAAACGCAAATAGATACTCGTGAAATAGGGTTCAGAAATGTTGAAATTTGATAGAGAATTGACAGTCCTCACCGTGGTTATCTAGATCATTATCCCGTTTGCCACAATCCAAGTTCCTGATATGACCCAGACCCCTTTCAGACAATGCCAGAACGACTTCTGCTGTAAGATTTGGGTCTGTAAAAGCACCATCCGGGTCCTGCCTTGATTCTATGTACATTCTAGCAGCCGTTCGGTTCCAATGATTATTAATGTCCGACAAATCCTGTAAGGCCTGAAAAAAGCAACATATCAGAAAATTAAATACCAATATTGCAATAATAGCTCGTATTCACTACACAAACTAATTTATTATTCATTATATATTACTAATTTATAACAAATTTATTCTGCGGTTGGCTAGTTGCTTCTCTTTGATCGTCTGCCTTTTTTGCCTATGTTTCCTCTTCTCGATCTGTTCCGGAAGATTTGAGCGTGCAAGGGTTTGTTCTCGAGGTTCTAGACCCTCTAGTTCCAGTGGTCTCCGATAGATGGCGTTGCTAATTGTGCTCGCGACATCGCGACGCTTCTTACAACTGCCAACAGATGGCGATATGGTATAATTCCTTTTTACGAGCTTGCAACCCATAAAGCATGTTAGAGAAATGTAATTGCAGTGCTTCAGGTAAAATGACAGCAAAACGATAGTTCTGCTTTTCCTCCGTAGGCGACGTTCACGGCATGCGGGATTTACTAGCGTCTAAAAACATGTGAGCATGAAGAAAGTTCAAACTTACTTGTAGTGTTAGTGCAGTATTGTAGATGTTGCCGAAGCCACCATCAGATTGTTGTTGTTTAGCGAGGCTGATGCTGGGTCGCCGCAAAGAATGTTGCAGGTTTCTGTGTCTGTGGTCCTTGACTATGCATCTTAGGGCCAAGATTGTCATCGCTACTGTATCTACAAAGAAAAAAGAATTTCATTTAAAGCAATAGCAATCCTGAAAACTATAGTCGGGTACTGAAATGGAAGAGAGTATCATAATTCATCGCACGCCACTGTTAACGGCGTGTGACTTCGTGTACGTATGCGGGAGTCTCATCATACACACCGCCAAAAGTGCCGTACGATCCATTTTGGTACATAAAATAGCAAAAGTAGACAACTCCCAGTGGATATAAACACATTCATGGACTATCAACGTAAAAACATAAAGGCGTCCTACAATAATTATAGACACGACTGACAATACATCCTTACCTATATTGTGATCCTTGGCGGTATTGGCGATATCCAATAGTCTGCGTATCTGCTTCTTGCGCACATGCGCTCTGGCACTGCAGGCTGCCAACTGCGCATGCGCAAAATCAAGGTCGTGAGATGGCTCGCGATGCTGCAGTGCCCCCACAAGGTCGTGGCCATGGAACTGACGAGGATCCTGACAGCCTGACAGTAACGCCAGGCAGTACGCGGCTAGCTGCACAGGTTGGATAGGGATTTCGTGGTGTCTAGAAAAAAATGGCGTCAGGTAGATTAGAGCCGCAGGGTTAATACGTAGAAAACCTGTTTAATGTAAAAAACCGATAAAATATCAGCTTGCTGACTAAGTAGGCTAGCGTGCAAATAGTTCATTCCGCAACGACAGCTAGTTTCAAGTTGACGTCCTGCAGAAAATGTCACAAAAAACCTACATAATGTCAAAAAAGTACACATAATGTCACTTTCCAAGCTTCGTAATACCCTGGCTGATAGACCCTGAAAGTTGCTACTTAAGCTGCGTTTCAATAGTTTTAGTGTCGTTGACTGCTATAAACTTTGGAGTTCCTCAAGGTTCCATATTGGGTGCATCACTTTTCTCTCTGTAAATATCAGATTTCTATCAATATGTCCAACACTATGCCGATCCTACTCATATTTATTTTAGTTTTCTTACACAAATATTTGACGATGAACGATATTTTTTGGATATGAACTATTCTTGTAATTGCTTTTACTTTTTGTGTTGTTAATTAATTAGTTATTATTGAGTAATATGCATACATTTATGTTAGTTCAGTATTGTATTATACGCAAAGTTGGGGTTTTCCTTTTCAGAAACAACCCTTGAAATAACAAAGGTAATGTGTAGTGAAACGAGGGCGACCAAGTAAAAAAAAAATAAAGGAAAAAGTACTCACTCTCCAGTTGACGAGAAGGGCTAAGTACGTCTCTACCCGAAATCGTACCGCTCCAACAGAAAATAAAATCAGCTGATGCGCTACCGAGCAGACGCCGGCGGTGGTGCAGACCACGAACAGAGGTAACAAATATGACGACGTTGCCGCGTTTTCAGTATTTAGGTAAACGTACTTTATAGGTATTGTTCGAAGTTATCGCCGTTTGATTCAAAAACACAGGTGCGTGCACGACGTAGCCAAGCATCGGTGCAGGCTTTGAGAATGGAGTCCCTCCCCCGAATGAAAGCACCAGCTTGTTCAATTCTGAGACGAAGTTCGTCAACCGTATGCACTTCAGTTTTGTACACTAAGCGTTTCATTTCTCCCCAAAGGAAAAATCACATGGTGTTAAGTCTGGAGATCGCGGAGGCCACGCTACGGGTCCATTACGTCCGATCCACCTATTCGGAAATAATTCATTCAAAAACTCACGCACTTCGCGTCTAAAATGGGGCAGTGCACCATCGTGCAGAAACCACATTGATTGTCTTACACTTAATGGCACATCTTCTAACAAGGAAGGCAAAATGTTGCATAAAAAGTCTAGGCATTGCATCCCGTCCAATCGATTTGGGAGAATAAATGGTCCAATGAGCATACCGATCACCATGCCAGCCCAAACATTCACCGAAAATGTTTGTTGAAAATGTGCCCGACGGACAGCGTGCGGATTTTCTACTGACCAAATATGAGTGTTGCGAAAGTTATTCACCCCATTACGCGTGAACGTAGATTCGTCTATCACCAATATGCACTTCAAAAAGTCCGGATTATTGTCATGTTGATGCAACAACCACTCACAAAACCGCACTCTTGCTGGAAAATCGTCAGGTTAAAGGGCTTGTACACGTTGGACGTGAAACGGATACAGCCCCTCTTCACGCAGCGTTTGCCACACTTTAGTTTTTAATACTTGCACTTCTCTAGCCACGTTTCTAGTGCTTGTTGTTTTTTGAATCGATTATACGGATTCGTTTACCTCTACACGCGTGACCGTAACCGTCGGTTGAAGGTTGCATACTGACCTGACACACTGACCCCAACCCAGTTCTGTCGTCGGGTTGAGCCAGTGACCTTGTACCAGTCGGTGATGTCGCGGGTCGCAGCTACAGGACGGTATTCAGATATTCTTGATGTTGCAGAGCCCTTTATCTCGGTTCCCTTAAGACATTGGTGTATATGGTACTAAGAAAAATTGCTTATGTTTTCAAGATCTACACGTCGTGTAAAGGAAAACCCCAACTTTGCGGACACCCTGTATATATATTTTTTTCAAAAGTTAATTTTAAAAAATGTGACACTTCTGTACTTCTATACGAAATAAAACCGTTATTATTATCAACTTTGTACTTCCTACGCAATTATGTCATCAGTTAGATTATTTCCAAACCTAACGCTACATGAACTATAATAAAAAATAATCATAGTCATTGCATATGAGATAGGTATACAGTTGACTTACTTGACACACATCTCCAATAGTCTGAGTATAATCTCTATGATTTTTCTTATTTTTGCAATAGTATTTCCGGGAGCAGAAGCTCCTACCAAAGATGCAATACTTACAACTCACCACCCCCGCTCCCCCAATTTCCAAAATCCCCAAAAAAATGTCTGAATATGTGCAGAAGTCTCTGATACGTCTAATAAGGAGATTTTAGCTGTTTCATATTTTTTCGTCATTTCAAAAAAAAAAAAATAATCAATTGGAGCAACTAGTAACAGTTCCAAATTCTCAACGAAACCTACCTCCACAGCAACACAACAATCTCCACCTCCATCTGCTTAAAACTGAGCTGCAACTCAAGCGGATCCCTCATCAACGCTCCTTCTGCATCGTCGCCGCGCACGCCCATGGCCAACTGTAACGCTGTCACAGCCTTCGCGGTGTCGTTGCGCCATCCCCAATCGGCTTCACGCTGAGTGACCAACCAGCGCAGCGCACGCCGGTAGGCGGGCTCGGCGGATACTGTGGTGGGGGCAGAAGGGGCGTGGCTGGTCGTCGGGTACGCGGGGACTCCGTTCGAGCCAGCGGCGGCGGTCAGGGTGCCGCTCCAGGACGAGGATGATTGGTCTGAGTCTGTGGTTGCTAGAAAATGGAGAATCTTTTATTTTTTGTTAGTATTTGATTATATTACTTATCTAGTCTAGGAAGATAATGATAATGGGATTCTCAAATGAGAAACGTAGAATCTTCTGTAATAATCAGTACATTAAATGTTGCTTTCGACGGTCTGACAGTTGAAAACTAGGAACTTCTGTTTTCCTGGAATACTTAAGGTTTGGCAACGTCAATGTATGACATATTATACATTTGTAAAATCGGAGTTTAAAAATATTCATCTGTGCTGAAATCCAATATAGGACAAGAAACGAAATGTCATATTGAAATTCTAATTATGCCATATTGTAGAGGACAAAAAGTGGCGATATTAATGTGCAATTTATTGTGACATTCCACCACAAAAAAAGGTCAGGAAAAAATTAGAAATATTTTTGGGAAAAAAATGTCCGTCTCTCTTCGGAAGTACTTTGAACTTCGAAACGTTCTAAGTGATAATTTGTTAGTTACCTAAATAGACAACTTTGCCTCCATTTAAGCGGCTGCTTGTCCCTTACCGTTTCCGAGATCAAAATGATGAGGTTCGAATTTTGCTGTATGGTCGTTATATTTTGTTTTTCTAAAAATATACAAAATTAGTTTTTTAGAAGTTTAATTTTAATTTGTTTTTTTATATTTTTAGAAATTCTGTATACCTATAGTCCATACACAATAACAAAATTTTCTTAATAGAAAAATAATATCTGATATTTGTTATACAGGGTGTTTCAGTTTATTGTTGCATAACTTTAAGATTCGATAGAACTTTTAAAATTAATGCATAAAGTCTATATAAACATGGGTCGAAAATTGCGTGGCTTCCGAAATACAGGGTGTTTAAATTTACTTTCTAAAATAGTTTAAATAGACAACTTTGCCTCCATTTAAGCGGCTCCTTGTCCCTTACCGTTTCCGAGATCAAGATGATGAGGTTCGAATTTTGCTGTATGGTCGTTATATTTTGTTTTTCTAAAAATATACAAAATTAGTTTTTTTAGAAGTTTAATTTTAATTTGTTTTTTTATATTTATAGAAATTCTGTATACCTATAGTCCATACACAATAACAAAATTTTCTTAATAGAAAAATAATATCTGATATTTGTTATACAGGGTGTTTCAGTTTATTGTTGCATAACTTTAAGATTCGATAGAACTTTTAAAATTAATGCATAAAGTCTATATAAACATGGGTCGAAAAATGCGTGACTTCCGAATTAAATTTACTTTCTAAAATAGTTTTTTTTAAATATATCGAACAATATTTGATGTATAACAGTGAAAATTGGTCTACAAGGGTTTTTTGGTACTGTAGCCGCTAGAGGGCGCTCTACTGTACCTGTAGTGTATTAAAATGACCGAAAAATTTTTCCTAGTTCAATTTTTTGCTTTTTGAATAAGAAAATTGATTCTTCGCACTTTTCAACATAAAAAAGCTCTCCTGTGAGTTTTCGTTATAGTTAGCCGTTTTTGAGATATTTCGATTTTTAAGGTTCGATGCATTTTTAATTATTTATGGGAAAATAATATTTTTTTTACATTTTCGATTTGGGCATTACAAGTAATTAAGATGATCGTTTAGATTGTGTTTTTAAACACAGCAATAATTCCTAACTCCAAATAAACATGAAAAAACAGAATATTAATTTGTTTAATTTTCCAAAATTATTTTTAACAAATTAAATTAATTATTTACAACTAAAATGCTATTGGATAGTTAGGACAAACATACAAAATCTAAAGTAGTTGCTCGAAATGTAAACCCAATTGTTCAATACACAATTCACATCTACGAATGATCAAACATGGTATAGCATTATTCAAATAAGGCCTTATTTCATCACATGCATTCCTGATTCTGTCTATTAGCATATCTCTTGTGGTTACGGGAGTCTGGTACACTTTTTCTTTTAGAAATCCCCACACAAATAAATCTAATGGATTTAGGTCAGGGGATCGTGGAGGCCAGGCGACTGGTCCTCCACGGCCGATCTATCTTTCTGAATAATTTTCGTCCAGCCAGTTTCTAACTATTCTCGAATAATGAGCTGGACAACCATCAAACTGGAACCAGGCCAATCTTCTTAAATCTAACATAACATCATCCCACATATTTGCATGTTCAGCCTTTAAAAATTCCAAGAAGGTCGCAGCAAATAACCTTGCAGGCAAAAGGTAGGGTCCAAATAGTCGATTACGGTAGATACCAATTCACACGTAGCATACTAAATTCATGCTGAAAATTTCTTTCCCGAACTGCATGCGGAGTTTCATGCGACCAAATATGTTGATTATGAAAATTTACCACTCCACGTCTAGTGAAGCATGACTCATCGGCCCATAAAACGTTACTTAAAAACTCCCTATTATTATCAGTTCTATTAAGAATCCACTGCCAAATTGGATTCTTCGTTCTCCGTCCCCTGGCTGTAGTCCTTGCACAGGTTGCAAATGGTAAGGACGTCTATGGTCATTTCTAAGAACACGGTGAACATGGCTTGCTGAAATTCCCAAGGCACCAGAAACTCTCCTAACACTTGTGGTCGGATCTCTATGAAACTCACGCAGAATCATACGGGTAAATCTGCGCTGACGAACATTTATGTTTTGATCCCTTTGGAGATTTCCAAAACCATTTTCAATTATTTGGCGATGCACTCGTACAAATACTAAGCGAGTTGGATGTCGTCTGTTTGGAAATCTTCGTGCGTATTCTCTGGCTGCTTCTGCTGTGTTTCCATTTACAAAGCCATACACAAAATGAATATTCGCTAACTCTTGATTGGAGAATAAAAATGGCATTTTTATAAAACTTACAAAAAAAACAGGTAAAAGAAACTAAATTTCGTGCATTCACAATTGCAAATAAAACGTTTCAGCTTTCAACAGACAACAAAACTAACTGTCAACTAATTGACGTTTAACCTTATTCTGCTTTCAATTTCAAAAATATTTGAAGGCACAGCCTACTACTAAAAATTATCGAGATACTGACTGTTTAACGTTATTTTATCATAAATAATTAAAAATGCATCGAATCTTAAAAATCGAAATATCTCAAAAACAGCTAACTATAACGAGAATTCACAAGAGAGCGTTTTTATGTTGAAAAGTGCGAAGAATCAGTTTTTTTATTCAAAAAGCAAAAAATTGCACTAAGAAAGAATTTTCGGTCATTTTAATACACTACAGGTGCAGTAGAGAGCGCCCTATAGCGGCTACAGTAAAACTATGCCCATGGTTCGTTTTGTCGTACCAAAAAACCCTTGAGTACCAATTTTCACTGTTATACATCAAATATTGTTCGAAATATTTAAAAAAAAAACTATTTTAGAAAGTAAATTTAAACACCCTGTATTTCGGAAGCCACGCATTTTTCGACCCATGTTTATATATACTTTATGCATTAATTTTAAAAGTGCTATCGAATCTTAAAGTTATGCAACAATAAACTGAAACACCCTGTATATACAAACTCGTTAATAACCTTTGTGACTGTAATAATTTGCTTTTCCTAGTTCAGTGTAATGTTCCAGATAGGAATTATCGGCAGTATAACAGGTTTAAGTTATCATACTGTCGTACTAACTTAGGTATAAATTCTCCATTAATTAGGACACAAAGATTCTACAATCAATTTTATGAAGAGGACTTGTAAAGTAAAATCCAATTTTTTAAATCAATAATCATATTAGTCGTGTTTCGTATAGATCTTAATATCCCACATACTTTTGTACACGTTACTCATATTTTATTGCAACATAGTGGCTGTGTGTTGGTTTTGGCTGTGATCATCCCGAATTGTAATAAATAAATAGGTAAACAAAATTTTCCCATTTTGTACTATTTGTTCAAGAACTTAGTGGATGTGTGTTGGCTTTTACTGTAAACACCCACAATTGTAATAAATAAATAAATAAAAAACCTGTGTATCCACATTGTGTGTCTACCAAATTTCAACACCATCTACCGATTTTGTGTTTTTCGGTTCGACAACACTGCTGTGCCCCTCCGTCAGGCAAACTTTGACATGCTGAATATAAAGCAAAAAATGTGCGGAGATTTTTTCATTTACACCAATTGTATTTTCTATTTTTCATGTTCCTCAAATTTTGTATCCATGTTATATGTTACCTGAAATAACATCGTTCGTGGAAGAGCTATTTAAAATTCTGTAAATGTTTCCTGAAAATCCCCCAGATTTCGAGAGGTCGCCAGAATGTCTTACAATTTTAATACCTCATTTATTTCCTCGGCGGCCATTAAGTCTCGTGAAGGAAGATCGAAAGCCCTGCACGAAAGGGCGTGCAGGATAGTTAACTTTTTAATCTGACCTGGACTCTAATCCTAGGAGCAAGCCATGGATCCGATAAATTACTAGATATCATCCTCAGTCTCTGAGTCATTACCGCTTTGCTCGGATTTTCTTTCTGTATTCTTTATCTTTTACATAATATACAGGGTGGCCCGGCAAAAAGGTCGCACTCGCATTTCACGTCAATTTTGATTTCGATGTCCAAGTACGTCTCGCCCGTCAAATTTCCAGAAATAAACAAAAGGTCCTACAATACGATTTCCGAAAATGCCGGCCCACACACTTATTTTTTTCAGGATATTGCGAGTCTATCTCTCGAAACAAAAGTGGACTAGAGTCACTCCAATGTCGACAATTATGTCTATTTACAGCACTGTAGCCGACCAAGTTATCAATTTCTAAATTCCTTGAAATAATTCGTCATGCCGCCTACCCTTGTAAAGATTCGTCGCATCCATAAAATAGAAATAAACATAAAAACTAAGGGTAGAACAAACACTCGCATCTGCCCAGTGAACGCCCAGGGAAACCAAATTCATATTTCGAAGAAAATAGATAATAGGACCGGATGCTATAAAGTTGGACTTTTCAAATATGCCGGGACAAAAACAGGGTTTGGAGATATATTCTGTAATAACATTTAGTCGCTATAACTATAAAGTTACAACCAAAGG